ATCAATGGTGATAGTTGAAGATGTAGTAGGTGTGATTAATGAAGACTAGTGAGTGTTGGGTTGAAAGAAAAGAGAAGGAAGGGAAATGAAATGATATCCACATGTTACTTAACAACAAAAGTTAACATCATTATGTCCAAAAATCGTTAGTTGGACTAAAGTATCTAATGTTGACAAAGTTGATGATTAACAAGTCTATTTAAAAATATGAGAAATTAATTTACCTAATCCTAACAATCTCAAGGAGTAATATGAGGGTTTACTCATATAATGTATTATTTGTCTAAACACAAGAAGAATGAAATAAAATAGATTTAATGAATTAAGCAATGGATTAGATTAAATGAATGATTGAGAAAGAGAAACAATTAGGTTATATTTGGAAGTTGTGTTTAGTAGGGGAGGGAAGAAGAAGAGAGGGGTTAAGAGGGCTTAACCCTTGTTTGAGAGTTATTTAATTAGGAGGGGGAAGAATTTGAGAGTTTTCTAAACTCTTTAACTTTAGGGCTTTTCTCTCTCCCACTCTTTGTATTTTTTCTCGATGGGGATTTTAATCTTTTTTTTAAATGTTAGTTTTTCAAGTGAAATTTTTTTTTAAAAATTATTAAAAAATAAAATTATTAATTTTTAGAAAAAGAAAAATATTTATTTTTTATTTTTTGTAAAATAAAAATATATAAATAAAAGATATAAAATATAATAATATTATTTATATACTTAAACCCCTATCACTTTCTCCTCTCAATATTAAACATCTAAACAAGGGAGAGATTTAATCTTCTTCTCTCCCTCTCCCTTCCTTTCTCCTTTAAACTCTTCCCTTCTCTCTCATTCCAAACTTCCAAACTTCCAAACAAAACCTTAAGGTAGTAAAATGACTCGCATATTCTCCAAAAACTCCTTAAACTTTTCCTTCACTTTTTTAACTTTATCTCTAAAAGTTGAAGGATCAACTTTATTGTTGCAATAACTTAAAAATTCAGTCATCGTGTGTAATACTCTAAATTTTGACTTCTCAAATACATTATAAATTACGTATTTTCAGATGACATAAAATAAATTTTAATTAAAATAAACAATATAAAATTGAGAAGAAATTAAAACTTTTCCATGGATGAATCTATTCACAAAATTAACTAAGAGAGTAAAATATATATAAAAAAAAGTAAAATGTGACTTAATAAATACATTATACTGAAATAATTTAGGAATATAAAATACTAAGTTCCATTTACATATAAACAGCGTGATAATTTACAAATTGTTAATAAAAAAGCTGTAGAACTTAGAATAAATAATTACATAACCAAAATAACTAAGTCTTAAGAGCAGTCTTTATCCACCCCCATACATTGAAGACCTGGTCCTAGTCATTAATATCATGTCAGCCTCTATCTCGACTAGATCCTCAACAGTCAATTATTCATTCTCTTCGAGGTAGGCATCACTAGGATTTGCTTCAACTTCTATACTTGAAAATCTCTCAAATGTATACCAAGTGAATTTACCAAAAAGGTCATGATCGTGGAAAGAAAAGACATTATTTATAACCCTTAGGGGCGTAACTGTTCCTTAGTAGATATAAAAACTAAGGATGTATGGATACGACTATTTACAGGAAACTCAAAAGGAACATCATAATTTAAATTTATCTATACAATCCATATATTAGCTGGTCTATCATCACAATTCATATTAAAATTAAAGTACACAAATCGCTGATACTCCCTAAATTCATAGTTCATTACACAACTAACAAGATAATTCACTAATCTAATTTGTCTTTATGGTGCCATAATCCTTATTCTCTGAAATATTTAATAAGGATGAACATCTATCTTATTATCAAATATAACAAATTTACATTATTGACATTACAACATACTTGTAATTATGAAATAAAAGAAAATGTAACCATACGAATCACAAAAGCAATACATCACCATTTCTTACACAATCATGTACATACTTTATCACGCTCTCTTTCCAAATACGCACTTGCAATGCATGGTGATCACAAACATTTAATGCCTCTAATACTTCTTGAGGTTTTACACAGCTAGGCAAATAGTCGCCGGTTAGTCCATATACACGGATACAACATATATAATAATGAGTCTTTTAGCAAAGGTATAGCCAAGAGTCTAGTCAAGAAATGAGTATGAGGTCATGTAATGTATTCACTTTCAGAAAGAGTATTCATACATACTTGAATGTCACTTACCACTCTATGTTTCTTCTAGATTTCTTATTGGTATTTGGACTCTATACTTCTAGTGTATCTTTGTAATTATTCACATTAGTTTCTTTCATCACTTTGAACTCGTCTCATACTTTTTTTCGTGTCAAACACATTATTCAGGTAAAAGATCATGCTTAGTAAAGCACTTCCAGACTAAATTCAAAATACTTATACTACGAGAATATAGTACTAACATCCAAGATTAGCCAAACATACTTCATTAACCTTTCATCACAATCCAATATCATTCAACTAAAGAATCATACTTGCTTAAGATGTTTTCAAACTAAGTCCTTATTATATATAACAGATATTCAACACAATTATCCCAAATTAACCAAATATACATCATTATAACTTTTCACAATACTTACATATTATTTAATCATACATTTATGAACAATAAAACATACAATGGTACTGCCATGACTACAAAATATTCACTATGCTTAACATAACAAAATAGAGCTCCCATTACCTTGTAATGAAGTTTTGAATGAAGAGTTATGAGAAATTTTGGTGAAAGAACCAAGCTTTTTTTTAAGTATCACAAAAGAAAGCATTTTAATATGTAAAAAACAAAGAAAACAAACACAAATGAGAGAACTAAACTCCAAGAACTTACTTAGAGACGATCGGCTGAACTTCCAAGCTCAGATTCGAAGGAAGATTGAAATTTAAGAGGTTTTATGAGAAAAAAAGGTTGAGAGATCAGAGAGAATAAAGGGAAGGCCGAAACTTGGATTGTAATCCAAGTTTTATAGGTTGAAAACCCTTAATTTTCTCTTAACTTGCGATACTCTTATTTTAGCAAGTTATCTCTCGCTATAGTGAGCCCTTCTCATACTGTAGCAAAAAGATCAGACAATATTTTTCCTTTGCTATCTGTCATTCTAGTTATAGCGAGAGAATCTCTCGTTGTAGCGAGAATCTTGGCTATAACGAGAATGTTGATGGGTCATCCTTATCTACTTCTCGCTACAGTAAAGACCTCTTGTTACAACGAGAAAGCTTAAAAAAGCTTGATTTTGGACATTCTTTCTCGCTACAGAGCGAGATACTCTGCAAGTTATATTATTTAAACTCTCTTAAATTCAAACAATTTCACAAATACAATCAACATATAATGCCATAACAATAAATATGAAAATAAGGATATTACATCATGCATAAGTCAAGAATTGTACCAAAAGCTAGCATCGGTATATACTCATTCTAGTATTAGTCAAATGCCCTTTTCATCGTAAAAGACATATCCTTCATAATATCACTTTCAATAAATGAGTTTTCATTCACAATGTACTCAATTTTTTAAACTTACATGAAATACAAGTTTGAAGTCGAGTATGAAGAACCATATTTCACATTTGTAATCTTATAAAGTAGTTCTAAGAATTGACAATTTTTTTCTCTTTTCCTCCCTTCTTCATGAGATGGATAGTATTTATAATTTCTATCTATTACTTAAAAAATATCAAAAGGTTTTTTACATTTAGTTGTACTTCAAAGCATTAGATACACAAAGTTTTAACTAATAGACACATGTAATTGTAAATCAATGCTTATGTCTAAGTCAATATCACTAACACAATCACCAACACCTTTTTTTTTTATTATAAAAAAGTGATTGAACTTGTTGAAGATAATAAAATAGGTTAAAGAGTTGTAATAAATGAATTCAAGGGCATAAAAGAATAACTACAAGAATTGATGAGCAAAATCATGTCAAAATGCATTATACTAAAAGATTGTATGGATGAGAATGAGAAAACCTAGTCAGGTCACTAAAATTTTAGGAAAGAAAATTTGGATGTGAGAATGTGAGCTACATGTTGTATGAACAAGCTGTGAATACTTTAGGATTAATATACCAACCTATGGAATATCTAAAAAAGGAATGTTGTGTGGTGTCGATAGTTCTTGATACTAACTTAAAGTAATCTAAATAGGCTCTATAGTATCTTAGTCAATGGGAATGTTTCATAGTTTTAGCTACCTATGTAATCAATCTTGTAAGAAGTGAGATGAGATGTAAATTCTTAGTTATTCACCTTTTGTATAAAGAAAAGGATTAGCCTCCTCCTCCATTTGTATATAAAAGAACAATATTCTGCATACATGTGTGTATGTATATAATCAAGATCCATTGACACCATTAATTGATATTAAGTTTAGTTATTCACACTATTTAATAATTTTTTATAAAATAAAATATTAACTAATTTAACCATTGATTTGAAGATTTTTCATCATATTCTTTTATTACAACGTGTAACATGTTATTTTTAAAACATTAGTGAATATTAAATTTTAAATATATCTACAAATGTGTAAATTATGTAAATTTTGATATAATTTATTATGAAAATAATATACAATAATTCAATAGTTGAATTGATTAACTTTATATTTTATGAATTAAATTTAATATATGATATCAACAAATTATAATTTTTTCTCTCTCTTATACATGTTATAATTATTTAGTATTTTAGCATTTATACTAAAATTTATAATTATTAAAATTTATAAAAGTAATTGCAAATAAAATAACGAGGATTGATTATCTATATCTATATATGTTTGTAAAATTGATAAAGCAGGGTTGTTTTTTTTTTCCTTAGTTTTTAATTTAAAACTATTTTTAAAACATTATGCAGACATTAACGCCTTGTTTGTTATAAAGATGAAAATGACCAATTTCGTTGCATTTGAATGGTTTGTTTTTGTAGTTATTAGTGACTGAAATTGAATCATACATGTGGGCAACCCTGCTAAACGATCCATCTGGGCGTAGTGTCAAATAGTCCACTTCACTATTGAAACGTGTAACCCTGGTTTTCCGGAATCGAAAACCCTTCGCTTCCCTTTCCCGCCATATCTCTCTCAACGCCTAAAACCCTATCTCCTACATTAAGCTGACAGGTAACCCTGTGCTACATCCATTCCTTAGATTAGATGAGTGCGTAGCCATGGCAACGGTCACTTCCAGAGACGTTCGAGAGATTGTGGAAAAACTCTCATCCGATAAAGCCAAAGCTCGTGAAGTAACCTTCATTTTCTCTTCCTTTGCTCGCTCGCTATTTGGCGATTTCGAATGGAACAGAAACCTTTGTTGTTCCTGTTAATGTTATGCATGTAGCTACAAATTTAGTGTTGAAATTCTTCATTCCGTCTCAATGCTCCACGACCTTCTAGTATATAGCTATCACTGTTTCGATATCGACGAAGAAATATGTACATCGAATAGTTGAAGTAATTTGAACCAGAGTAGTAGAGAGGGATGATCTAATTCAATAGCTGTTACCTTTTGTCTTTCATGTTTTATTACTAAAGAAATTGCAACATTCTTTATAAAGAATATTTATAAGCTAAGTAGTTTAAAGGATTAATGAAGTGATGTTTCAATTTTCGTGGCTAAAATCAGTGAATTTACGAATAACATTTAGCCTGGTTGCCAAATCGATGTCATTGTAGATTCATTTCTTCTATTTATTTATGATACTGTGTTATGATTAAATCATGTGATCTTTATTCATTTTTGGGATTTTCTCTGTGTGTTCTATTCTAATTAGTGGTATTGGTGTTGTATTTAACAGGAAGGGATCAAGTTGTTAAACACTTGGTTAGAAGGAGAAAGATCATATAGCTTCTGCAAGTTTATTGGACTGAATACTGCAACGCTTAGATCAGATGAAGTTCCTCACTGTAAGATCATTTTTTAAAATAAATTTTACACGCAGTGGTTGATGCAATATTTTTAAGATTATCTAAGCCAAGGTTGTATATACTCATGATTTGTTTATTTATTTTAAATTTTTGTTGGGCAGCTGAAACGTGGCCTTTTCTTATTTCTTTACTTATTCAATCTGCATCATTGGAAATATCCTCAAGTAAGCGGAGAAATCCAAAAATGATATATGCGAAGACTCTTAGAATTGTTGTGCAGCGAGCGGAAGATGCTAAGTGTTCAGGTCAGTTGGAGGTAGTTTAGTGTATTGCAAGCTTATTCTTAGTCACTCACATGATGCCACTGTTTCTAGGGACTTAAAGCAAGGACCTATACACTATATCTTTGGTTGCCCTTACCTAAAAATCTTTCTTTGTGAAATTATCATCCAACCTGCATTAGTAGTAAAATCCTCACTGCTAATTCTGTAGACTTATTCAGACACTTCCATTGGTAGAAATGAATATTGTTTTGACTACTTGAACTGCATAATTAACATTTTAACCTAAATTATAACAAGTTAATGTTATTACTTAGTGGTTAATGGATGCAATGGATTGTTCCTTGACTCAGCTGATACATAGCTAGTTTCAATGTGGTTGTGTTAATAGGCAGAGAAAGGAAAGAGAGAAAGAGATAAAAGAGTAATTATAATTTAATCTTTTTGTATCTATTGAATTATTAACTGAATGATATAAAGAGAACTTTATATAGAGTTAAATAGTTTTAGCTGTACAACTAGTATAATAGAAAGTTTATTACAACTGAAACACTTAGAAGCTAGTCACTTACAGTGGCTTTACTAATATACACTAACAGCGTCCCCTCAAACTCAAGTACTTTGAGCACTTGAAAATTGGTCAACTGCTTGAAGTTTGTGTTGAAGAGAGCAGGCTGACTTGAACAAGAAACAGGCTGAAAGTGTTGGCCATAAGTAATTGTGCCTTGAAGATATCTAAGGATCCATTTAACTAGTTTCAAGTGACTCTCAAGGGGTTGAGAGAAATTGACAGGCCTTGTTAACACTGAGGTTTTAAGTTGGATGACTATAGCACACTGAAGAGCACTAACGATATAAAGACTTGGGTCTTCAAACTAGTCTGAACCAAACTTAGATGGTTTTGATCAACCAATCATGGATGTATTAAGGCCTTTAGCAGTAGACATGTTGGCGTTGGCTAGTAGATCAAGCACATGTTTCGTTTGAGATAGTAAAATAAAGCCACTGACTAGTTGCTGAATCAAGCAAAGTGACATACAAAAGATTATCCCTAAGTGCATGCTCTTTGCGAATGACATAGTGTTGGTTGAGGATTTAAAAGAAGAGGTTAATGCTACACTTGAGTTATAAAGGGAGACTTTAGAATTTAAAGGTTTTCAGGCTGAGTAGAAGTAGGACAAAATATATGAATTAAAAACTTAGCAAAAAACAAGATGAGGATCATGTGTTATCAATTACAAAATCTGGAGGTTGAGCCTATACTTCTTCTAATTGTCCATTGTGGAAGACATTATTAATGTCAAGCTATCAAGTGATTTGATTTTTTAAGGCAAGAGTAAACATAACTTGTATTCTTACAGGCTTGACAACATGGGAAAACATTTCAGTGGAGTCAAAACCATATTGCTGATGGAAACCCTTCGCAACTTGATGAGCCTTGTATCGATTAGTAGAGCTATCAAGGTTTTCTTTTACTCTAAACACAACACCCATTTATAGTGAATCCCTTGTCTGTAAGGTGGAAAAGGAACTAGAGTCCAAGTATTGTTGGCAAGAAGAGTTGAGTAGTTAGCATGCATATCAGAGAGCCATTGTGGATCAGATACAGCTTCTTTAACCAAGGCGGGTTTTGCATGAGTTAAAAGTAAGAGTAGGATGGAGGCAAAATTTGTAGATTCCTGATTTGGATTGCATCAGGATTGGATGAAATGTTGTTGGTTTAGGAGCTAGATTGGAAGGTAAGTCAGTTTGGAAACTGATAGCAGATATAGGAACCATAATGGATGTAAGAGGCACAACATCAGCAAGGGGCTTAGCATTATCAATTGTATTAGCAGGAGGTGCAGCATTATCAATTGAAGTAGCAAGGCTCATAGCAACATCATAATAATGAATTACAACTAAAGGAGAGGAGGGATTAATCTGTATGGAAGAGGTTGAGGACTCATAAGTTGGAAATAGAGATGACTAGGGAAATCTGGATTCATTAAAAAGAACATCTTTAGAGATGTAAAGTCTACCACCAGATGATAGACATTTGTAATTGTGATGAAAGTCTTAGTAACCAATGTATTACATTGAAAAGCTAAATTGTTTTGATTGTATGGATGAATAAATGGGTAACATGCACAGCCAAAAGTGTGAAGAGAGAGAGAGATAATCAGGTTCCTTGTGAAATAACTTGGTGAATGACACATCTTGATCAATCCCTTGAGAAGGCAGTCAGTTGATCAGGTGAACTGCAATGTATGGATGGTCCTAGAACATGAATGTTATAGAGGCATATGTCATATGAGACAATTGTGAGTACCATCTCAACAATGTGATGGTGTTTTCGTTCTACAGCACCATTTTGATGATGTGTATGTGGACAAATCACCTGATGAATGATGCTAAAATCAACAAGCAACTTTGAAAAAGGTCAAAATTCTCCACACATGTCAGTTTAAATTGACTTAGAAAGTTGAACTTCTACCATAATTTTGAATTTTTGAAACGTAGGTAAAGCTTCAGATTTGTTTATAAGTATGATAGGTTCAGAAAGGTATACCATAGGAAGAAATGGAAGGGTAATTTTCTGTATTAAGTTTCTGTATAAATAGCATGTGATGAAATTAGTGTTGCATATGTTTTTTTGTAATTGATAATTGGGAATACTAAGTGTACAAATTCTGCCTATGTTCTGAATTTCTATCTACATGATATTGGTTTGGGAATTAGGGTTCTTCAATAAAATTTCAAGAACTATTTTTCTGTATTCTATACCAGTCCTATCAAAGTACAACCATGTTTTGGGTGTAACCATTTAGCATCCACAAATGTGATGTACTATGAGTATCTTTCACAGTGTAGAAATGGGGTTGAACCCCATAAATCATTGAAAATCAGTTCTAATAGTTCATTATACATAGTAGTAGATTGGATTGAAGGCAAATGATGAGCTTTGCCTAAGCAACAAGCTGTTTGAAAATTAATTTCTGTTTTATGCATAAGTGCTTATTATGAATAATTAAAGCCAAAAGGATTTAAAGAGACATTTGTGGTGTTGTCGCTATTAGGCACACTAATCGGGTTTGAACCATTACCAGCTTGTGCCACATTTACAGAAAACATATCAGATACAGAGGCTTGACGATTCTTTTCAAGACGAATCTCATGAGCAAAAATTATGGCTTTGAGTTCATTTGCAGTATATGGTTCAAGACAACTAGTAATAGATGTCACAAAGACATTGTAATCTGCAAGAAGACCATCCAATATTGCATCAATATGATCGCGTGGCAGAACATAATCTCCAATTGTTACTACAGAATCAACAATTGTTTTAATTTGAAGTAGATATTCTGAAATACATCGAGTACCTTTCTTTGCAGTTTGGATTTCAGATTGCAATTGATGTGCCTTAGCAGTTAGCACAGCTTTGAGAATGGAAGAATTTGTGAATCTCATCCCACAGTTGCCATGAATGTGTACAACCAACGACTCGAGTGAGAATTGTTTCAGACAAAGATGAAAGAAGTCATGAGAAGAGCAATTGATCATGTTGCTTCTGTCGTTGATAGTTCTCATTGATTTTGCCAATTTTCCAATCTTCTTTGAGAAAACATGACAAAAATTTAGGATTGATGACAAATTGGTGAAGATGATGAGCTTTAATCATTGCCTCAACTTGCTGTTTCTAGAGAAGGAAGTTTTATCATCAAGATGCTCATAAATAGTGTGTGACAACGCAGTTGGAGCTTTGGAAGATGCCAATGGTGAAGCAACAGTGTTGGTGAAAATGAAAGGATTGGTTGGTGCCACCATGAATCAGGATTGTGAAGAAGCTTTTGATACCGTTAATAGGCATAGATGGGAAAGAGAGAGAGAGAGAGAGAAGATTAAGGAGAATTTAATTTTTTTGTATGTATTGAGTTGTTAACCAAATGATACAAAGACAGCCTTATATAGAGTTCACTAGTCTTAGCTGTTCAACTAGCATAACATAACAGAAAGTTTGTTACAACTGAAACACCTAGAAGCTAGATAGTTACAGAAGCTTTGCTAATATACACTAACACTAACATGTTGATGTGAAAACAAAGTAAAATTAAATCTGTTTAAATGACAAGTGGTATAGTACCATTGAAAAGTACTGAATGTTCTCTGAATTGCCTCTAAAATTTTAGGAAAATTTCAAATCATGTACTCCCTAGTAAAATATTTATATTGAAGGAAAAATAACCACATGAAGTGGTTATTATATATAATATATTGGGTTAAATAACCACTGTGTGTTTGTTGCCTTTTCCTGGTACATTTTTTTTTATCATGAATTCCTTTATTTTTGTAATTTTTTAAAAATATTTATTGTAGCACTCGTTAGTGTTAACATGCATTTTCTATTGATTGTGTGAAAATAACATAAATATTTATCTTTTAATAAGAGTGCATATACTTTTGAGGCTTTATTTTGTTATATTTTGTAAGTACTTTCCTATAATTCTACAAAGAAAAATGAGAACTTCATCTATGAATTTTATGCTGTGAACTTAAGTTATATGTTTTTCCCCCTTTTTTTAGGCAAAATGTTACCTTTGTCATCTGTGGTTAAACCACTTTTTAATCATGCTTGGGATGTCCTGAGCAATGTTCCAAGCTTTCAGTCAGAATATGGTATCATCCTCCGTCATCTATTGTCAGTTAGGGATTATAGTTTCCAGATGAGGAAGCGCATTTACTGCAGTAAGTTTTTATAAACTTAAGCCTTGCACCATCCCCAAATCTCTTCAACACTTCCTGTTTCAATATTTCTGTCCCCTTTTCTAATCACATTCTTTTGGATAGACTTGGTGTCTCTGTACATTGAGAAAGTTGAAGCCAGTTTGAATGAAAAAAATATTAGTCATTGTACTTCCAAGGAGGAGGTCTTCCGCTATATCTTGACACTTCATTCTCTTTTAAAATATCCTCCTGGAGACTACCCTGATAGTGTAAGAGAAGACATTGTTAAGGGGTTTGTTAGGATCTGTTCATTTGTCAGGTATTTCTTACTACAATTCATTGTTTATCTCTCTCTCTCTCACGCTATTTGCTATGATTATAGTATGCTGGACTCCAATATCACCTTGTTTTTTGGTTTCTTATTCCAGGGAAGAGGGGAAGATATCACGCAAGCTTGTTGAGTGTATCAATACATATTTGTTAAATGATGGTCCAAATTTGAGCTTTCAGTTGTTGGAGATTCATAATGCCATCCAGCAGTTTGTGTTCCGCTGTTGGCTGACTACACATGATCGAGTTCTTAAGGTTTTCTTACAGTTTCATTCTAAAGCAAAATACCATATTAAACTTATAAATTGTTTCCAACTTTTTTCAAATTGCTGTATTAATATTTCTGTTGCAGGATTCACTTGTGTTCTATGCAAGGATACAGTTAAATTTAATGAGAGGTGCTGCTGATAGGTGTTTATTGGTAGAACAACTTTTGGATGTGATTTGCAAGGATCTTGATCAGGGTAGCTTGTCAAGTACTTCAATACCGCGGTAAATGTTTCTAATGTTATCTATTTTGTACTTTTAATGATGAATCTTCTGGTTCATTATCATGATCTCAATGAACTTTCTACCCAGGGGTGATGGAAATAAAGATGATAAACTAGGAGCTTTGAGTAGCTCACAGTGTGGATTGGTGGAACTTGCCGCAGTTCTATTTTATAGGGTAGTTGCTAGAAACTCAATTGCTGATTCCTGGATTTAGTATTTAAGATTCTGTTCTCAAATCTCGACAATTTGTTTATCTTCTTTCTGCTGTTATGTTGATTGATTCTGATATAATTAGTTAATAACATAAAATTTTCGTGGTTTTTCTTATCCTTATCTCTCCCTACTCTCTAGTTTTACTAGCCCCCTTTTCTCTATTGCAACATTTCCTTTTCTTGTTGGGACAATCCATTTAGATTTGCAGATTTTCTTCGAGCTTCTATTATTTTTTCATTTATTAGAATGTTGCCATTTCGGCCATCTATAGAGTTAATGTACATGGTTTCCAAGTAATGTTTATACATTGTGAATATAGTTATTTTATTTTTGGTGATTTAGTGTACACACTAGTTTTATTTCTTTTTTCCCCTATAAAAATTTTCATATTTCTGATTAATTTTCCCTAATTTTTATTCCTCAGGCCTGTGTGACTACTACCAGAGCTTCATTAGGTGAAAAACGGGTTAAGAGGGAGCCTGCTGCTGTGATTCTGAGGGAGGCACTCATGAAAGGCAAATGGCTATGGTAATTTATACTCTAATTTGAGGGATGCACTGCAAAGCACATTCTGTAGTATGCGATAAAGTCAACAACTATTAATTTTTTGTGCCTCTGTTAATTACTGATTTTTATCATCCTTATGTTTTGTACTGCTTTTCTCTTTTGTCCTATAATAGTAGTCATTCTATTATGAAGACAATTTTTTTTAAAATTTCTATCTTAGTTCATTATTCTATCAGCACACTTTTGTTTTGGCGTTGAGTATTCTCCATATTTTCACCTTTGTAAGTTGTGATTTTTTTAATTTCATAATTATATCTAGTCCTCCTAGAATGGATGTAAGTTGAGATATTATTACTGCTTACAGTTGTTTCTTCATGTAATGGTATCTTTTTCTCAAAATTCTCCAACATAAGATCAATGCTATGCACAACACAAGGTGTCCAATAAAGCCTTTTCCTTTTCTCCATTAAAATTTTTCATACTGCCTTGTAATTTGTAGCATTGTCTGCCACAATTTGCACCATATTTTCTTGTCCAACTTCTTCAACAACCTCATCTATTATCTTGAAAATTAAAAAACACAGTTCTTGCAAGACTATTTACCAAAAAAGCAAGTACAATCATCCTCCTTCTCCTATCAGTTCATCCACTAGTCATTATGGTGTATTTGGTTTTCTTCTAATAAGCTCTGTGATTTTCCAAAGCCTTGTTTGTCTCCTCAACCTTTTGCTTCTAGTATTTTATCTAAATCTCATGGGAGGATGACGACCTAAATCTAATATCATGTTGAGCAATTAAGTTACACATCCTTTTAAACTCTTCACTGTTGATAACATTGAAATGTATTGCATTGTTGTAGAAAAATGAAGCAATATCTAAACCACAGTTGTTAATCTCAGATAGCGGGGTGTAGCGGACGACCCTCAAAACTCAATTTCGGGATAGCGCATAGCAGGATTGCCGCTATTTTAAAGTTTTTCTTATGGATATAAAATATATACACATGCAGATAATTATGTATATAATAATGCTAAACAAATATGCATAAATAGCATAACAGAACAGAGGTAGGACTGTAGAATCATCGAATAGAGAGAAGAAAGGAAGTGGCTTTTGCCAAAGAAGTCATCCTAAATGAGTGACTCTGCTGGATTGGAGATTGTTGCAAAGCAGAAACGAGATATAGATGGGAGGAGGGAGTGTCGAACAGAGAAGGGAGAGAAGAAAAACAGTGTAGAAAAAGGGGGGTGTCGTCATGTGTCTCTAGTTGCAAAGCAGAAGAGCAATAGAGATGGGAGGAAGTGGTGTCGAAGAGATAAAGAAAGAAGAAAACCCAGGAAAAGTGGGGTTAGGTCTGAAAATTGAGAAGACTATTTTGTCCATAAAAAACCTAAAGATTGTGTCATCATAAGGGTAAAAAGGAAAAATCACCTTATTACTTAAATATTAAAAGTTTTTTTTACCCCTAAAAAAATCCAAAAATTCCTTCACTTTGAGGGTAGAAAAGGAAAGTTAATATCTTTCCCTGTGATGGCACTATTGTGCCGCGAATGGCCACGATTTGGGCTGCAAATACAGCTGCCATTGGTTTCGATGGCCACAATAGCAAAAACACACTGCGATCCCAGATCTGTAGCGGTCAAAGGCGGCTTCGCCACGCACCACCGCTATCGCGCTGCAATCACGTGCTATTGACACCTATGATCTAAACATCCTTCATCTCTCAAACTTTGCTTAAAAATTGATTTGATTGTAGCTTGGGTGGTCATTCCCCTTTTCTTGAAAAGGATTGCAAGAGTCTCAATACTAGCTTGTATTTTCCTTTTCCGTACATTTTCAGATTCACCAATGTCATTTTTTGTTACTTCTCCTTCGAGCTCTTGCTGTGTGTTTGTTTTCAGTATGAATCTTTCTTGCAATCCAACAATAATGTCCCATCCACATTTGTTTTCGAACATCATCAAGGACAGCTTTACAAGCTCCAACATTTTGTTTTCTTTGTGCCAAATAATGCTTGAAGCGATAAATGCCTCTAGTATATTCATTTTCATAGTACTTATATTTAATTCTCCTAGCATCTCCAAAAATAGAAACACTATGATTTCAAGCCACATCATTTCTTTTTCTAGCAACACTCTTGTTTGGTTTTGATCTCACAGTTCCACCAACAATCTATGATTCCAAGCCACATCATTTCTTTTTCTAGCAACACTCTTGTTTGGTTTTGATCTCACAGTTCCACCAACAATCCCACTCCTTGCATTTTCGCTTGACTGAATTTCCTTCCCTTTTCCACTGCCACCAACCTCATTCCTAGTAGTATCAGTATTGAAGCCATGAGCCCAATCACAAAATATTGCAGAATGCAGAGAACAAAAAATAGAACACAACATACCACTTGTAGTTGTAGTCTTGCGGGGAACAAAACACAAAAATGACAGGTGCAGTCGCAATGCACCTCACAACAGTCACGAGCTGAAACTGCAGCACAGTAGACAGAGAGAACAAAGCAAATAGAAGCTTGCAAGATGCAATACGGAAGAATGGAAGACAGAGCGTGAACCAAATTGTTGAATAAAACACCCTCCTAGAGAGCAACTAACTCGTTGCACCAAACACCCACACAGAGAGCAACACATTGTTGCAGCAAGGACCCATGCAAAGAACAATCCCCTTGTCACACGAAGTACCCATACAGAGAGAGGCATGAACTAGGTTTCAAAACGGAGAACACAAAGGAAGGTGTTGCAGCACGAGACTAGGGTTCCAATACGAAAATTGGGTAAAAAGATGATGGAAAACAAGTGCTTTTCTAACTGGGTCATTATATCCAACCCGAAAATGAAGATCGAATCTAATCATAGATCCTATGATCTTAGGGAAAAATATCTCAATTCACTGCAATCCCAACAGATTTCAATCTCACATGCGATTAAGGTCATTGAGGCCTAAGCGCAGGATGCAATCTTATGGTCTTGATTGTGATTTTCACAACATTGATAGTAGGTGCAGCGGATGAAATTGGTGGATGCAAATTGAGTGGAACCACTGAATTGGTGTGGCACAGTTGTGTGTGGTGGTGACAGAGGTAGGAGGAGGATTTTTCTGAAGTGATTTATTATTATTATTATTGACTCAAGGATTTACAATAAGGTGACTCCTTTATATAGGGAGCAATTGATACACGTGTCATTGTCAAACTAACTAATCAGAAAGATACAGGTAACTACTCTAACAGAACAATTAATATGAGTTGTACACTTGTACTCTAACATCTTGGAATCTGTATTCTATAGTAATGTCCTTGAAAGGATCTTCTGATAGCTTAACACAGACTTCAATTTTGTCATGTTTTGTACTATTAATAGATATTATTTACATTAAACATCTTCATGCCAAAATCTGATGAAAGATCTATGCTACAGGAATGCTGCCTTTTGTTCCTTCACTCGAAACTACCATACTCGCATTTGCAAAGATCTGTTTCTCTACTGGTTTGAAGGCATATGTATGAGCTTTGACAGGTATTTTAGGATTGGTGGGGTAAACAAAGGAACAATTACTATGGTCATTTGTTTTGATGTTGGCTGTCTATGAAACTGTCTTATTCAAAATTATAGGTGGATTTGAGCTCAAAATACTGCATAGAAATGAGTGGATCTGGATGTTGTGATTCATAATTTCTTGTTCTCTGCATTTTTATTCATGCACTTTGTTTCTTGATCTTTGTTTTTTTATTTTATTTTTGGTTGTAACAATTTTAATTCTGGAGGATTTTTATCCTCTTACATTTGTATCTTTCACTTCGGTCTTAATAGATTCTTTGCTTATAAATTTTTTAATTCATGTACTTCTTTCTCTCCCTTCCTCTATTTTTTTCTCTGATACTCAAGTTTTTTTTAATAACAAAAAAAGAAAAAACATTATCTGTGGGAATATTGTGCATGCTTGGAGAGACAACTAATGCTATATAATGTTTTGGTTGTAATGTAGACTTTCTTCAAACACCGAACTACCTTTTTCATGAATTGAATTGAATATCTGGTTATCCATGTATATCACATCTTTGTTTGTTAGGAAGAACGTTTGTGATCATTGTTATTAACAAATTGGAGATAATACTGCAGAATCCTGAACTCTGCAAATGTTGATCGGATCTATGATGGCTTGTTGTGGACTCTGAGGTATGTTGCTGTTATTGACAATCTGATCTCTTTATACAATTTTATTGTCTCTGGTGCTATGCATGTGAATAAGACAGGAATTCTTGTGCAGTTAATATTAGTTATAGGAGTTTATTCCTATTTTTCAAATTATATAAGGCATTTTGGTCTATTTAAATTGGTACTGTGGGTATGAACTTATGTCTGTTCTATTGCATCTAAAGGAGTTTGCAGGAACTTTCTTCTGTTTTGTTGCTTCCAAATTCAATGTTTCAAATGTGCTCAATGCCGTCTTCTACCTTAAATGAGGTCTCTCTCTAACCCCGTACACACACACACATTTTCACTAGTTCTTTGATGCATGCACACTACAAATTCTAAAGCTAAAAATATAATAGTTAGTGTTGATGATGGAAGATCAACATGTAAAAATGCCATTGGGGGGTGTATTTTCAATTAACATGCCTCTCCCTTCCTTTGTTTCTTGGTTATGGAGATTATCTTATCCTCATTCATTGTGATTTTGCTGCCCATATTGAATTTTATGGAGGATAAATTGGAACAGATAATATTATTTTTGTTGGCTATTTGATGAACTGGGAAGACTTTTATGGATGGATTACAGTAATCAATAAAACAAGCAATGTCAAGAAATTTACTTAATATTAATTTTTAAGGGTACAACAAAGTAAGGTATAGACAAGAGCTGGCTTTCTGTGTCTGATTTATGCTAATTGAATTTTTTCAATAATCATTCATTGGACTGGAACTCAATGTTTGATTTAAAACAGATGTATTTCTTTGCAGTCACTGAATTTAACAGGTTTGTCACTAGATTTGATTACTTTGCATGGCTATTGATTAAAAAGAATGTATCCCTTAGCAGTCACTTGATTTTAACCGTTCTGTCATTAAAATTCATTACTTTGTAAAGGCTGTTCTTGGCAATTGTCTATCCCTGTCACTTCTCGAGATTGATATTTTCTTCCTAAAGTGTGCATTGTTTTGATGAAACTAAATTTTGCAGTTCATCAATAATTGGCAACTATTATGGAGTACTATTGTGCATGGGTTACCAATTTTTAGCAATATAAATGCTCTTGTAAGTTTTTTTTCTTCACAGAACTATGCTTCCAATTTTAAGTAAATTTTTGGATGGGTATCAACTTAGTCCTTGCAGATATATTTGTTATTTAGTATTGTATTAACCAAGGGTCATTCCCACCAAGAATTGGGTCATATATATATATAAAGGAAAAGAATGGTTCAAATTTTCAGTTAAGACAGTTGTTATCTGCCTATGTAACCTTTTTGCTTATATAATATGACACGGAGTTGAAGTAGATGATTATATAATATCCACACCTTCATTTCCTTAATATTCTTAAATTTAGATTTAAAAAATCCTAACCTTATAACTTAAAATTTCATTCGAAAATATGTTGCTGCTAATGACACATTTCATCTGTGTAAGCAAATAGTGAAGTAAATTAACAGATCACTATAAAAGGGAATAAATGGAAATGAAGAAAAGTTTTTGAGGGGCTAGATTGAAAAAAATTAAAGGAGAGAAAGGGGGAAATGACGGATTTTGAAATGACCAAAACCTTATTTAAGCTTTATTATTAATATTATGGGATAAACTAGAAATTGTTTCTCTCTTGGTTATATCTGCTAAAGTTTCCATTTTAATTTGATAAAAACACACTGATGCAGGTGGATGCTGCTTTGGTGCTGCTTAGTAGTATAACTTCAAATGTGAGTTACAGACTTTACAAGTTGAGAATGCTGTTAATATTAAATCTTACATCACATGCTTCTATTCAGGATTTAGTAAATACATGTGTTATACCTCAAGATGTGTGGGATCTTCAGTTTTTCAAAAGACCAACTTCAGTGTAAGTGTCTTTTACCTTGATTGCATCACATAGAAAATATGGTATTAATATTGTTACTGAATAAATGATAGTATATTGTTTGAGTTAGTGAATAAATTCCATCATACCTAACTGCACTCATATCAAAGAATTAGTTGGAGCTCAAGTTTGCTCAAATTTCAATGGATTATAGAATACCTTGATCCTTTTTTCATTATTATTTAGAATGACGGCACTGAGAAATTTGGTTGTTTCATGATAGATATTTCTGATGAATTAATTGCTGTATGTTTTTAATTTAGACATTAATCATAGATAGTGATTAAATACAAAAAAGATAAACCCATCTGCAAACGCAGCAAACCCTTTGAACTATCCTGCCAGTTGTGACATATTATTTGTGTATTTTATAACATAGGATCAGTCTAACATCTAAACACATGGACTAACTTCCCATGAAAGAGGATAGTAGCTTCCCTTTCAATGTGGATTGTTTATGCTGTAGGTTTTGATTGAAGTGAAATAAGTAGTTTATTGTGAAGCTTTTATTGAAGTTGGGAAGCCATAATACCAAGGAAAGGCATCAACTAAAAGTTATGAATTCATTACTTTTAGCTTTATGGCTTTCCCTTTCCTATTATTGTTTGTTTCTATTTTGAATTTGAAAAGTGTTACAAACACAATATTGTTACTGCATTCTTATTTAGCTCATGATTTGCTTTTTTTGCAGACCCATCTTGTATTTCTTCTTATGTTACTTTTCACGGAAAAATTCCCATGTAAGTTGCTAAGGAAGCATTGTACTTTTTCTTTTATTATGTCATCAATATACTTTTTATGTTAGGTTAATAATTTGCTTATAAGCTTAATTTTATATAGAATTGACATCAGCAGTCATCAGTGAGTCAGTGACAGGACAATAACAATGGTATACCTTTTGCAATCTGGAGCTGGAATAGCCAGGAACCTTTAATAGCATGAGGAGACTTCCCAGATAAAGGTCATTATCAGAATAATTACCCCCAAAACACAAGGAGGAGCATGATATAAGGGTCTTTTGGGGGTTAACAGTGGATGGGGAACTTGATTATTGACAGCTGAAGATGTGATATATTTGACTGAATAACATGAAATTAACACACTATTAGTCCCATAATGTAAGGACATTTACTTGTAACCACAAAGTATGAGTTGTTTGGTCACTGTTTTGTTGGGTGTGTGTGAAGACACTGTTGATGAAAAATATCATGAGAAAACATAAATGATGTCAAGCCTCTGGAAAAGTATTCTTTTCCATTGTAACTATGTAAAACCCTTCTGAATTTCCAAACTGTTTCTGAATTTTATTGTAGAAAGACTTGAATATTGACAATCACATAGAATGCTCTTTCATTAGAAATAACCAAGTACAGTATGAAAACCCATCAATATTGGTAACAATATACTCAAGCCCTGAATGAGTAGACATGGCTTGGTCCCCAAATATCTGAAAGTATGACAAGAAGACTTTGACTCTTGACCTGACTTGGAATATAAAGGAAGTGGGAATATGTTTGCCAAGTTGACATGATTCTCATTTTAATGACTTTAATTTTGCAAGACTGGGAATCATTTGCTGAAGTTTTAAAAATTGGGACTACCTGGATGTTGTGCAAGACTGGGAGAGTCTGATGCAGCACACACTGTAGGAGGAGTTGACTTCAGGTGGTAAAGTCCATCTGATTCTGGTCTTATGCCAATTGTCTATCCCATACAATGATCTCTGGAAATCCATGAAGAGAATAACAAGTCTCTTGCATATGGCTCTATTGTCTACAACAAGTGCAATGGAGATGGCTTCCACAGTCTCCATGACCCCATTGACCTCCTTTGCTACCAAGAGCTCTATGTTCGCCAAAGGATACCAAGGTAGTTACCATGGTTGACATGCTAGTTGTGTTGAAGTGGGAGTTTGGAGATTTTGGTGGAGGAACCCTCAAAGGATGAGTGGTGAGATTTTACTCGGGACATCTTCACAATGAATTTGGTCTTGAACATGCTCAGTCAACTGCTTGGCACACAAAACTAGTAGTTCATACTAGTTCTCTAGATCGTTTGACAGGCCATGATGATATCAACCAGCAAATCCATTTTCAAATCCTCTACTGCATCCTACACTTGACCAACAAAATTAGTCATGTCAAGATTTTGCTTCTAAGAGAGGCTCATTTTTCTGAATACAAGCACTTTGCAAGCCTTGTTCTAAAAAGTGATAGATAGATCTCCCAAAATTTTTTCTTATCTTTCCACTCTAATCCCTAGCTGTCTTCCCCTGGTTCTGTGGCCCTCATTTCTATTTGTAAACAGGTTTGTAAAACACCCTTAAAATTGATTAAAAACAGGTAAAATTGTGTCCAGGCAGTGCAATCCATGTTTATGAAGTTTTTGATAGGTGATGTGGAACTTTATGACTTTGCTTTCCTGATGCTTCCTGAGGCATCTTGAACCACAACTTTGAAAATTTCCAGACTGTGTGTGTAGCTCTTTAGATGTCCATTTTTGAAGGCTTTTAACCTGAAACTTTATCACAACCATGGGCGCATCCACAAGTGTTTGATGGACTTATTTGGACAGTTTAGTTCTCCCTCTTTTGGCTTCAAAATAGCTCCCAACCTTCATCTACATGCAGAAGTACAAAAGTGAACAGTTATCTGAACTAAAAAGGAAATTCAATGCTAAAGACTAGTAAAATGTGTGAATATGTTAGATTTGGATGTCGATATCAACAAGAATTGTGTCATTTATGCACACATCAAAGGTGTTGGTTAAGTGTCCAAGCCATTAAAAAAAACTTTTTAAGTGGACCCCCCATTGAGGTGTGTCTGACACATCAAGTCTTCACTTGGATGAATGGAGGTGTTCAAATAGGATCCAATTATGGGTGTTATATTTCGGTTTTGTGGTTTTGATGTTCAGGACCAGAACATGCAAACTCTAATACCAACTTGAAATATATCAAAGGATTTCTGAATTGCTTGAGGAAACCTTCAGCATGATTTATAATATCTATGTGATTCACAATATCTACATATTAGCAAAATGGGAAATTAGGAAAATATTAAGTCAAATCCTAATTATGTTATTTATTTTCAGAAAATATGCATTCAATATACAACACAAATACATTCCAATACCCTGTCAATTAAATAAAAAAGTATTTTGAAGTTATTTTATTTACATATCAATTTAATTATTTATTTGATATCTTAATCCTGATTTGGTTAATTCCTGAATATATAGGGTCACTGGTATGCAACTCTTTTGCCTAGGTACTGGCACCTTTGATCTGTTGACAATTTATTGGTTATTAGTTCTCATAATAACTGTAGTCTAGCATGTATTACCAGGAAGCAATACATGTTTGACAGCTGATCAATGTAATGGATTCTCATAACATCACATATATTATGTTCAACAGTAGTTTGATATAGGTCAAACCTTTTACCTTCTCCAGCTTTCTGAATTGAGTCGATGAAGGAGTTGGTAATTTAAGATATTAATTTTGTTGGAAGTTCACATCTTTGCTATATGTGATGAGTACATATACAACTGAAAAATGGCGCAAGCTTTAGTCATGGTAATTAAATTTGCGAGCTGACACATAGAAATGCACGATTGTGGACCCTTAGCCTGTGCTGACCTGTAAATAGAATCGGAAATAGGTGAAATTGTATGGGATTACTGTGCTAAATTGTAGGTTTGGTAGGCACGGTCCATCCCACTGCATTTAAAAACCTGATTTTTGAGACAATGATTCACATTCCATTTTCTGACCCAGTTAGTTCAAAAGGCCCTCCAAACCCTAAAATCGATCTAGCCTATTCTGAAACTCTGTTTCCCTCACTTTTGCATTGCTGTTGCGCTAGATGCTGCTCACTCACTTCATTGATATGGAGGCTCATCAATTAAGAGATTGTTGACTGAAGCAATGAAAGGAGAAACTGATCCTGTTGCTCCCAGAACTGATATTCAGGTGTAAGAATATTGTGATCCCAATCCTTGACCATAGCAAACTTTTGAGGAATTTGTAGAGCAAGAATGTAACTGAGTAGGCCATCATGGCCTTTGATGATTGGCTGAACCTGCGAGCGCCAGAGAAGGTAATTCGAATTAGTGAGCTTACTAGTGATGGTATGGGAAAACATCGTTGAAACAGGTAATGGAGCAGCTGGCGGTGTGGGCGGCGTGGGAGGCAGTGGGCAAGTGCCATCATTAGGTGCGGAAGCCATGAGAAAAACTAAGGATTGAAACTAACCTCTGATGCCATAAAAGAATGCAAGAAAGGAATAAAAGGAAGAGGGAGAGAGAAGAAAAGAAACTCTGTTAAGAGTTTTTCCAAAATTATTCTGAAATCTTAGTTTTGAATCAGTTACAGAGATATAATATAGTTGGAGTTGAGTTCTAACAACCATGACAAAACAGAGTTGTCATAACAGATTCTGTAACTAACTAATAACTAATCTGTGAGATTAGTTCTAGCTTAAAACAGAATGCCAGAAAAGAGAAAAACTAATACAACCGAAATACAAAACTAATACCACCAAGTTGTATGTTTCATTTCTACTTCTACTCTTATAGTACTCTTGGTGACATTTTTTATTTCTTGTTACATATTAAAGACGATGCTTTGCAAATATGTGTGTGGGTGATTTCAGACCTTTTTTGGGTAAAAGTGAAAAATATTTCTGTTCTAAGCCACTTTTGTATTTAATTTACTGTCCCATAACTTGCAGGCTGACCTCCAAGATATTTTGCGTCTGAGGAAAATCCTTTTGAGAGCAACTTTGTGTCATCTTAGTTTGAAGGTGTGCTTACCTAAAATTTTTATGAGCTAAATGTTTTAATCCTTTGACATTTGTATTAAGAAAAATATGGCGGTGACAAATCTAATGGACAAACCCAAACATGTGGGGAACACATTGGTGATTTTAAAAAACTATTTTAAAAATTTGTTTGTAACAAGAAATGAAAAGGAAAAGCCACTTGATGACTCCGTTTTTTGATATCTGTCATGTTACTTTCTTTTCTTCTTCCCTAGTGATTTCATTACAAGATTGCCATTATTGAAATGGCATAATTACAAGCATGCCACTGCACAAATGAAAAACACAGAAAAATGCTTTTGAAAACAGACTAACAGCTGTTTTAGATTTCAGTTTTTATGTCAGGAAATAATTTTTAGAACTTTAACTTAAAACAGACCCAATCAAACAAATGTTTTTATTTTTTGAAAACAGAAATCAAAGGCACTCTTAGTTTCATTTATTTTTGTTCAACATTATGCAGGGTCATTCATTGTTGAATGAGCAGATGGTTTTGTTTATTCCTAGTGCTATGTATGCACTTTGTGTAGGTTGTGTTCCTTTTACTCAATGCTTCAAAGAACATCCTCTAGTTCCCAACTCTTTTGATGTCGTTGTCACTCAAGATGACTCTCATAAGGTACAGCGTAGTCACTCCTGCCCAAAACTATTTTGATCTAATAGTTTTCATGAAACTATCACTAAGAAACTAAATTGTAATGTTAACTGTAGTTTGAAGACCCTAAACACCGATGTGTCCTTGAGTTTTTAGATTGCTCTGTGGAAGTTGTGACAGAAATTGACAAGATTTCTAAAGTTGAGGTTTGGTGATTCACTTAAAGAAGTGTGTGTGTTAGCATTCATAATTTTAGTTAAGGCAATTAAAATTTTTCAGGTTTCCCAACTGCAAATATGGCCACATGTTCGGGTTCCCCGGGAAATAAGTGATCAGCTTTTGCATGAAATGGAAACTTATATTCTTGGAGTTTTGGTGGAGGAGGAGATTAACAAGAGGCATTTGTCTGATATTTTCTTGATATGTTCGCTCTTGTCTAACATTCTTTATGGTGCTTCTGTCACAAGGTTAGTCACATTTTGGTCATCCTTTTTTTTTTTTATTGTTTTTGTACTAAAGTAATGGTGTATGTGTTTGCAGAATGGATGTAGTCTTGTAGAACTATTAATTGCTTTCTTATATGTTTTCCTATTGCTATTGCTTTGTTCCACCATGTCATTAGTATTCTTTAGTATGATGAAGAAATTGGTAAAACTAAGCGTACAAGTTATGATGTAAATTGTTCCTATGGTTGTTGGAGTTGGTGTTGATGTGGGTGAACAGTTTGAGGGACAGTTCTGGTTTTCTGCTTTACATTACTTGAATGGAATGTTATAGCACTTTTATGATACTTTAGGATGGAATGTTGAGGGACAGTTCTGTAACTGAATAGATTATTTCTGAACTGAACAATCATAGTTTAGAAGACTAGCTACAAAAATACTGCTCAAGTAGAGATATGGATAAGAGGAAAGAAAATAGAGAGGAAAGAAGTATGGATAATTATGGATTTTCTTTTATTTGATTAAAGATAAAATGAAGAGAAAAAGGAGAGAAAAGTAACTTCAGAAACAAAATTTCAAAATTTTCTCTTTAATTCAAATTTCAAAATTTTCTGTCCCCTCATTTTGTTGCCTTTTATCCAAACATACGGGTAGTGAAAATATCTGCATACTGATCCTTTGGATGAAGGTAGCTGCTTAATGATCACATTCTGCCTCACAAAGAAGAGATCTAATTCTGTTTTGTTTGATCACCTTTAGAATGCATAGCACCGTAAGGATTTTATGGATCACCTTCTCCCTCAACTTCTGATAGAAACCCAGAATATAATTCTGGTTTAGAGAGTTTTTTATTGTATTTAAAAGGGAGCTCAAAGTGCTTTTACTGTGACAAGAAATGACCAGGGCCTAAGCTCCTCATAGAAAAATATACTCTGCCTTGCTTGTAGAAATGTATGTTATTCCATTAATATCTCTTCATCTAATAGCTTAGCTTTTGGGATTGTTTATCATGACGTGGTCGTAGAGCCTCTATGACCACGTGGTCTACATTTTGATCCTAGCCACTTCTGTTCTAATAAGAAAAATGAATTTCAGCACAAAGCAAGTGGGTCTATGCATTATCTGCGCTTCAAGCCCAAAGAGCTCTTACGTGAGGGACCATGTTAGAGATGTAATATAATCCATTCACATTCTTTGCCTAATAGTTTAAGCTTCTGAATTGTTGGTTCATGAGATAGCTTTACACCTAACAAAAAATAATGTTTGTTCCTCCTTTCCCCACTCCCATGATCACCCACTCTCCTGTATCCCTCTATACTCACATGAACTATTTCCATAAATTGCTAACCAACTCATACCAGGGACATTTCTTATTCCTTTTAGAATGCCCCTTCCTTTTACTGTCTGCTCTTTTAGTTGTTGGCCAAGTTTCTGGATATCTTCCCTTGCCATATCAGTTACTCCGTCTGCATTAGAATGATAGGTTCTATCATTATCTCAGTATCTATAGATTGGGCCCTGAAAGGACAGTCTGGATCTGTAGCAGCTCTTCTGCTGCATTTCCTAGGCTTCTGTGCTGGACCCTGCAACTAGCGTCTGTTTGGTTGAACACCATAAAAGATATTAGATTTGCATCAAGATAATTGCAAGAGCTTGAAGTAGATCTCCTGTCATTTGGCTCAAAAGCCCCTTCTGACATCACAGAATGCTTTAAGAGTTAGGGCTTGTGAGATCTACAGTTGCCAAAAAGGCATTGTCTCAACCTAAGCAGTAAATAAGAATAAGCAGGTAAGGATGGGGCTCATTCAACAACATGCCTATGCTCCTGTTGGTCATCTGCTCCAAATGCTACTAATCCTCCTCTATCAAGGTCCACTGTCGGTTATCAGTCATGGTTTTTTTTCACAGGTTGACGTGACCAAAAAGGCACTAGCTATTTTGGCAGTTTTATTTTGGACTGTGGTCAACTAAGAGATGACAACATTTAAATATTACATGCAAACTTAAAATTATTTTGTTTTGGAAGAAAACAGAAAAATAGGAGATTTATTTTGTTAGAACTGAATAATTTCCTTTGCTGCATTAACATTTTATTGGACGTGAATCATTTCCTATGTTGCATTAGTTAAACTATCTACTTCCAGCAAGTAATGTTATCAACAGTTGGAAATGTGAGAACTTCTTAGTAGGTATTATGTCTTGTGATTACGAATTTTTTTTCTTAACCATGTGAGAACTTCTTGTTATTCCATGTTATGCAATACTATTGTTAAGAACTCAACTATAATTAATTTTTAGTCTATTCTAGGCACTCATTTCACTTGATTATTATGGTTATTTTCCCCTTTGTATTTAACTTTTATACTACATGCTTTTGTATTCTTTCAGGCAAATAAATGTTTCATTTTGTTCAAAATTAAGCCAATACTTGCAACTAATGCTTAGCAATGCTGTAAGAATCATTCAAGAAGACAGTGACCTCCGGGCTTTAAGTTGTCTAGGTTATGATCCTACTTGTGATGATACAGGTTCTCTTGTTTCTTCTGTTCATTTTTTTCTTTCATCTCCTATATTTAAAGAATGGAGGGATAAAAAATTGGTGGACTTTGTCCCATTTGGTGAGGTAATCCAATTTGTGGAGAGACTCTTGCAAGCTTTTGTTAATCTCTATGGAAGCTATTCTCAGCATGTGATGAACCTTCAGTCTGAGACAATCAAGCAAGATATGGATGCTACTGATAGTTTTCAAAGTTCTTGTCCATATGACAGCAGTAAAAGCAGGATTATGGATATGGAATTGGATATTAATGATGATTCTAGAGATAGAGAAGCTGATAGTTTATCAGCTGGAAAAAAAGTAGGCAGTGATTTTTCATCTGCTGCAGAGAAATGGAAAATGGGCATGATATCACTTATTTCCAGTTTTTTCTCTGCTTCGCATATTCTTACGTGGGATAACTTCTTTAAACTAATGGAGAAAGAATATGATCCTAAGGTAGACTTTTCACAGAAAAGGAATTCCTTAATGTTCATAAATTTAGTTGTACAATATTAATATTTCCCTTTCTACTGAATTGTTTCTTTTTATTTCTGTTTTTTATTCATTTTAAATTCAGGTGCGTGGAAAAATATTGTATTATCTCTGTCAATATCCTCATTGGTCCTCTTCTCAAAAATTTATAAATTTGGTAGGAAGTAACTGCATTTAAATTTCAATAAATTTTTTCATATGAAATACTTACCTCTAATTACCTTGTGTTTTGCAGGTCAATGTAATGAATGATATCATTATTGAGCAAGTTGGACTTAAGCTTGCTTGTTATAATGTATTGATTTCTACTCATACTTTAATAACTAACTTATCTTCGCTGGATGCTGGTGGTAAGGACAAATGTGGCCTGTATTTAACGGAAGTGGAAACTGAACAGGTATCTGTGAATATCAATATATTTGGATTTTTCGTGAAGACTGGCTTGTGAGGACCATGAGTCATTGACATTGTATTAGGGAGTCTTTAGTAAAAATAACAGTCTTAATAAAACTTGTAACAATGAGTCTTGCTGTATGTTTTCATTAACAGAAGTGAGAATTAAACTCAATGTACTTTGTTCTTCCATAAAACGTTAGATTTGATGGAATATGAGGTGCTTCATTAGGTGGAGATGGAAGATTAGAACAAGGAGGGGCTTGAGGTCCTATTGGAAATTCTACCTTTAAAGGAATTAATGATTGGATGAAGTAACTGGAATTGAGTGTTTAAACACCGCGACAACCATCTGTTCCTCCTTTGCCACAATCTTTAGGGTTGGAATTGTAGAAAGCAGCAGCTTCACCTCACTAAGATGGCTCACATGTCACTTTATTTGAATCTTTGGAAACATGTAGACCTCACTTGAAAGGAGAAGAGCATACCTGATCAGGAGGCAGGAGCTGAGTACTGGCATCCTCATAGTAGATGCTAAGCCATGTAGAAAACAAACCCCTATTTTTTTGAAACACAGGCAATAATTCTACACAATAATCATATCATAAGGTTGCTCCTTTTGTAGTTTTAGAGTCGAGTAAATCTTCAGAGGGAGGTGACTGTGATAGGACAAGTCCTGTTTGAATGGCATTATTAATTGAAGGGTCAAAGTTTTCTGAATTTTATGCTAACCCTACAATCTTGTGTAAGCCACATTCCCCTGGCTGTAATATCTGATCCATGTCAACCTGGAAAAAATTGGAAAACCACTTTTAGGAGCAGATTCCTGTCAAACCTCAAAATGCAAGACTCGAATTCTGATGAAGTGCAACTTCCCTAGCTACCTCCAATTCGCTAAATAGCTATCTCATTGAACTGTGGCTTTTACACCTTGTGGTAATTGCAATAATTTAGTGATGCTGGATCACGCAAAGTATTACAGTTAGTCACACATCTGCAGAAGGAAATAAGTTAATTGAATCTAGAAATAAAGGGTGAAGTACGACAGAGAAATAGGGATGCTAGGGATAAATTGGAAAATTGGAAATTTAGGGTTTATGAGAAATCTAAATCAGAGGCTCTGTATCATAATATATTTCTCTTTACATTGTCAATACAATTTAATCTGTTTGATAACCCTTGCATGCTGCTCTGTTCATTTCAGAATTCAGACTTAATTTCTTAATAAACTGTGTTTTTGGTGAAAATATGTAATGATTGAAATCTTTTGCACAAAGTGATGTAGCTATTGATTTGATCATGCAGTGCTTTCTGTCACTTGGAAATGTTGTGCATAAGCTATCAGAAGTTGATCTTGATTGGTGTGGACGGGTGAAGCTGATTGATTGCATCTGCAATCTTGTATTACTCCATCCTCCAATTGGTCAGGTGATTTTTAGATATTTCTTGCCAAAAGTAGATCTCCATGACCAGTAGTCTTAATGGCATTATAGTGCAAATGAATATATTTTATTAATAGAAAACGGAAAAGTTATAGGGGGTAAAAGATATTGACTGCATGGAAGCAATTCATACGAGTTCAAGAAAATCAAATCCTGGTTTATTACTCTCTAGAGCAATTTGGTGTTTAATGCTTGTCAATCCCTTACTAGTTTTGTTTTAACAGACAATGATAGAACGGTTACTTTTGATGCTTAAAGATCTGGACTATAGAGTTCGGTTATTCCTGGCAAGGAGGATTGGTGTTCTTTTCCAGACATGGGATGGTCATGAAGAGCTTTTTCAAGACATTTGGTGAGTTGCACTTTAAATGATCTCAACCAGTTTAGTTATACATGATGTTTGTCATAGAAATATTTTTAATGAAATGGCTTTCTTTGCAAGTAGCTTTTTGGGAGTTTTGGTATTGTAGAAGAACTTTTGGGAAATTGTTGCTACTATCACTTAGTAGTATTTAATATCAATGTTATGAATGGTAGATGGCAGGTCATCAGAAGTACGGTGAGCATAATAAAATATATATAAAAAAGATTACAGGTTATAAGAAATGATAGAAAGGAGTTAACTTAAAGCATAAGTATTAATTCAAAGCATAATTCAATATAAAATAAACAATCATCAAATGTCAAGTTAACAAACAAAGTGATAAAAAACAAAAAAAACATAAAGATTAATTCTCTAGTCGTCTTCAACTTCAATATAGTAGTCATCTTTTTTTCATCTATCAAGGCATATCCCTCCTTTTTTCCCTCAGATTTTTGAAGATTAAGTTCCAATTCATCTTTTGTTTCTTTTGACATGTCTTCATTTTCTAATTCTTCATCATCATTATATTAAATCACAATTTTCTCTTTTCTATTTGCTGTTGAACATGCTTTAATTTTGGAAACTTTTGCAGCTTTAATAGTAATACTACTTGATGAATTTTTTCGTTTGTTAGAATGATGCCTTGTATATGTTCTAGGTTCTTCAACTTCAGAAACTTCATAAATAATGTCCAATTTAAAGTGTTATCATTGTCATAAAAAATTACATCATTTCTAGTATCTTCATTCTGAGCATCATAATTCATCTCTTCAACCAACTATTCATTATACTCATCACTGTCATTGAGTATGATTGGATCAATTACATTTTTAAGATTGTAACATTGATTGAGTTGTTGGCAATATTGTTCAAAAACGGTTATGGCGATGCCATGGTGGGTAACGGTGGTGTTTTTCATCCAAACTGCCAAGACCATGGCAAAAACTGGCAATTTTCAATGGCTACACCATGGTAGCCGTTAGGTGCTTGGCGATAACGACGGCTATGTAAAAAATGATGTTTTTGACAGGAAAAATTGGGTTGGTCATGGACTCGACTCGGTCCAAAGAGAAAAACCGCAAGCCCAAACCTTAAATCATGTAATCACATCTTTGTCTCTATTGCGCCAATGGTCGGCCACGTGATACTTGCTGTGTTGAAGTATTTCTTCAGAGGTTGAGGTAAGCCCTAATTGCTGACAGTTCTCGGTGTGGGTGTGCACTTGTTAAGTGCAATGGGGAAAGGGAGTGAAAGTCCAATCTTGCCCTTACTATAATGTCATTTAGGATTTTTTTAAGTGCATAATGGACTTTTGCCCACTTAACATTTTTTACTTCTCTTCTCGGGCAATAAAATCTTTTAAGGTTAAAATTTTTAGGGTTTTCTCTGCTCTTCTTTTTCGTTCTTCTCTAAAGCCAATTCCTCCTTCATCTTTTTCACCATTTTTGCAAGAGAAGACATCCTTTCCTGCAATTGTGAGTGGAGTGCCATTTTTTGCAACATCCATTTTCCATTTTGCTTCTCTGGGCTCTTTCCCTCATTTTTGGTTTTTCCCTCTCCATTCTATATTTTTTCAATTCTATTTTTCCCTCTCCCATTCTGATTTACTCCCCCATTTTTTTTCATTTTCCTTATTATTTTGTTTTCTTGATTTTATCTTTCTGTTTTCACTTCCAAGTTTCCTTCTCCATATTTATTTTTAATTCAGTATTTTTCTGTTATAACTTCAGCTTTTTTTCTCAAAAACCTTCTTTCTTTTATATGTAGTTAGTTTTTTAGTTTTATATCACATTTTTTTGCAATATATATATATATATATATATATATATATATATATATATATATATTGTGACCACCATAACCTGCTATGGCATTCGTCATAATTTTATGGCAGTTTTTTTGCTTTTTGCCATAACCTGCCATGTCGGTTATATTTCACATAAATCAACTTTATTTCTCTTTGAATGAATTTGCAACATAAGTGTAATAAGATAAATATTGATTAGTTTCTTTCTAATTTCTAAAAGAAAGTAACTAGGCTTCAGATGAAAAATTACTTGTTAAAAAACACTCAAGTTGTGTTCACATCTAGATGCATTACATATTATGTTGAAAATTTTGATAGCTAGTTGCTCCAAATTTAGTGCTAAATGGCTATACATTCTGTATCAAAGTTATAAAATCAAAGGTAAATTACAATTTTAAAGGTTTTAACTATAAATCAACTTATAAGTAAAATGTTGCAGTCTTTGATTAATTATAAGGAGCAATGCAATGTTCTTTCTCTGTAATTTTGCAAAGTCAGACCTAAAGAGACCATCACTCCTCTTATAAATTGGTAGTGCAAGTAATATGCTTTGTTGCACATCATTACTAGGCACCAACTGCTTCATATAATTATATAACTCATTCATAACCTCCAAATCAAATTCTATTTGAAGGTTGTCATAAAAAAACTCCGGGTTTAAAATGTGTCTAGCTGCTTGCTAGGATGATGAAGTTGACAAGTCGATCTATTATCTGTAATTATAAACACATCTTTGTATTTGCTTTCTTTTTTTCGAATGACTTAGTAATAACTTCTTTAGTCTTACCCATTGCTTCATAAATGTAGCTCATGATTGGCCTTCTTTAATCATCAACCAAACGAAGCACCCGTAGAAGGGGGACCATGATTTTCAGAATGTAAACTACATTCCAAAATGAAGGCATTAATACAACTTTTGTTTGCTTTTCTTTAGTTTCTTTTGACAACTTGTTTTTGCATCATTGCTTAGAAGTAAACATTTTTTTAAGATTTGTCTTTTCTTGATGAAACAATTTTAATGATAGAAAGAAAGTTGCAAATTGATTAACTGTATGCCTCACCAATTATCTCATGTTTGTAAAATTTTTCAACAAATTCAAGGTACTTGAATGGCTGCGGATAAATCTAACAACAAATATTCTCCTTTGAATTGTCTTCTTTATTAAGGTCTATGCAATAAGCTACACAAGAAGTCTAATAAAGATGTGATTTTTCTTTTAACATTTTACCAGCCAAGATATAATTGCTTATGTAATAATTTACATAATTTTATTCTCTCTAATCTCCTCCATAAGAGCATCAAGCATCTCAAATAACTTTTCACTGGTCTTCACAAAATTAGATTTATCAATGGACCTCCTAAACATAGTTTCAGCAAGAGGGTTTTTTAGGAAATTAATCAAATATCTTTGTTTACAATTAGTCCATGCATCTATCATGCTGGAACTATCATGTTTGCTCCATTGCTCCTTGTGATCTTTCAAGAGAGAATTAATATATTCTAGCTTTTTTTCTAAGAAGTGAAACTCTAATATGATGATAACTCAAAGCTGGAAAATTTGGACCAAAGGCACTTATATCTGTAATCATTTCTTGAAAGCTCTTCAATTTCATAAGGTTAAAGGAAAGACCAAATTGATACCAAAATTGAGCTCCCTTGCCTTAACTTCCTTGTCACATTCTTCTCTTATATTTACTTGTTTCAATTTTAACTTTTTTCGTTTCTCAATGACATTTTTTGGCTTCCTATAAAACAAGTCCGTCGGCCCTTTTTATTAACCTTCTTATTTCTTATAGCAATACTATATGTTTGACTATCTTCCTCATCTTCACTTTTGTCATAACTTATACTTTCAAAGCCTCTCACATTTGGAATTTCAAAGTTATCTTGACTCCTTTTATCCTTTTGATAAGCCTCTAGCCCTTTCTTAACTTCTAGACACTTGGTGCAAGCTTTCACATTAGCCTTCTTTCCAAATTAAATGTTTCACTCTAGGGATTTTTGCACCCAACTTTTCCACAAAAATTGCATACAATATTATTTGTATCACAATCTTTCAACTAATCAGCATATTTTCATCTCGGGTCAAAACAATTGGAAACTCTTGAAAAATTTGATGAATATTCTTGTTCAGCTATGTTAAGGAAAGCTGAAAGAAAGACAGATTATTTGAGGAAAAAAAGTTAAAAATATAGATATGGGAGAGGGAAAAATTGAAACAAGGATGGAGAGGGAAAAACTGAAATAAGGGAAAAACTAAAACAAGGGAAAAACAAAAAAGAAGGCTACCAGAAAAAATGGAGTTGCTGGAGATGGAGGTAGTAGTAATTGGAGATGTAGCATTGGTTGCTGGAGCTGTAGAGCAATACTCAGCTGGAGACTGACAAACATTGAGGAAGAACAAGGGCTGAGTGAGTGAGATTGTGAGAGTGAGGATGAAGAACTCAGATGAAGCAGAAAGGAGCAGCAGAATGACAAAGGCACCAAGCAGAAGCACGAAGAAGAGAGAGGAAAAAGAGATGCGATTTTGTGATTTAGGGTTTTGGCTCGTGAGTTTTCTCTCTGGACCGGGTCGGATCCGTGCCCCAACCCAATTTTTCCCTGTGAAAACCTCCATATTCTGCCATTGTCGTGGCAGTTTGGTCGAACTCTGCTACTGTTAACTGCCATGGCATTGCCATAACCATTTTTTGACAACACTGTTTAATATACATGAGTGCATAGGCTGTGGTCACTCATTGAAGTGCTCCCAAAGTCCCATTTCCTTAGAGTTTCCTGTAAGGAGATTCATTGTGATCCCATTTTTTGGTTGTTTTTACAGTTTGAATTTTGGGGTTCAGATGGTGGTTTATTCCAAAGGAAAGGTCGTTGAGGCAAAGGAAGTGCTAACTGCTGGTCCTCAGTCTCAACCTATAATGGAAACGGTTCTAATCACTCTCATGCATCTTGCTCTGCATAGTGAGAAGATTGAGTTAGAGGTAAACTTTGATTATGACATTGGTTTTTGTTTTCCTTTTATTTTTTGTACTCCGCCCCCCCTTGGATGTTATTCTGGTGTATGGTACAAAATTCTTGGATTTCCTTTTATTTAGATATATTAGCATTTACGTTCATATGCATTTGAGCCCTTTGGGTATTTGGTGATCCTTGGTACCATTATGCAGGCTGTTTTCATGATATGTGTGGTTTCGGCCATTGATCCTTATCATAGGTAAAAATATTTTTCCTTGTCGTTTTAAAACCTTCAGTATGATTTCTTATGTTCACCAGTTTATTTTAGGGAATTGGTCTGTGCTGTGCTTGACAATCTTTCTAGAGAGCTTCAGTATATGACTAGAACGAAGGTAATCAGTGTTTAGATTTTGTTTTTTTTTGTTTGTTTTTATCTCAAATTATGCAATAACTCTAGTTGAGATTGTAGTTACCTATTCTTGGCCTGTGTCTGCAGTTTGGTATTACTAAATGTGCCTTGTGACACTAACTTTAAAAATGTTCATATTAGATCCAAAAGCTGAAATTTCTCTTTTATGTACTAAAGTAAAAAAATATTGCTAGGCACAAATTTACTTATATTTTTTTCATAGAACAAAAAATTGAGATGTGTAGTGCAACTAGGGGCACGGAAAGTATATCCTCTGAAATGGAAAAGGAGAAAAGAAAGAAAAATAAATCAAGAATATAGCAAGGCTCCCTACTTTCTATGTTGTCATAAAGGGACACTCACTTGTAGCAGTCATGAACTAAGCAATAGTGAGAAAAACCGGAAACAAATTTCTATTCCCAAGGCAAATCTAGGGTTGAGAATCGTACTAAAGATGAGCAATTTTACTGCAGTCAAATTGCTGAAGAATGCTGATTCTACTCCCTGGCCTCCCTTATTCTGCCAAATAGAAAGAGAAAATCACTGTAGGTTGAAAGGGCCATGATTTTCTTCCCACCTCATTGCAGCCAAAATAAATTGAAAATTTTAGGGCCTGTTCACTTTTATCATTTTGAAAATAGAAAATAATAAAGAAAACATGTTTGTTAGGATATTTTCATTTTCAGTTTTAAGAAATGTGTTCACCATTTTGGAAATATTGAAAAACATTTTTTCTGTTTTTCCAATCATGTGCACCGGCGTTTTTTGAAAATTTGTACATGTTCATTTCTTCCCCAATCTAAACAATGCCCGCCATCTCTCTGTCAATGTCACCATCAGCATTAATGGATCCAAATTGACAAAATCCCTCCTGCTGCTGCTTCTGTTTTCCCACAAGAAAGAAGCTGGAATGGAAGTTTTTATTCCATTTTGGAGTAAAATGGAAGTTGGGTATTGTGAAGAACATTGTAGAACCAGAGTTGGCCTTGGTGAGATGATGGAGATGGAAAAGCACCGTGCCACAACCACACTTGAACTCAACTACCATAGCTTTTGATACCGTCAGAACTGCAACAACACTTCATTTCTGAACCAATCATAGAACCCGTTAGAAACTATGTTACAGCAGCAGTAAATGAAAAAGTAACATACAAGAAGAAGAACAAATTTCAAAATCTGAAACTGAAAATGCAACTTAGTTTTCAAATTTTCAAAATCTGAATGAAAATAGTTTTCTGAAAATGAAAATAGAAAATGTTTTCATAGACCAAACAGGTCTTTAATGAGCAAGTGAGGAAAGGGTCTGTTAGTGTATGTGTGTGTAGTTCATATTAGTTCTGTTAAGTGATAGTTGTCTTTGTAACTGTTTTCTGTTTCTCTATAACTGAATTAGGAATAGCAGTTTGTGTTTTCTCTTGTGCAAGTTTTTATAAATATACATCACTGATCTGAATTGTATTGTGTTTGTTTTCAACAAAATTAGAGTTTCATTTTCTCTCAATTCTCTGTCTCTTTTCTCTCTGCTCATGGATTTTGGCAGGGTTGAACACCAAATGACCTGTTTAACCATTCTCTAACACCGTCTTCAACATTCACTTATGCTTCTAAAATATAATCACATTCTTGCTGTGATAGTGTTTCTTCGAAAAATTATTTCATTATTCATTTAAGATTCAAAAAGCTTATGAATAATACTTTTCTTTTACTTTGAATTTCTTTTTTGCAGTACTTAGAAGAGCTTCTGGGATCAATTCTCTTTTGTTGGGTAGTTTGTGGTGTAAGCTTAGTTGCGCTTGTTGAGGTAATTTGTACCCCTTATGTTTGGTATAATCCATGTAATTTTACTAAATCTTGAGTGAGGTATATTGCAAGGTAATACCTTGGTTTTATTTTCAGTACAAAGTCAGGAAAGCTGGCCAGTAAAAACTTCAGTTTTTCTTATCTATATATAAAACATTGACAAGCTAGGGGTTATATTTTAAAGTTCATTTGATAATTGAATACAAAAGGATGCTGGCAGGCTTTATGTTCTCAATATCTATGTACATGAGCCTTCACCAAAGCTTTTAGGAGTGTTGGTTGTTGACATAGTTTCAGTGCCTCTATGATTCAACGGTCAATGGTTTGCTCTTTGCTGTCCTCATTCTCCAGATAAAAGATTAACTTTTATCATGTGGTTGTCAAGATTAGATATGGGTTTGTTTAGACGAGCTTATGATCAAATTATGAAAAATAACTTATGACTCATAAGCTATTTTTAGCTTATTTCAATAAGCTTTTTAGTATAACATATTAAAATAAGTTATTTTCAACTTATCTTTATAAATTTCATTATTAAATTCAATACATAGGTCATTGTTTTAAAAAGAGCTTATTGAATAAGTACTTAAATGAACAATTATCCAAATACATTCTATATAGTTTAGGATAAATCATAGTTTTTGATAAATCTTGAACTTTTCTCAAACTGAATTTTGTTATTTTTACTGCAATACGACCAGCTATACTATATGGTAGTGAATACTGAACCTTAAAAGGAACATGAGAAAAAAGTGGAAGTGATGGAAATGAGAATAATAAGGTAGATGAGTGGACACACGAGAAAAAACAAGATACAAAATGATAGCATATGAGAGAATATTGGAGTAGTACCGATAGTAGAAAAAACTATTGAAAATTGTCTAAGGTGATTTGGTTATGTGCTGAAAAGACCTTTGGAGGAGCCAGTTAGGAGAGTAGATTTTTTGACTCTTAATTTGGTAACGAGGAGTCTAGAGAGACCCAAAAGAACCTTAGATGAAGTTATTAGAAGAGATTTTTTGATTAACCAGATTTCTAAAAATTTGGATTTTGACCGAGCTCATTGGCGTTTCGTGATCCATGTAGCCGACCTCACCTAGTGAGATTAGGCTGATTGTAGTTATACATTTTATAATGCTATTCATTAGGATATTTGGTTCGTGTCTGTTACAAGTTCATATTTTTCGTAGAAAATGCGAGAGAACGGGAATTGTTTTGAATGAACATTGCTTATCTTATTTTCATTAATGAATTTGAGAAGATTCAAGCTTATATACATGTTAGTATGTTACAAAGAAGAAAATGAGCAAGGTTAAGCTAGTAACTAACTGACTTGTAACTCTAACATTGTCCCCTCAAACTATGTTTGAGTAACCTGACATGAATCAATCACATTGAGTTTCTTTCTATGATTACAGAAAGTGCAATATGATCATGAGAAGGGGTGTGACAGACTGTAACACTTTTATCAATAACCATCTGTTGGACAAAATGCAAGTCTAACTCCATATGCTTTGTTCTTGAATGAAGAATTGCATTATGAGCCCCGAAGAGACTGGGCTTTAATTGTCGGTGGACAATGGATGAAGTAGGGATTTTCAGCTCTTGAACTATGGACTTGATCCATAGGATTTCAGCAACTGTAGTAGCTAAAATATGATATTCAGCTTCAACTCTTGATCTAGTAACCATAGTTTGTTTTCTTGATCGCCAAGATATAAGATTAGGCCCAAGATAGATGCAGGAGCCAAATGTGGACCTTCTGTCATCTGGATCCACAGCCTAGTCAGCATCATAGAAACCCTGAAGACATAGAGATGTACTTGGTGCTGGAATGAAGTGCAAGCCATAAGAAATAGTGCCCTGCAAGTATCTAAGGATTCTCTTGTTTTGTTTAATTTGCAAACAAGAGTCCTGTCTGCAACTTCAAGGCCAGGAGGTTGTGACATATAAACCTTTTCATCCAACTGCCCATTTAGAAAGGTGTTATTGATATCAAGCTGCTGGATAGGCCACTTGTATGTGAGAAGCAAAGTCAGAACCACTCTGATGGTCACTTGCTTTGCCACAGGTGAAAACGTTTTTGTATAATCAAAGTCTGGTTGTGGATGAAATCCCTTAGCTACAAGACTGGCCTTGTACTTAAACAAAGTGTCATCTGGATTATCTTTGACACCAAATACCCATTTGCAGCCAATTGCTTGTCTGTTATGAGGAAGGGTTACTGAAGTCTAGGTATTCTTGCCATAAATGCTGAGTATTCAGCTTGCGTAGCCAATAGCCAGTGAGGATAAACTAGAGCTTGTTTTACAGATGATGGTTCAACATGAGAAAGGAGTAAGGTAGGATTGAGTTTGGGTTAAAATATTCCAGATTTTGACCTTGTTTGCATACGATGAGTGGATTGGGTTTGAGTAGTGACAGGACCAACAGTTGGTATAGTATTAGGTTCAGACACACCAAATTTAGTTGGTGTAGATGAAGAAGGCTCAGTCACAGAAATTTCAACAGCATTTGATGAACATTCACTGACATGAGAATGAGATTCAGCTGTGGTAGTTGGTGGAGTAACAATGGGAATTTGACCATTTAGAGTTATGGAATCATTGGAGTATGATGAAGTTGGAGCCCCATGAGACTGAGGCATAGGAAAAATAACACTTGTCAAAAAGCACATCCTTGGAGATGGAAATTCTCCCAGCAATGTCCATGCACTTGTAGCCTTTGTGACTAGAGGAATAGCCAAGGAAGAGACATTCCTTAGAATAAAGTTCTAGCTTATGTTTATTTTATTGCCTTAGAAAAGGACAACAGGCACAAGCAAAGGTATGTAGGAAGAGATAATCTGGTTCTTGTCAAAAGAGCTTGGAGATATGGAACAGATCCATTGAGAGATGATCATGAGAGACAATTAATTTGGTATACTGCAGTGCAGAGTCCATGATCCCAGAACTTATAAGGAAGAGATGCTTACGCTAGTAGAGTGAGTCCAATCTCAAATGTGACGATTCTTTCTTTCAGTATCATTTCAGTACTTATGTTGAATACCAAGGTCAGTAAGGCACTTGGTGAATGGTCTGTATTCACCACCCCAATCTGATTGAATAGACTTAATACACCTTGAAAATTAAGCTTTTACTAATTTTCTAAATTGACAGAAGGTAGAAAGAGCCTCAGATTTTTGTTTAAGAATATAGATCCAGGTGTATCTCCTGCATGCATCTGCAAATGTTAAATAATATGAGTAACCTGTGGTAGATAGAAAGAGAGCAGTGGCAGTAGAAGGTAAACATTGAATTTTACCCATATAACATGCGGAGTAGAAATCAAATGGTTCCTTTCTTGATAGATGTTATATTACAATGACATAGAGCCAATGTTATCAATAATGGTGGATGGGCGGTCATGGCGGACAGCCAAAAAATTGCCATAAAATTATGGTGGATGCCATGGCAGCTTATGGCGGAAGTATGGCAGTCATAATAAAATAGCATAATATATATATTATATCTACAAAAATATATAAAAAAATTACTACATATGAGGACTGTTTGAAGCAGAAAAACACACAGAGAAGCAAAACAGAAAAGAGATGCCAAAAAAGAGGCCGCCCTTCCACTCAGAGTCCCTGGAAAACACCCAAAAAGGATGTCTTCTCCCACATAACAGCCGCCATGGCACTGCCATCGTAAATCCACCATGGTTGTGGCTGTTTGGGCAAAAACCGCCACTGACATCCACCATGGAGCTGCCATTTAAGTTCATCAACATGTCGATGAGCTAGTTTGTTGTGTCAAATTTAGTGTTAGGTAAAAGTGATTTATGTGGCTTTGAAGCAGAGGACACAACCATGTGATGAAATCTTTGAAGTCCGTCAGCACCAAGAGACCCTTCTAGTAGAAAGGGTTATGAATGAGCATTGGTACTAGGCTTGTGATACCATGCTAGAATTTCATATATTTCAGAGAGAATGAGAGAGAACAGAGAATTGTTTTCAACAAATATTGCTTATCTAAATATTTCATTAATGAATTTGAGAAGATACCAGTTTATATACATGTTACGAAGAAGAGAATGAGCAAGGTTCAGTCTGTAACTAACTCTCTGGTAGTTACAGCTGATACAACAAACATTAGGCCTATACTAATTTGACTTATGATTTTAACAATGTCAAACATTGAATACAAGAGCTTATCAGGCCCAAAAAAGTAATCTCATTTTTTATTCTTATATCTCTCTTATCTACCTTCAACCCCCTGAACAGGGCTTGAACTGGATTATAAAATACTACTTGCAATATGTTGCACTAGAATAATATTATTCTTGTGCCTTGTCATCTTCTAATTTTTTTTCTTGCCAAGGATAGTTTTGCAAACCCTCCTTATTTTTCCCCTGAATAGTGACATGCTGCTTCTTGATAAATTCTGGATATCTAAAACCCTTTCTATTTTGAAATTTTTTGATTGGGCATGGCAATCTTTTGATGTATTCTGATGAACTATTTCTTCACCATAAATAAATAAATTGCTGTTTGCAGACAAGGCATCTTTTTTTACCTGATGCAGAACCAGATCATTTCCTTCAATATTGTTGTCCATGGCTTCTTCCTGCTCTTCTTATCAATGAAAACAGTTCTGATCTCAATTGGGTTGCGAAGGTATGAGCAGTTTCTGTAATTGGTGGTATTTTTTATATGATTAAGTAAACTTCTTGTTTCACCCGTCAGAAATTGAAAACAAAAGGGATTGTCAAGGGAAATGATTAAGTATTTGCACTGTCTCATTCATTGCATATCAGGATGCAGGACATTTCTATTAATTGCTTATGTTTTCTCAGTTTGGATCTTATATTGCAACTTTGGTGTTTATATATATTGTATTCTCTAACTGAATTCCTTTATGCAGGTTACTTGTCAACCTTTGACAGTTCTTGTAAAAAACCACTTCACATCGATATTTTCAGTTTCTATGGCTTTGCATTGCAGTAAGAAACAAGGATCGGAGAAGGGAACACTTGTGCTTCAGAGTTCCATTCTGCATTTTGGTCAGATATCTGAGAATGAACGGGACAAACTCATTAAGAGACATATGGTATGCTAGTCTGCACTTTAGGGTCTTTTTGTTTTGCAGAAAATAATCTTTATGAAAAACATTCTTGTATATTTGGCGTAATATTTAAAAGAAAATATTTTCTTGATTATTTTTTCAAGTCATTGAATGACAGAAAAGTGACTTCTTAACAAATCAAACAATACAAAATTTTACAAAAATGCACCAGTTTCTTAATATTCAAATCTAATGGTTTTTCAAGGAAAATTTCCATGAAAAATTTTCAGGAATAGTTTCTTCTAAACTCTTTATTTTTGCTAAGTTATTTTCCATGAAACAATTGGACCCTTAATTTTGTTGGTCTTTCCTTCAATTCCACCACAAATAAATTTTGCATTCATGTTTCTCTACATCTGCTGGGGGCTTTGTAAACATGCAACAGTGTGTTAATGATATTGAACATTGTAATTAACAAAATACCTGACATTATATTAAAGCACCATTGGATTAGATTAATCTGCAGTCTTGCAATTTAGATGCCATTTGTTGACATGTACAAAAGTAATATCTCGTCTCCATGTTATTATTAGCTGGCTTTGTTTAACGAGTCATTTCTTTGAAGTTTAACATCCTGTTTCTGGAACTTTTGTACTTTTAGGTCTCTATCGTCAGCTGTGTTTTATCGTTGTGCTCTAGTTCATCCAACCCCATAGTCCCTTTCTTTCCAAGGGATACAGTGTTTCTTGAAATTCAAACAATTGTTGATGGATTTCTGGACCAGTGAGTTATCTTTTCTGCCTTGGTGTTTATCTTCTGTTCCGATTTGAGTTTGTTCTTGATATGTAATATTTAATTAGATGTAGGGATGATAACCATACAAGTGCTGCTGTTGTTGACAAAATCAACATTTTTCGCCCAGATAGAGTTTTCATGGTAACTTTTTGACATAAAAATTTATGATACCATTTTGATATTCATTTTCCTGCTCATCATTTTCATTCTGTCCCTTTTTGTTTTTAATAAATTCAACTATTTATTAATTGGCAGTTTCTGGTAGAAATTCATTATAAAATTGCAGCAGCATCTCATTACAGGCATAAGTGCCACCGGTTGGCTGGAATTGAGGTGCTTATTAGTGTTCTTGGTCAAAGAGCTACTGTTTTAAGCACTTCCAAGTAAGTTTTATTGACTGAGATTTGGTGTTTATTATATTGAGATGGCATGGTACTTGGGAAATCTAGTGTGCATCCTTGGTTACATAATTATCGTTTGAATTTCCTTGTATTAGTTGAAAGAGTGTGTGAATTGCCTACTTGTGTGTGCTAAACTTTCTTGGATATGATCACCTATTAGCTACGTATCACTATTATTTCCTGTCAGCATGATGTGCAAATGACATTTTTTTTATTTAGATATGATCCTCGAAGCATTGTGGATGTCCATCCAGTACTTTCAAATTGTCAAGGACTTTAGCTGAGCTAGCAGCATAACATGAACTTGCAGTCAAATCCTTTTGGTGTTTACAATTTAATTTAATTTATAATTGAAGAACTTGTTGCAATTACCCCATACTCACATTCCCTAACTGGTTTCAATATCTGATGAATTTTGCCTCACAATGGTCTTTGATGTACCTCATCAATCGGTTGTAACTGAGTTGGCCAGTTAAAGTGTTATGCTAGGTGGGATTGGTTCACATTTTTTACAATGGTTCAACGTTTCCTGAATTTAAAATATAGAATAAAATGTTTTTTGTGAGTTGACCTTTTCAATCTTTCAAATGCTATATTTTTCACTTATTTTTATTTTGGCCTAATTGTATTTTTGGTTCCTCTTGTTTGGACTTTGTGCAAGGTTTGTTCCCACCAATTAAGTCCTATTTTTAAAATTATGCAAACTTGGTTGCCCATTGCCATTGATTTTCTTCTACCTAAAGTTCAATTTCTTATTTTTTGTCCACATTTTTGGGAGATTTGTAATGGAATCAGAACATTAAATAATTTGAAAATTTCAGAAGTAAGAAATATGGTGAAAACTTGATAAAATTTGAAGGATTTTATGAGATTTGGGTTTGAATTGAAGAAATTTGAAATTTTTTTATTTTGGGTGGAATTTGATATAATGGTTAGTTTTAAGCCAAAAGAAAAAGTAATTCATTTAATGTTAATATTTTGAATAAAAAAAATGAGCATTTAAAATTTTTGGACACAAGAAAATTTGCGGGGGTTTAAATTTGCTAAATTTTAAAAGTAGAGGGAGGGACTTAATTAGCTGAAAAAAAAAAAATTTGAACCACCAAAATTGCACATAACTCCAAATTAGAGGAATAGAAAATGTAATTAAGTCTTTTATTTAAATAGATGTCCCTTTTAGTTCTGCCTTTCTATCCTTTTTTGTCTTCTCATTCTCTTATCCACAATTTTAATGTTCATAACTCTATGGGTCCCTATAGTTTCACTGAGTAGTTAAATAGGTCCTTATTGTTTAAAAACTTTTAATGGGGTCCCTATATTTCTATAAGTTTTTATTGAATCTTTACTCCCAAATAGTCAAAACAATTCCAATATCTTTTGTTGAATAATAGGAACCTCTTTAAACACATAAACAAACTGTAAGGATCTATTTGACAGATAACATGGTTGATTATGCTTTTATTCTTTGTCTGCATTTTCAATGGATAAACGTTATAATGTGGAAAAAGTTAATGACATTTAGTGAATAGTGACCTGACTTTTTTTTTATATAAAAACAGTCAGAAACTTTTAAATTATTAGGACTTATTTAAAATTTCAATAAAACTATAAGGATCTATAGATTCATTTAACCTAATTTAAATGACTGTGAATTTCCTAAATTACTGTTTATTGATTGTCTTTTATGTTTGGAAGTTTACTTTTATGCTCTGGTGGTTTATAGTATTCCTTTTGTTCCTTCTTTTTATTTTCCCTCTTACTGTTTTGTTTGCTGTATGCTACTTGCCAACCTGTCTGTTGAACTAAAGGCCCTGAGTGCGCCCATTTTACACATTTCTCACGTGTCATTTTCAAATTTTAATTGTATCTGTCTAGTGTTGATAATTTTGGGCTTTTGATCTGTGTATTTATCATTTACTTTTGCTTAAATTTTGAGCAAATGCAGTTATCTTTTCAACTTGATTGGGTCACTGATTGAATGTGATGCATTACAAGACCAATGCTGTTGTATACTTTCTGCATTGTTTCTACTTTTGAAAAAGAATCTATCCACAGATATGACCAGTATGCTTGGGGAACAGCTCCAGGTATATATAGTTTCATGTTTACTGTTTTTTCTACTCTTCTGATTTCCTTTTTAAACTTGTATTTAGTAGATTGTGTTCTGTCCAGTTTCTTGTTTCAAAGTTGGTGACTTGTTGCATTCCTTCTAAAACCAAAGAATCATTTGACAGCACTACATCACAAGCTTTATCTCTGCTTCATATGTTAACTGTGGATTCTGACTCATCTATGTATGATCACATTAAAGTGAGTTTCTTCTATTCAACTTGTCCCTGTTGTATTAAAATATATTGTACACAAAATCAAGCCATATCTCTGCTCCATATGTTAATTTCTTGTAGGAACTGGAGCCATTCCCTGTAATAGAAATATTTGATGAGATAAGGAAGTTCCATGAAGAATTATGCCACACTTACTCTATACGTGACCACATATTGAAGGTGAATAATTATTATTTTCCATTGCATTTTTATGGCAGTAAGACATTAACTTCCAAGTTAATTATATTTTGATCTGTTATCTGGTGCATTTTTATTTTCAGTTTGTAAAGAAATCTTGCTACCTTCCGCCTAGGTTGCTTTTATCAAGGTGACTTTCCTTTTTCAACAATCTGCCCTGTGTTAGTATCTCTCATAGGTTTCTATGATGATAGGCTGAAGTTGTGTCTTCATATTTAAATATAACTAAATTCCAAGTATTGGTCTCACAGTTATTAGTGTGTACTGAATGTGCATGAGTTTGCCTTGCAAGGGGAAGAATTAGTGGACACTGGCCAAGTATTTAATTCTAATAAAATATCAAATGAAAATTATTATAATTTGCTACTTAATTTTGTGATCTTAAGCTGGTTCAAAGTTTCTTGTGTTATTGTTTCTTGAATCTGGTTTTTCTCAGTCTCCAGGCATTGCACAAGAAGTTACTAAATGTAGAAACCATTCAAAGAGGGAGAGAAGAAGGTTTTCTTAAAGACAGATATTGGCATGGTGATCATGAAATTGTGCATGCAGTCTGGACACTTGTTCACTTGTGTGGCTCTGATGGTGCAAGTGAAGTTCGAGAATTGGTTTCAGATTTTGTTTCTAGGGTAATGTTCTAACTTTCAGACAGTGGCAGAGAGTTGAGCAGGAGCTTCTTGTTCTCTTGCTCAGCTTGTCTTTTCCCTTTAAGTTCACATTTCAGTTTAACATGTTTACGCTTTTCTCCTTTATTGCCTGCCTCCTCAATATAAGTTGGTTTTTTATTGTAAAATTCTTAAGATGAGAAGCATAGCCTACTATTAGAATCCCACAACAATGGTTAAGGCAATTCACCTTTTGAATTTTTATCCTAGGGATTGAACTTGGGCCTTTTCCTGTGAGATACAAGCTGCTACCAAATGTGCCATCCTTGTGTCCCTCTTCAATAGTTTAATTTATTATTTTAGTCTTTGTATCTTGACTCTTGTTTCCCTACTTATATGCAGTCATACACTTTCTATCACTTTTAGAAATTTGGTTCCTTCATTGTCACTGCTCTGCTGCAGGTTGGTGTTGGGGACCCATACTCTGTCGTTTTCCATCTTCCAGGCAAGGCTACTCATATTCATCTTGGTAATTCTATTGATATCAGCAGTGCGAAGGAAATCTGTTCCAATTCAGATGCATGCATATCTGAAGAGCTTTTGGTTGTCGTTTTGAAATTTCTACTGAAATATCTGATGGACGATTCTGTGGAAGTTGTTGATATGGCATCACAAACTCTTCGTGTAGGTGATCCGACTGGCAATAGGTCTTTGATGAAAATCATCAATATTTATTTTGATATTTCTTTATTATATTCTTGTACATAAATGTAAATAACTGCTTCTGTCTTGTAATTTATTGCCCTGAAGCTGAAAGTTAATTACTTGATGTATTGCTTAAAGAAATGGATTGAAGTGTTTGATATTGCCATTTGCTTTGGTGTTTGTGTTTTTATTGCAATCTGTAAATTATAGATGCTGCACACTTGCCTTGCTTCATATATAAGTAATTGCATCTGCATTTTGGATTTACAGGGAATACTTTCAACTGAAAGAGGGCAAAGTGCTTTACAGTCATTAGATTCTCATCAGAGGTCTATGATTGAGGTAATATTTTAATCCATTTAGAAAAGAGTATTCATTTTCTCTTAATTTTCAAGTTAAAATCTGTAAATTTCATATTGGGTTTTCTTGAAATGCATTGGTTAAATGCTTCTATGTTATTGTATTGATGAACAAGTTGGGATATGGGAGAGCGTTGGATATCTTGAGATAATTTGAATTATCCTTTGTGATGTGAGTATTTGATTTTAATATGACACATGATTTCTATATGTTATTGTTCCAAACAATGGTAGCGCTACCTTGTGTTATCCAGCTACTCTCTTCTACTAATTAATTGCTTATAAAAGTCTAACTGTTTCTCAACTTTATGTAGCCACTACTTAATTCTTGGAACAATAACTTGTAGAAGGCTCTGTTTACCATTCTTAAATTGAACATCAAGTACCAAGACCCTATGTTATATAATAAGGCTATCTCCTGGAATCATTTTACTATCCTTGCAAATTCTTTTATCTAAATTCCTCACCTAGAAAATATTGATTTGCAACCTTGAAACTTTGCTCTTAAAAGTGATAAGAAGTTTCTCCTTTTTAAAACTAGTGTTCATAATCTTAATGTTATAGGACATTGAGAAATTAAGGATAAATTATCCTTCTTAATTTAACTCTCCAAAACTAAAACTATGACAAATCCTTGTAAATTTCTTGTCTTACAATCAACATGTCTATTAAAGTCTTTACCTATAAAAATCGTTTTGGTTTGTAGAATGTCTTGGATCAACTTCTCTAAATCCTCCCAAAGCTTTGCTTTCAAAAGGGCTTTCAAATCAACTTGTGGAGCATAAGCACTGATGATATTAATAGTGTCTCATGCAATCAATAATTTTAAGAAAATGATCCTATCTCCAATCCTTTTAATCTCTACCATGTTCTTTTACCAAGTATTATCCACAATTGTGTCTACTATGCAGTGTTTGTCCATGCTCGTAATGGCCGGCCATGGCGGAAACAGTGGATATGGCGTTTTTTTTTTTGTTGAAAATAGGGTTTTTCTGCAATTTTGGGTCAGACCCGACCCTACGCAGTTCAAATACCTAACCCTAAATTCAGGTTTTTCCCTCTCTTCTTATGATCTCACTCTCCCTCTCTTTTTGATCTCACTCTCTCTCTCTCTGCGATCTCACTCTCCTCTCTGCTCATCTCTTTTCTCTTTGCTCTGTACAGAGATTTCACTCTCTCTCTCTGCTCTCTTTGAGATCTCTTTTTTTGCTGAGATCTCTTTGTCCTAGGCTCCTTGGATTTCTGTTTTGGTGCAGTTCTGTCTCCATTTCCGGCAACTGTACCTCAATCTCTGGCGACCTCAACCTCCATTTCCGGTGACCGGTCCTCCATCTCCGGCGACTTCAACTTCTATTTCCAGCAACTAGTCCTCTAAATGAGGGAAGGGAGCCACCCCAAACCAAAGACAGAGACTGCCCACTAAAAGGGAGAGAGATGGATATTGGAGAAGATAGTTTGAACAAAAGTGGAGAAAGAAAAAAGGGTTAGGGAATTAGTGTGATAAGACTATTTTACCCTTAAAAAAAGCTTAAAACATAGAGAAAAAGGGAAAGCTAAATTTTTTTAAAAGGAAAAAGTCTTTTTACTCTTATAAAACCCTAAAAACTCTTGGACAGAAAAGAAAAGTAAATATTTCTATTGGAACTCTAAACAGAATAGCAGAAGAAAAGATAAATAAAAAAAAGATAACAAAACAAAAAATTTAAAAATGTTTATTTTGTATTGAATTATGGGTAAAGCTACTTGTGTTTTGAGTTAATTTTTTTTCTATAATTTCTTATTATCTATATATAATATTTTTTATATATTTATTATAGCCGCCATAATTCTGTCATAACCCACCATGGCAGCTGCCATAATTTTATGGCAGTTTTTTGGGTTTCCGCCATGACCCGCCATGATAACATTGCTACTACGTTCTTTCCCTTGACTTTTCCTCTGTACCAAAGTTTGAAACTTGTATTATCGAGTACATTAGCCTTATTTTTAATCTATTTTGTTTCTTGAAGTGCTAATCTTTTTACAAATTAGTGTTCACTACTGCCAACGAATTTTCTATCAAAGTACCAATATTTCATGAACCAAACAGGAACATGCATTCCTGGTCCAACTTCTTTACCCCCATTTATCCAGCCAAATATGAGGATCCTTGCTCATTTAACACCACATCCAAGCGCCGATGCAGTGGTTTTTGCTCATTTGATATTGTACTCAAGTCATACAACATGTTACTTTCGGTAATGACCTAGCCTTAACATAATATCGTTGTGTGTAATCCATATGAAAGGATACCCTCTTCCTTTACTCAGACTTGGGACTGGCTATAGGGCCATAGCCGGAGTTTACAATTATCTCAAATGCAATAAAAATAAATAGAAAGTCTGAAAAACATAAAAAGAATCTTTACCTTGTCTAGAATTTCCAGAATAAAATTAGGGTTATAAAAAAATTACTAAATAGAAAAATATTTTTAAAAATATTTAATAAACAAGAATATATGAAGAAAGTTTTCTTCAGTTTGATTTGAATTTTTTTTATAATGTTTAAAATTTTCTATGTTAAAAAATTGTAATTTTAATATTTTGTATTGAATAATGACATGCATATATTAAATGAAAAAAATTGTTAAAATTTTATATTCACAATAAAATGAATAAAAATTAATTGACCTCATTTTTGAGCCAACTTCTGTGCTTTGCATGGGTGACGATTGTTGTTTGAATACAAAATCTAATGATATAAAATGCAGGGGTCCCAAAAGATTGGCTGGCTGAGAAATTTGGATCAAATAATGATAACCAATATATATATTGAGAATAAATGTTTAAGTATATAAGTGGCACACATTCCTTATGTTTTATATTTAGTACGTAAACTGGAAATTGACAAAAGAAAATGCTAGCATGTGCCAGAGTTTAGACTTGGAACTGTTTTCTCCTCTTATAATTTTTAGTGTCTACTATTGCAGGTCCATTCCAAAGGAGTCAATTTTGAACTTGTGGAAAATCTTCTTTTGGACCTGGATAGGAAGTCAAAAGGTATTTTGGTTGGTTTGCTTATATCCATGTTATTGTGAATGCCATTAGAACTGATTTGATCTGAATAAATGTTTTGCCATAGCGGTGGCAATAGATTCTATACTTATTGAGTAGCTGCAAAAATATCCACAATGGGTTTGATAAATACTTGCTTCATGGATTTGGTTCTAGCTAAAGGTTAATAACCTATAAAATTTGATGATACGGTATGAGTACAGGCACTATAGTACCTATACCCATTTACCTATACTTATATATATATATATACACACACACACACACACATACCATGTATATATAATTGAAACTAAAGTTTTAGATAAATATTTTGATATAATTTCGTTTACATATTATATTGTAATTTGATATTTTATTGTATTTTGTTTGACTTTCAATAAATTATTTTATATTTTATTTGAGTATTATTACAAAAATGATCTTTACTTTACGATAATATTTATACTTTCATTAAAATATTAGGGAAAACTATGTTCCAGTTGACAAACTATGGGTAACGGGTATCGGGATTTGGGTACTCAACACGAATGAGATGGGGACTGGTATGGGTAATTATTTTTAGTGTGGGTATAGGGACGATTCTTATAGTACCCTATCCAAATTCTACTCATTGTCATTCTTATTTTTCCCTTAATCATATTGTTCAATTAGACATTGTGCTAGGATTGTTTCTCATCCTTTTGATTGAGTTTTATTTTTTGTTTCCAACCTTAATATGCATAACAATAGCACTTTAAATGAATGGGAATGACTTCTGCATATGAACCACACTAAAAGTTTAGCATTTTGACTCTGTAACTGTGAACACATAGGAGGCTGAACTGAAGACCAGTTAGTTTTGGCTTTAAATTGGCTGCCAGTTCCATGACGTGTATTTCAAAATTTGCACGGGGATGAAATGGTAACCCTAGAAGAATTGTGCTACAAAGTACAAACGGTAGATATGTATGCGCTTACATGCTGTTGAGACTTTAGAAAATAAGAAAGGACGTGATAGAATTCATGTGTCAGTTACACTGCATCAAATATTACATAATATTATTTAATTACTATAATTAGGAAAACCATAATTATATGAAAATATAAATATTATATTATGAAAGTATTATGTTATGAATTAACCTTGTACTGTGTAAATAGGGTACTTGTATGATGTATCATATTATGTAATCACTGTATATACAATAACTATATGATGTATCATATTATGTAATTACTATACTTAGGATAACCATAATTATATGAAAGTAAAGATATTATATTATGTAATTACTATTTATATGAAAGCTATAAATACAAGGATTTATGGTGATCCTAATTATAGTAATTACATAATATGATACATCATATAGTTACTGTATATACAGTGATTACATAATATGATACATCATACAAGTACCCTATTTACATTCTATATAGTACAAGGTTAATTCATTGAATATACAATACCTAGAAGTTGATATCCTAAAGAAGAGCTTTCCCAATTAGCATCTGAATATCCCACAACTTGATTATGACCTTTGTCTTCATAGAAATATAATTTTCATATATGTTGTGCAGATTACTAAGCTCATTCTTAGTGTGTAGATTACTAGATTATTTATAACCTTTCCTAGGTTCCTTACTTATATTCTGTTCATATTTATAGTTTGTAGAACTGTAGATTAAATGTTCCACATTGTATATATTCAATATAATATAAGTTATAGCGTTCAGTGCTTTTTACACTGAATCATTCCTCCAAAATAATCCCTTCACATGGTATCATGAACCCTCTTTATTATCCATCACTGTCCTATATTGACACTAAAAGCAAATAATTCTGAAAATCACAATATAAATCCTCATGCAAATATTTTCAAATAAACTAAAAGACTAACACTTGAAATTCTGAATTCTATTATGTCATCTATTATAATTTACATGTATATAATTATGTAGGAGTCTAATCCTAATATTTACAGGAGACAATGACAATAAATAAGTACAATAAATCTTAATAATTAGGAGATATTCTCAACACTAACTATTCACAAATCTTTTAGAGATTGGAAGTTATAACACTCTTACTAGTTAGGCCCTAGTAGATGTTATAATCAGGTAATCTATGTAGCAATGCAGAAATATTACACTTGAGAAGAATCTTAAATGATTATGTACTTCCATCACTGAAATCAAGAGTTAACTCTTCCACCAGTAACTGAAATTTCCTTCTTCGAAAAGGTTCATACTAAAGCTTATAACTAACCTTTAACCAGTGAGATTTGTTCTTTAAGACATCTATCTGTTCATATGGTTGTTATCCCCATTAATGTAATTAAAATATTAACTATCCTGTGATAATTTTTAATTTTTTTCAGCTGAAGCAATTTCATTGGAGAAGTCCACTGTGTGGGCAACAGATGGTAAAACTTTTGAGATGTGGATTTGTCCATTAGTTTATTCACTTATTGTCTACTGCAACGATGTGATACTAAGGTATCGTGGACCTGTCTAACGACTTAAATGTTGACAATTTTAGATGGTCCTTTATCACATTTCTCTTCCTTTCCTCTCATTTTCCTAGCATATTGTACTTCCAGATTGTGTCAAGATGTAGTATTGTTTAAAGCTGAAGTTGCTGAGCTTCTTTTGCCAAGTATTTTTGTCAATATCGCTGCAAGAAAGGATCTGGATGTTGATCTTCACAGATTAATGTGTCTGCAGGTCATATTCTAGAGATGGACTGCTCCTTCCTGTCGATTTTAATTTTTGAGAGCATATTCAGTCATTTAATATTATATTGAAAATGATAGTAATATAGCAACCTGCACTATTGGACTTAAATTAATAAGCTTTTTATTTAAGTTGATTTGAATATATGTATTTCAGCACAAAGTTCGAGTTTTTTGTGCTCTGCAAATAAACAATGTTTTTGTTGAATTTTGCAGTTAAAGGAGCATATCTTTACAGAGTCAAATAAGTTGATGAAATCCATTCAAGTGGTTTTGAATTGTCTTAATGAACTTAGAATTTGTCATGTGATGGAAAGATCTACATTTGTGCCATCAAGGCGTGAAATATCCAAGGTGAATATTACTCAAATGTCCTATTTTCACTGATATTTTCAACATTTTTGTTCGTAAGTAGGAAAACACTTGAAGCAGAGGGAAAACACAAGGTTTGAGTGAAAAACTTGCTTGAGAGATTGTCCCTGCCCTGTCATATATATAAAAATACTGTACAAGGAGTTTCTGGTAATTTGGGAAAGAATATTACAAGACATACTGGCTATTTAACCTAATTATGTACTGCTAATAAAAGAACTAGTCTCCTAATTAAGGAAATAAAAAAACTGTACAAATCAAGTCAGCCAAATCTGTTCTAATTTTGCAAGTAAGATCTTTAAACTGCTCAGTGGGAAGTCCCTTGGTGAACATGTCGACCAACTGCAATTTTGAAGAATGTCGGCGGTGGTTATAAGGCTGCTGTTCAATTTCTCCTTAATGAAATGTCAGTCTATCACTATGTGCTTTGTTCGATCATGTTGAACTGGATTGTGCACAATGTTGATGGCTGATTTATTATCACAAACCAGTCTTATGGGAGCTTCATACTTTATTTTAAGGTCAGCAAGTATTATCTTCATCCATAAAAGTTTAGACCCCTTGTGCCATAGCTCTAAATTCTGCCTTTGCACTTGATCTTGCAACCACATTTTGCTTCTTGCTCCTCCATGTCACCAAATTTCCACCCAAGAACATGCAATATCTTGTGGTGGACCTCCTATCAACAACTGATCCTGCATAGTTAGCATCAGTATACACTTCCATGGATAAGTTTCCCTCCTTTTTAAATAGCAATCCTTTCCCCTGGAGAGGCCTCCAAGTACTGAATAATTCTATTTACTGCCTGCAAGTGTCTTTCTCTTGGATCATGCATGAATTGACTAACTATACTAACTGCATAGGCTATGTCTAGCCTGGTGTGGGATAAATAGATGAGCTTTCCCACAAGTCTCTGGTACTGTGTCTTATCCACCTTTAGGCTTTCCTCATCATTCCCAATTCTATGGTTTTGCTCTATGGGTGCTCCAATGCTCTTATAGCCTAGCTTACCAGTTTCTTTAAGAAGATTAAGAATGTATTTTCTTTGATAAATAAAGATATCGTGTCTGGAGTATGCAACTTCTATTCCAAGGAAGTACTTTAGCTTACTGAGATCCTTCATCTCAAATTGAGCAGCCAACTTCTCCCTCAAATTTTGTTTTTTCATCTCATTGTCACCTGCAATAATCATATCATCTACAGACTAAAAGTAGAGTGAGTTTGCTGTCTTGTGAATGTTTAATGAAGAGAGCATGGTCACCTTAGCTTTGTTTGTACCCTAGAGATACCATGGCCTGAGTGAACCTCCCAAACTAGGCCCGAGGTGACTATTTAAGGCAATACAAGGCTTTCTTTAATTTGCAAACCTTACTCCCTCCACCAGCAACACCATATCTAGGTGGAATCTCCATGTATACTTCATCTAGGCTCCCATCCAAAAAGGCGTTTTTAACATCAAACTGATGCATCTCCCAACCAAAGTGTGCTGCCAAGGAGAGGATAATTCTGACTGTGTTCATTTTTGCCACATGAAGTCTCGTCATAATCAATCCCATAGGTTTGGGTGTATCATTTTGCAATCAGCTTTGCTTTATACCTGTCTAGTGTGGCATCAGAGTGATACTTAACAGTGTATATCCACTGACAACCCACTGCTTTCTTATCCTTTGGTCTCTCTACAATCTCCTAAGTCTCATTCTTTTCCAATGCACCCATTTCATCATTCATGGCTTGAACCCAGTTCTTATCCTTTAAGGCTTCTTATACTAATGTGGGGATTATGATAGAATCAATAGCTGAAATAAAACTTTGGTGTTGCATAGAAAGATTTTTAGTAGACACAAACTGGGATATAGGATATTTGGCACAAGATCTTTTTCCTTTTCTTAAAGCAATTGGTAAATTATCTGGGTTAAGATCACAAGAGATATATTTAAGGTGTCCTCAAGATTATCGACCAGGTCGGGTTTTCTCTTCGCTGATATTGGATCCTAAAACGTCTAACTTCGTTATTCTACATTGGTCCAGGATCTTTGTCATCCTCTGTAAGAGTAGAATTTTGCAACAAAGGAATAGATGACAACTCAAAGAACTCAACTTCTTCCAGATTAGTCTCCCCCTGACGCTGAGTATTAGTGAAGAAGGGTTCTGTTACATGAAATGTGACATCCTTGGAGACAGACACAACTTTGGGGTTGATAACTGTTAGAGACAAGTTTCCAGAAGGGCTGAAGGTTTATAAGCGGCAACATTATCGGAGGGGAATTAGAAAGTCGGCAGTTATACTCTGCTATAGTTTAGGATTTATCTTTTGCTGTTACACTTTGCTATAGTTTAGGATTTATCTTTTATTATTTCCTATTGTTATTGTTCTTCTGTTACAGTAGATAGAAGCATGATTTTAGGGACAGAACAGATTAAATAGGGAGAACTCCAAGGAGAAAGGTATCTGGGTAATTTTCAGAATTAGGGTATTGAGCCACCTGAGAGCTCATTCTTCATTGTTATTCTCTGCTCAACTGAGCCACTTCTATATACACTTTAACGTTTTGTTTCATATACCTTATCATTGGTATCAGAGCACTTTCCTGGTGCTTGGGTTCCCTTGAGAAGATGGATTCTGAATGATTGGAGCGTGTGGAGAAGACGTTGGAAGAGTTGATGTAACGAATGGCAGTCTGGGGCCGCTCGCGCCGCCGTGACAGAACCCCACCGAGGACCCCTAACCGCCAAGGTGAAGGACGATGGAAACCCACCTCTAGGTCAGAGGCGTTGATCTCTCCGGAATGCAACGAGGGGCAGTCTTTTGTGCCCCCTCATGACCGTGACCCTCACGGAGACAATTCCAGGCACCGGCGTCACCATTCTCCCTTCAAAGATCGACGTCACAACTATTCTCCTCCAACAGATCGCGATCGGAGAATAGAACTCCTCATTTTTGCCGGCGAGGACCAGTGAACTGGCTGGTGAAGATCGAAAGGTACTTCACGCTCCAACGCATCGAAGGTGACGAATGACTAGATGTCGTACTCCTCGCATGGGAAGGTGCGGCACTGAACTGGTTTTACGCATGGGAAGAACAGGCAGCGTTCTCTTCGTGGCGTTGATTCAAACGAGCCTTGCTGGGCCGCTACCAACCCGGCACAAGCAAGGACCCCTATAGAGCTTTGTTCCGCCTGAAGCAAACCGGATTTGTGCATGAATATATAGAGGAATTTGAGAGTTTGTCGCGACCCCTCAAGCATCTTGACATGGAGGTGCAGATCGGCGTTTTCCTCAACGGACTCAGAGAAGAGATTGGCGCGGAGCTCAGAAGCCTGGAGTTGGAAACGTTAATGGCGATGAAGGACAAGGCCATCCTGTTAGAAGAGAGAAATCGGGCTTGGGGAAATCATCACGTGACACCTTGGGCCAGGGGGACTAATAATAATAGGCCCAATAACTCTCCCTCATTGCAAACAGGGAATTGGACCAAACCCAATAACACATCTCCTTCACAATCAGCGACATGGCCCCCTAAAACGAACAAAGATCTTCCGCCCAAAAGAGACCCACTGCAACCGCACCAAAACCGACCCAGATTATCCCAATCTAAAATTCAGGATCGCAGCCATCGTGGGTTATGCTTCAAATGCGGGGACCCATGGAATAAGGAGCACATTTGCAGATACAGACAATATCGACTGGAGCTAGTGGAGGATAACGAAGCAGAAGAATTAGAGGAGGAGAGGAAAGGCATTTTAGGAGAAGGGGAACCTTTATTAGAGACCGGACTTCGTGTACTTAAAATTCCCTTACAAAGCTTGAAGGGATTTACCACTAAGAAGTCATTCATGGCACGAGGAACCCTCCAAGGCCATGATGTCACGATTCTGGTGGATTGTGGGGCAGAGGGTAATTTTTTGCATACGGCGCTGGTAGAGAGGTTGAAGATGAAGGTGACTGACACTCCTCCTTATCGCGTGGAACTCGGAACAGGCACACAACACCAAAGTAAAGGAGTATGTGAGGGAGTTCAACTGGAGGTACAGGAGGTGACCATCATACAAACATTCTACCTTATTCAATTGGGTAGTGTGGATGTCGTCATGGGCATGGATTGGCTGCAAAGCTTGGGAACAATCACAGCCAACTTTTCTAAATTATACATAAGGTGGCACGATGGGGCAGAAATAAGGGTGATACGAGGGGACCCAACCATAGGAAGAAAGGAGGCGATGTTCAAAACTACAATGAAGGCACTCAGGGAAGAAGGTGGAGGCATTTTAATAACTGTAGTAGAAGCTCCACCAGAAGAAGAATCCTCACAAAAAATTCCAGCAGCTATGAGCAAGCTACTAGAAGAATTCGATGAGATAAGCACGGTACCCAAGGGACTTCCTCCTGCGAGAGATTGTGACCACGCCATAATCCTTAAGGAAGGAGCTCTCATTCCAAATATCAAACCCTATCGTTATCCTCACTCGCAGAAAAATGAGATCGAGAAGCTAGTGGATGAGATGTTGGAAGCTGGCATAATTAGGCCCAGCATTAGCCCATACTCCAGCCCAGTGTTGTTGGTTAAGAAGAAGGATGGAGGATGCAGGTTCTGTGTTGACTACCGAGCTCTGAACACCATTACTAGACCAGACAAGTTTCCCATTCCGGTCATTGAGGAGTTATTGGACGAATTGGGTGAAGCCCAGATATTTACGAAATTGGACGTCAAATCGGGTTATCACCAAACTAGGATGCAGGAAGCGGATATCGAAAAAATGACTTTCCGAACACATGAAGGACATTATGAATTCTTGGTGATGCCCTTTGGGTTAACCAATGCCCCATCCACTTTTCAGTCACTCATAAATCAAGTGCTGTGACCCTTCTTACGAAGGTTTACCTTGGTTTTTTTTTTAATGATATTTTGATTTATAGCCGAACCGAGAAGGAACATTTGAGGCAAGTAAGGGATGTGCTGGAGCTATTGAGGCAAAATCAGCTGTACATCAACAAAAAGAAATGCTGTTTTATGGTTACCAAGTTAGAATATTTGGGGCATCTGATTTCTAAGGAGGGGGTGGAGGCTGATCCCAAGAAGATTGAAGCAATTACTAATTGGTCAGCACCCCATAATGTTAAGGGATTGAGGGGATTTTTGGGATTAACAGGTTACTACAGAAGATTTGTGAAGGACTATGGAAAAATAGCTTGGCCTCTCACCCAATTATTGAAGAAGGACGGGTTTTGCTGGAACGTAGAGGCCCAAACAGCTTTTGAACTTTTGAAGAGAGCCATGACTTCCGTTCCGGTGCTAGCAACTCCCTGTTTTGACAAAAAATTTGTTAGAGACGGATGCATCAGGGACGGCCTATTGCCTTTTGGAGTCATACTCTCTCCAATAGAAACCAAATGAAATCTGTGTATGAGAGGGAGTTAATGGCAATTGCCCTTGCGGTCCAGAGGTGGAGGCATTACTTACTAGGGAGAAGGTTCGAAGTGCATACCGACCAAAAGTCTCTCTAATTCTTGATTGACCAGCGAGTATTAGGAGAAGGGCAGCAGGGGTGGATATCCAAACTCATGGGCTTTGACTTTGAAATCAAGTACAAAGCTGGGAGGGAAAATAGGGTCGCAGATGGTCTCTCTCGCAGACTTCAGTTGACAGCCCTCTCCACAGTTTCCTTTTCGGAATGGGTAGGACTAGAAGACAAGGTTCAACAAGATGCGAAACTGGCTGGGATAATACAGAATATGATACAAGGGAAAACCATAGTTAGTGACTATGAACTTAAATAGGGGCGGCTCTTTTATAAAGGGAGACTAGTCCTTCCTAAGAATTTGTTCCGAATCCCTTTAATACTACAGGAGTTTCATGATTCAGCCATAGGCAGTCACTCTGGCTTTTTCAGGACCTACAAGAGGATTGCAAATTTAGTCTGGTGGGAAGGAATGCGGAAGACAATTCGAGAGTATGTGGCCGCTTGTGATACGTGCAACCAGAACAAGTACCAAACCTTAAGCCCAGCAGGACTATTACAGCCTTTACCAATTCCCCAATAGATTTGGGAAGATATTTCCATGGATTTTATCGGGGGACTACCTAGGTCACAAGGATGGGACACCATCCTAGTAGTGGTTGATAGGTTGACCAAGTACAGTCATTTCATTGGTCTAACTCATCCTTACACAGCCAAGGATGTGGCTGAAGTTTTTGTCAAAGAGATCGTTAAGTTGCATGGGTTTCCAGTTTCCATTATCTCGGATAGAGATAGGGTATTCATGAGCTCCTTCTGGAAGGAACTATTTAGAACAGCAGGAACCCAGTTACAGTTCAGTTCAGCTTACCATCCCCAGACGGACGGTCAAACCGAAGTGATTAACCGGTGTTTAGAGACATATCTAAGGTGCTTTTCCAGCACTAAACCTAAACAATGGGCCAGGTGGTTGAGCTGGGCTGAGCTATGGTATAACACCACATTCCACAGCTCGACGGGAACTACTCCTTTCAAAGCATTATATGGGAGAGACCCACCGGCGATCATTCGAGGGGCGAGCGGCACATCCGCAGTGGAGGAAGTCAACCTTGCCTTGACTGAAAGGGACGCAATCCTTAAAGAGTTAAAGGCACAGCTGACTAGGGCTCAAGATCGAATGCGGGCTCAGGCTAACAAGAGGAGGCAAGAATTAGAGCTAGTAGTGGGAGAGCTGGTCTACCTAAAAATCCAGCCTTCTAAGATGAAGTCCTTGGCTACAAAGACTAACCAAAAGCTTAGCTCTCGGTATTATGGTCCTTACAAGATATTGGAGAAGATAGGCGAGGTTGCCTACAGGCTGGAACTACCAGAAGAAGCAAGGATATACCCTGTTTTTCACGTATCCTTGTTCAAAAAATGTGTGGCCGCGGACGTCCCAAGTCATCCTTTACCAACCGGCATGAACGAGAATTGAGAATTAATGATCCAGCCCTCTGAAGTGCTAGCTGTCCAGACGACTAACACAGGAGACAAACTAACTCGCCTAACTAACTAACTGACCAACTAGTATAACAAAGTAATAGATCTGTTTAAACAAACTAGTAATGAGGGTTTCCTAACTCTCTGCCCTTCAAGTTAGTTTATATATGTCATGTGTATCTAGCTTGGTACATGTATGAGATATCCTTGGTCCATGAAGAGACTTAGTAAAGATTCCTGTAGTTGATGATTAGAACTGACAAATGATGTAGTGTGATCTCACTAATAATCTTTTCACAAAAGATGTAGTGAAAATTCCTGCTACTCAGATGCTGATGTAAATCTAGTTCTTCCAGATAAGGCAGAGATCATAACTGAAAGTTGTCTCTGAAATCTTCTGCAACTATTCTGGGATTTTTTTTTTTTTCTTTCGATCTTGGATCTATTGCTGTTATTATTCTTGGTTCAGTGTGCTTTGTGGGACTTTTGTGGCACTCATGGTGGCTTTTGCTGTCTTTTTTCACTCCACATGATATATTTTCTTTTACCTGCTGGATACTTGCTCTGGTAGAATCATTAATGGTGTTGGGTAAATTTTCTTGACACTTTATTGCAATTAATGTTACTGGATCCCACAATTCCTTGTATGTTGCTTAAGGCGCCAAATGGTAACAAGTAAAGACCTATAGTCTCTTTTTTGGTGCTGTACTTGTTTGGTGAGGTTTCACTTCAGCATGGTTCTTTTTTCGCTTGTTGAATTCTTGTATCCATTGTCTTTGGGACTTTGTTTCAAGATAAAATCAATGGATCCCACATATGGCTTCGTCCTTTAGTAGGAAACTTTGTGGTGGCTTCTGAGACATTGTATTACCCAAGGCAATAATTGATGATTTGGTTATGCCTAGTTGACTTTTGTTTGCTTCATCTCTTAGTAGTTAATGCTAGCTTTTTTGGGTTGTTAAGCTATGATATTGGTTTAGCTTTTGCTGAGTAGTACTTTAAGCTTCTTATGTTGATTTTACTTCTGCTGAGTGGTTAAGTATTTATGTTTGTTTTTGCTTGAGTGGCTAAGCCTTTCTATCATTTCATGATGATGATGATATTGTTTGCTTTGCTGGATGATTAATCATTGAGTGGAGCTTCTGTCTAGTGATTAAGCATTTGCAACTCCTGTTTTTTAATGGTGGTTAAAAAATGATTGTTAGTTTGTTGGCCCGCAACCTGCATGTCTTTCATTTCTTGCCTGTGTATTTCTGGCTCTATTCATTTTATTTTGTTCTTTGATCTACATTTTTATTTTGCTCATCCCAAGCTGGATTTGTTAATATGCATCTTCTAGCTTGCAAGGAGGGGTGTTACAGATATGGTTAGCCAGTTAGAAATTTAGTAGGTAGTTAGGAGTTCGTTATTAGTTAATTAGTTTACCTGTAGATTAATCATTGTTAGGGCTTACTCGTATCATATTTTCCATCCATTCTATCAATAATAAGTTTGATTAATTTATCTCCAATTTTCTCTTCTCATTTAGGGCTCAACCATGTATCTCAACAGATTTTATTAGGAAAGAAATCATTTATAAAATTTTTGTATTTCTAATCTAATAAATAATTTCTTTTCTAGCTAAATTTTTTCACTTTTTGATTTTTAAACTCAGCTCTACGAGCTGATATTGACAGAAGCTTGTTTTATTTCATTAAGGGGCATTGCAATGTGGCTAAGATATAGATGAAGCAAGGGAAACAATGATAACCGTGGCTTTGTTTTGCAGAATTCAAGAACTTCAAGTTATAGCTCTAAAACCCGGTCCACTCCTACAAAGGCAAGAGAATCTGCATTTGTTTCAAATGCCTTGGCAAAGTCACCGTCGTCATGGGAGAAAGTATCATCTCCATTGCTTATTTACCTTCATAAAGTTAATTGTTTCCTAAAGACTTTTAATCTGGAATGCAAAAGTTAACACGATTTATCTTTTCCTTTAATCTTCGAAGGTTTATTGGCTCTCTGTTGATTATCTTCTTGTTGCCAAGTCAGCAGCTGTAAGTGGCAGATTCTCATCACTTCATTTCTCTTTCTCTTTCTCTTAGGTCCAAATTTAGGTTCCTCTATTATCTTTTCTTTTCCTTTTTTTAATTTTTCTTTTTCTTTTTTATAAATTTTGATTACATATGCATCTTGTTTTATTTTAGAGTTGTGGATCATATTTTACTTCAGTGATGTATTTGGAATATTGGTGTGAAGAGCAATTTAAAACTTTGACAGTTGGAGGTCCAGATTTTTCCCATGATGAAACGGTAAGTTATGCTGAATATTTTTCTATTTGTTGTTTGTTTTATGCTTAATATGGACTATATTATATGTTAAACTATTTTAAATCATTTATTTTTTGTACTAGTAAACTTGATCATTGGCATATATATCAAATTGTAAACTATTCATGGAGATTGCCTTTGTCCATATTCATTTTTTAAACTAATTTATATCTGTTCTCTTTGTTGGGTTCCTTCACATCAGTTGCCAGATCATATTGAAATACTTATTTCAGCCGTCACTAGAATCAACGAACCAGATAGCTTATATGGAATTCTTCAGTCTCACAAGGTCTGTGAGCATGATATTTGTCTCTAATAGCTTTATCACATAAATGAATGCTTGGTGATACTACTACTGTGCTAAATCTCTGAGACTTCATAAACGACAGGACTACTTATAGCTGTGCAGTAAATACCCAATTGCACATAACACATCTAATATATAATTAGTTAATTACCCATTAGAACTTTTGACTTTTCAGTGATGAAAATAACAAACAGTTATATCCGATTCAATGTGCCAACATTGTTAGAATTAATGACACTGACAGTTAATTATTGAACTTCCAAAGAACGTGGCAATGGGATCAGGTGACAGATTATTTGGCCTTGTCATACATGACAGCTTAATTTGTAGACTAGCCTTTATTTTGTGGGAACTCTTCTTTGGGATACTTTAGTCTTTCTTTCTTTGTGGATTTAGGCTTGTTTTTATTTCATTGGTATATGTTTTTGTTCTTCACCTTTCTAATTTCTTTTTATATTGGCTGATACAAATAATAGCTGACTTCTCAAATAATCACGTTTGAGCATGAGGGAAACTGGGGAAAGGCCCTTGAGTATTATGACTTGCAAGTGCAATCGGGTGTCTCAATACAGAAGGATGGTGATTCAAGAAGTTTGTCATTGAAACATGTAGGAGCAGGAAATCCTTCATCTTTTGCCTTAGAGGTAGATGAGACAAGGCAGAGTAGACCTTACAAGGGGTTGATTAGATCATTGCAGCAGATTGGCTGCACACATGTGCTTGACATGTATTGCCGAGGCTTGACGTCAAGCAAGGACAAGCTTCAACATGATTTAGAGTTTTCTGAATTGCAATATGAGTCTGCATGGCGGGCTGGGAACTGGGATTTCTCCTTACCATGTGTAGGCAGTAATTTTTCTCGAGCCCCAGATATCAAATATGATCATTTCAATGAAAATTTGCACAGGTAATATGGTTTTATACTCTTGTGTTGATTTTAATTTGAATTCCATTGTCCAATTGATTTTAATTTGAATTCTATTGTTCAATTGATTTTAATTTGAATTCCATTGATCAATTGTTATATTCTTTATTTTTAGTTTCTGTTGTCAACCTATAGAAACTATTAAGCAAAATAAGGTGGAATGTGGCAGGTTTCTCTATTTTTAATTCACTTATTTAACCTATTTACTATTATGAATACATGAAGGTTTATGATAGGCCATGTTCTGAATCTCAGTTATAATTTTGTATTAAGAAGTATTACGCAATTATTTTTATATTAAGTTCTTATTAAGCAGTTGTGGCAGTTTTAATAGTGATATACAACTCATATATCACTATAATTGCCACATTCTGACCCATAACTGCTTGATACAAAATTAAGATAAAAATAACTTAATAGTTCCTAATACAGAATTATTACTGCCTAATTCCGAATTTGGCCTATCATAGCTTTGGCGTGTAAAACCTTGGGAAGATATGTAATAATTCCCTCATTAATGTTGGCTAATTAATATTCAGTTGATGAACAATGTATTTAAATAACTGTTAATTGTGCTGCAGGGGGGGCTGGGAAAACCAAATACTGGTCTTGTAAGACCCCAGACTTTGTGTTCACTTGCTAATACACTGTGCGTGTGACATTTGAGTGTTTCCCTTGCTGCCCATGGTTGATTACATGATGTTTGTCTGTCAGTTTCCTTTTTATTGAATAACCTGTTTACCATTTTTGGTAAATATTGGGTTTGTCCCATTTGTCTCAAGGATCTTAACTGGTTTGTGTGTGTTAATTTTTGAGATTTGATTCTAGTAGAGATGCTGAAAGCTTTGGACTGTTGTCAGTTTGCAGCTTGGTGTATCTGGTTGGAAAGAGATTCTAGAATTTTCATTGATCACCTCTTGAGTTTCTTTGGGATTGAGCAGTTCACCTCACTTCTTTGTGGTGCGGTGTTCTGCCAGTAGATCTTGAGAGAGATTATACTGTTTCTTTTTGCTCATTCTTAGGATTTTGTTTTTGGTCTAATGCTTTCTTTTCTTGGTTTTGTTATCGGTTTAATAGAGTTATACAGTATCAAGAAAAGAGAGACACATATTTGGGAGAGAACTGAAAAGATTTTTATTATTGATGATATATGATTCAGTACAATCTGGCTAGAGTACAAGAACTAACGAAAGGTAGTTACAAATAAAACTATATTTAATTAGACTCTACCGAAGGAAGGAACTCGGCTTGGAAGCAAGTTGGTCAATCTCGTAAGTAGACTTTCCTTGTCTTAATCCCAAGAAGGAAGTTTCCTTCTCTCAACCCACACCCTTTTCGTCAATGAGTGTGTCGGCAAGGCTTTCCAGCCATCCATTGCAGCAGAGCCGTTTCATGAGCGGGGGGCTAAGCGCAGTTCTTTGAATCGTTGAATGAAATCGATTCTTTTTTAGATATAAAAATCTAAATCGGATAGGATAGATGGATGGATCTATCTTTCTAGACCTTTCTAGCAGCAAGGGTGTAACTAACTGACATAGACTACTAACAGAGAGTACAACTATCATCCTCTTGCTTTTGTACCTCTCTTTTCTAAATAAATTTTTCTCATAGAAATATCTTTTAAAATTGAGGAGTTTGGTAGAAGACATGCACTTAACTTTTGTAACTTTCCAGTGTTCTGTATCTTTTTATTTTTTCTTATCTTGTAACTTGCTGATCAATGCAGTGCCCTTTCTCCAGTCAATTTCTACCTTAAAAAATAGAATCCTTTTAGGAAGTGTGTACTGTGTATCTAATTATTCTTATATTCAGTTGTTTAAGGGCACTCCAAGAGGGTGATATGGGTGATTTCCAAAAAAAACTGAGAGATTCGAAGCAGGTAATATTTCTTTCCTAAATTGTGTTGATGTGCTAGAGAACTTCATGCATTCATAAATGTTTTATGTGTTCTAGGAGCTTGTGTGGTCTGTTTCTCATGCAAGTGAAGAGAGCACTGAATTCATTTACTTGACTATTGTCAAACTCCAGGTATCCATTTGTCTAATATGTAGATCCTTAACGTGATATCTATTGCCACTGCATCATGTTTCATATCACTATTGCCACTGCATCATGTTTCATATCACTATCAATAAAGCAATTTGGTTTCATTTAAGATCACATTTGCTAAGAATATGGCCAAAGCATTCCTTATCATGTCAAGGCTTACAAGCCTTGATGTTGGATCACCTTTAGATGCCGTTGAGCAGTCCTATGAATTTCATGCTCCAGATGGCCGTTATTGATTCTTAGAGGGGTGTATTGAGATCCCATATTGCCATGGAACATGGCTAAAGTAATCCTTATAAGACTAGCAATCCACTTCCTTTTGAGTTAGTTTTAGTATCATTTCTATTGAATTTGGGCTAAGCCCTAACTCAATCCAAAAGTTAGCTCATACAGTGAGGATTAATTTAGCCTTTATAAGCTCTCATTTAGCCTTATCTATAGTCAATGTGGGACTTCAACAATTTCTAATACGGTATCAAGAGTCTGTCCACAAGATATGTTGGGCCACTTGCAAATATCTTTGTCAAATCTGACAAACATCATGCTCCAGATGTTCAATGGGTGTGAGGATGGGGGGTGTGTTATCTCACTTTAGCTAGGAATATGGCCAAACAATTCTTTATAAGGCTTTGGGTCCTATTGCCTTTCTTTTCTTTTAGCAGTGTGGTGAGCATCCAAGCCTTGTTCTTTGCCAAGGCTTGAACATCTGCTACAGCAGCTGCCCACTTGGTTTGTTCAAGAGCTTCTTGATTGTTATTGGGGATTTTGAAGTTGTCAAGAGTAGTTACAAAAGCTCTATATTCTTGAGAAAGCTTGTCATAAGCTACATGGTTTTTAATTGGGTGTTGAGTTCAAGATCTAATACCTTTCTAAAAAGCAATAGGTACATCAAGGTCAACATTACCATGATTTGATTCAAGGTTAGGAGTAGTGTTATGTTACCTGGGTCAGTGTTGTTAAATGGCCGTTATGGTGGCGCCATGGCGTGGCGTGGCGGAATGACGTGGCGGCGCCATGGCGGCCGTTACGAGCATAGCGGTAATAGCCGGCCATGGCGGAAATCGTGATAAATGGCATTTTTTTAAAAAAAAATGGATTTTCTGCACTTTTGGGCCAGATCCGACCCGACCCAGTTCAGAACCCAACTGCCTAAATCCAGGTTTTTTCTCTCTCTTCTCCTTACGATCTCACTCTCCCTCTCTTTGCAATCGCACTCTCTCCGCGATCTCACTCTCCACTCTGCTCATCTCTTTTCTCTCCCTCCATCTCTCTCTCTCTCTACGACTGCTTCTGAGATCTCTCTGCGACCACATCTCTCTCTCTCTCTGCGACTACTTTCTTTGAGATCTCGCTGCTGAGATCCCATTTTCTTGGGCTCTTTGTGTTTCTGTTTTGGTGCATTTCGGTCTGTATTTTCGGCGACTGCAGCTGCATCTCCGGCGATTGCACCATCTCCGGTGACTCCAACCTCCATTTCCGGCGACTGCACCTCCATCTCCAGCGACTGCACCTCTATCTCTGGTGACTCCATTTTTCTGGTAGCTATTTTTTTTCATTTTTCCCCTCAGTTTTTTCCTTATTTCCCCCATTTAAATTTTACCCTTTCCATCTTTCAATTTCTACTTCTTCCACATCTCTATTTTTCTCTATTTTTTCTCTGAGTTTCCTCAAAAAGAAATTCTATTTATTTCAACTACTCTTAACATGGCTCAACATGAGTCTTCATCAAATTGTTCAAGAACTTCTAATCATTCTGACCCGGGATGGAAATATGCTCATTCGGTGAAAGATGGAGATACAAACAACATTGTATGTAATTTTTGTGGAAAAGTTATGAGTGCTGGAATCACTAGAGTGAAACAACATTTAATTGGAAAGAAGGGTAACGTGAAAGCTTGTCCCAAGTGTCCGGAAGAAGTTAGAAAAGAGATTGAGACATATCAAAAGGAAAAAAAGAATCAAAATAATTTTGAGATGCCAAATGTGAGAAGCTTTGAAGGTATAAGCTATGATGTAAGTAAGGATGAAGAGGATACCCAAACCCGTAGCGTTGCCATTGGAAATCAGAAAGGGCCAATGGACTTGTTTTGTAGAAAGCCTGAAAGTGCAATTGAGAAAAGAAAAAAGGAAAAATTGAGACAAACAAATATAAGAGAACGATGTGACAAAGAAGCCAAGGCAAGGGTCCATCAATACATAGCTCGATTTTGGTATCAAGCTGGCCTTTCCTTTAACCTCATTAAAATGAAGAGCTTTCAAGAAATGCTTACAGCTGTTGGTGCTTTCGGTCCAAATTTACCAGCTCCAAGTTATCATGATATTCGAGTTCCACTTCTAAAGAAAGAGCTAGAATATACTGATTCCCTCATGAAAGATCATAAAGAGCAATGGGGCAAACATGGCTGTTCCATAATGTCAGATGCATGGACTGATCGAAAGCAAAGATGCTTGATTAATTTTTTGGTCAACTCTCCTGCTGGTACTATGTTTGTGAAGTCTATTGATGGATCTAATTTTGTGAAGACCGGTGAAAAATTATTTGAGATGCTTGATGCTCTTGTGGAAGAGATTGGAGAAGATAAAGTTGTGCAAGTGATAACAGATAATGGAAGCAATTATGTCTTGGCTGGTAAGATGTTAGAAGCGAAAAGACCACATCTTTATTGGACTCCTTGTGCAGCTCATTGCATAGATCTTATGCTTGAAGATATTGGAAAGCTTCCTTTGATAAAGAAGACAATTCAAAGGGGAATATCGGTTGTTGGCTTTATCTACAGTCATTTAAGTACCTTGAGTTTGTTGAGAAATTTTACAAACAAGAAAGAATTGGTAAGACATGCAGTTACTCGATTTGCAACTTCTTTTCTATCATTAGAAAGGCTTCACCAAGAAAAAGCAAATCTTAGAAAGATGTTTACTTCTGAGGAATGGTATAAAAACAAGTTATCAAAGGAAGCTAAAGGGAAGCAAGCAACAAAAATTCCATTAAATCCTGTATTTTGGAATAATGTGGTGTATACTTTGAAAATCATGGCTCCTCTTGTCCGGGTGTTACGTTTGGTTGATGGAGAAAGAAGACCAGCTATGTGGTATATTTATGAAGCAATGGAGAAAAGTAAAGAAGCTATCATGAAGTAAATATAAAGATGTGTTTGCAATCATTGATAACAGATGGACTTGTTAGCTTCACTGTCCATTACATGCAGCTGGTCACATTTTAAACCCGGAATTTTACTATGACAACCCTCAAATTGAATTTGATTTGGAAGTTACAAATGGATTGTATGATTGTATCAAGATGTTGGTGCCAAGTCGGGATGTGCAACAAAGCATACTACTTGAATTACCAATTTACAAGAGTAGTGGTGGTCTCTTTGGGTCCGACTTTGCAAAATCACAAAGAAAAAGCATTGCTCCCGGTAATTCATCAAATTGTTCAATATTTTAATTTTAAGGTTATACTTCATCTTCAGAGTTATAATTTATCTTTCATTTTATAGCTCAATGGTGGAGAATGTATGGACATTCAGCTCCACATTTGCAGCAACTAGTTATCAAAATTTTGAGCTTGACATGTAGTGCATCCGGATGTGAACTCAAGTGGGAGTGTTTTTGAGCAAGTAATTTTTTATCTCTCGAGCTTACTACTTTCTATTATAAATTAAAGAGAAACTAATTAATATTCTTATAATTAAACTCACGTTGCAGATTCATTCAAAGAAGAGAAATAGGTTTGATCACAAAAAATTACATGACTTGGTTTATGTGAAATACAACCAACAATTCAAAGAACGTTACAATCTTAAAGATGTAATTGATCCAATTACACTCAATGATATTGATGAGTGTAATGAGTGGTTGGTTGGAGAAATGGATGATGATGCTCTAGATGAGGATGCTGGAAATGACTTAGTTTTTTATGGTGATAACACTTTAAATTGGGCAACTGTTTATGAAGCTTATGGAATTGGAGAGCCTACAACATATATTATGCATCATTCTAAGAAAAGAAAGAGTCCATCAAGTGGTATCACTATCAAAGCTGCAAAAGTTTCCTAGATCAAGGCATGTTCAACAACAAAAGGAAAAGAGAAAATGGTTCTTGAAGATGATGATGAAGAATTAGAAGATGAAGAAATGTCGGAAGAAACAGAAGATAAATTAGAATTTAATCTTCCACAATCTGAAGGAGAAGAGGAGGAGGGATATGCCTTCGTGGACGAGAAAGAGGATGATATGTTGGAGTTGAAGAAGAAAACTAAATTGATAATCTTTATTTTTATTGTTAACTTGACATTTGATAATTACATATTTTGTATTTAATTATACTTTAGATTGAAGGTTATGTTACATATATTTTTAGTTAATTATTTTCTATTATTTTCTGTGACCTATAGTATTTTTTTTATATATTTTATTATATCTGCCATAAATCCGCCATAACCCGCCATGGCGGCCGCCATAACTTTATGGCAGTTTTTTGAGTTTCCGCCATCAGCCGCCATCCACCATTGATAACATTGACCTGGGTGATTTTCTTTTTCTGGAGACCGGTTTGATTACCTTGCATCAGGATTGTGCTATACTCTATCGTCTTTCAAGTCTTCCTTTTCTTGAGGTAAACCTGTACATTGGTTTCTTGTGCAGTAGGTTGTTGAATTTCATGAGGGGGGTTTTCTCTCCCTGAATCTGCTCTTTCTTCTCCTCCTGAATCTGCTCTATCTGTTATAGTCAAACATTTTGTTGCTGCTAGTGGTGGCTCCTCCATCCCAGCTTCCAATTGTTGAAATATGTTTTTGGAAGATCACAAAGCTTGTTGGAAAAAGAGCAGATGTACCATAATGACCAATGGATGGGCCGACAAAAGTAGGACTATACTTAATTTTTGGGTAAATAGTTTTGCAGGAACTGTGTTTTAAAGTCTATTGATACATTTGACATATGCAAAACAGTGGACAAAATTTTTAAGATAATAGATGAGGTTGAAGAAGTTGGAGAGGAAAATGTGGTACAAATTATGACGGACAATGCAACAAATTATGTCAGCAAAAGAAATGTTGATGGAGAAGAGGAAAAGGCTTTATTGGACGCCTTGTGTGGCGCATTGCATTGATCTTATGTTGGAGGATTTTGCAAAGAAAATATAGTTACATAAAGAAACTATTGCAAGCAGTAAAAAAATGACAACTTACATCTATTCTAGGACTGGTCTTAAATATTTGCTGCATTGCTTTACTAAAGGTATAGATTTAATTAGACCTTCAGATACAAGTTCTGCAGGTTTGGGTTGCCTTTTTCAGGCTGCTTGGTATCACTCGTAATGTGCCCTTCCCTCCCTTTTCCCTGAAGAAAAAGTTGCACCAATCGTGCCCACAAAGTGAAGTTTTGGCTATTTACTTTATTTAGTTTATGGTCTGTAATGGGGAGAATCTACCCCTCAATCAAACTTGCGCTGAGGTGAGCTCTGATTTCTGACTTGGTCGCAACTTCTGCTTTGTCGCTCTGCATGATATGATCAACACAGTTTTCTGCTGAGATGGTTCACATCAAGCTTTGATGCAATGCAGAAAAGTGATTCTTATTTTCACTTCTCTAAGAATAATTGCAACAGGGGTATTTAAAAGGAATAGAATTACAAATCTATGCCTATAATTCTGTAATTATAATCACCCACAAATCTTAAAAAGAAAAAAATACTGTTGCAGCTGTCCATTAGGGAAATCATGTATTATACTTTATGTTGGAAAAAATAAATTCCTGATTCTTATGTACATCAGATCCTGTTTGGCTTCTTATATATTTATTTGATCAAATATATTTGTTAAATCGTTTCCTTTTATCCTTCATATTATAATCATTTCAACAGATGCTTTATCATCTTGGCATGGCTTGGGATTTACGCTGGAGAACTTGTCAGGCAAGTAGCACAAAGTTCTGTCTGCTGAAGCAAAATGTGTCTATTGAGCCTGTGGTTTCTTCCATTGAACAGGTGTTTAGTGTATCTGGGCCCTTCATGGCAGAAACTTTTCTTTTTCACTATGTAAAATATATTTTAAAATTCAGACAGTGATTAGTCAATCCTTCAGACTGTCTTTTCATAGATTTTGATGCCTTGCAATTTTTATCATCAACTAGTTGTCGTGGCTAGATATGGACTGGTGCTCAATTTTGCAACGAACACAGTTGCATATGAATTTGCTGGAACCATTTATAGCATTTCGACGAGTTCTACTTCAAATTTTAAGTTGTAGAGATAGTATGCTGCAAAATCTTCTGCAATCTGCCACCACACTTCGTAAGGTATAATATCATTGCTATGCTTTTGAATTATAGATACTGTATGTTGCAACTCCTTCAGCAGTCCTAATAAGATATATCATTATTGTTAGTGACAAAAGGAAAAAGAGAAAAAACACTCCTTATGTCTAACTACTTGAGCTTTTTGATTTGGTACTTAGCAAGGTGTTATAAGTTTTGAACCTCTTTGACCAAGTGGTAAGGAATTCAATCCTTGCCACTCCCTCTCTAATTCACGTTAATCTTAACGCACAAAGTACTGTGCATTATTTGTTCACACTTGGAGCTTGAGGGCTTTTGTGTTAAGAGGTTATGTTGCAATAAATAGCACAACATAATGTGTTATCAGTTAGTCCTTGATAATGACTTTCAAGCCATGATTCAATTTTATTTTTCTTATATGCTATTCTCAATTTTACAGGGATGTAGGTTCTCTCAAGCAGCTGCTGCTTTGCATGAGTTTAAACTCCTTTCTGTTGAAACCAAAGGGCAATGCTCATCCTTATATTGGCTTGGAAGGGTAAGGGGGACTGCTTCAATCTTTGTATCTGTTCATATCTGGAAATGGACAGTGTTTGATACTTTCCTTAAGATCATTTTTCAGGATAGTGATTTTGTGTTTTTGCCCTAGACTAGAGAAAAATTCAATGAACCACACTTCATCTGCAAATGAAGGCAAATTTGAATTATTATATCAAGCATGACCAGCAAAACACATTTTTTTTTCCTTAAACCATTAGGCTGTGTTTGGATTGAGTAACATAAAGACAGGAAAATGTGGTATATAGAGACAGAATTGAAGAAGCAGGGAAGGCATGTCATGAATGCATGCTTGAGGAAGAGTTGAGAGGATTTCACAGATGCTGCCTCTTGATGCTGTTGTCAAATTCCGTTTTGATAACAAAATCATTCATAAAATGCTGCATATATTTTTAAATTCTTGTATATATCAAAACAAGAAATCTTTTTGGATAGGCATTTTAAATCTTCTAAAATATTACATTCCCCCCTGAAAATTTTCTTTTCAAACTTATTCTTATTCTATGTGCTTCATAAGACCCAATTGGCTTGGTGAGAGTGACTTATTGTCCATTGCAATGTGTTAAATATTATAAAAGTAGCAAATTTTTGTAGTTTGGAAATGGCATATGGATTGGCAACGGCATTAGTGTATGCTTGTTTGTAATAATTGTATATTGTTATCAACCTTGCCTAGTATAATATAAGTTATGTACCTTCTGGATTACAGCTTGAAGAAGCAAAGCTTTTCCGTGCTCAAGGTCAAAATGTGATGGCTATCAACCTTGCAATGTATATAACGCAAAATTATCAATCTAATGAGGAGGCTTCAGATGTACATCGGTTAATTGGGAAGTGGCTGGCAGAAACCAGATCTAGCAAGTTATTGGACAAAACTTAATTCTGTGTAATGGTTTAATAATATACTCCCTCTGGTCTTTTTAATAAGACACTACATAGTTCTATGAAGCATTTACTATGCTTTTTCCATTTGCCCTTAATAAATGGAGTTGGTGGAAACATAAATTTAAAATTAACAAGGGTAAATATTTATAGTGGGATTATGTACAATGGTATTACATGAGGGTAAAATTGTCATGATATAATAATTTCTAAAAATCAAGAAAATCAACTATCTTTAACTATGTTTATTAGTTTGTGTAATTTAGTTGAAGGTGCCTTATGAAAAGGACCGGAGGGAGTAATCTCTTTTTATGCCTGATTCAGCTCTTATTTTCCCCTTGTTTTGTTGTAAAATTGCAGCTCAAGAACAATTTTGGAGAAGTATTTGAAACCTGCAGTCTCTATTGCTGAGGATGTGAACGCCCCAGATAAAAAGTCCATTGAAAGAAAGTGTCAGACTAATTTCCATCTTGCACATTATGCTGATGCTATATTTAGGAGCCATGAAGAAAGACTTAACTCTAATGAGTGGCAGGCAGCAATGCGTTTAAGAAAGCATAAGGTACCTGACTGACTTATTAAAATAAATGGACTGAGAGAAATCAAAAGATAATAGGAATTGTATTGTGATGTTTGTTTAGGGTTCCTTATATACAATTTTCATTATTTCCTTGTATTCTTTGATCTCATTGCTTGTGTTTGTATGTCCCTGAATGGAAATTTTGGATACTTGCTGTATATTGTTCATCTATCCCTGAAATATAGGGGTTCAAATATGTAATGGTGTAAATATAAATTGTATGGCTTCAAGAAATTTGCAAAATTAATTCTCAAGTTGGCATTTGATTCTACATTCTTTTTCTTCAGTTTCTGATCTCCTCCATACATTTTTTTTGGCATGTTTCTGACAGCTTTTTGTTCATGGTCATGTTTAATACTCGTGTTTAAATGCTATTGTTTATGGTCATGATGTTCATTCTGCAGAGAGTAGAATTGGAAGCACTCATAAAAAGGTTAAGGAGTTCAACAAAGGTAATTACAGATTTTTTTATTTTCTATTGCTTCATTCTCTGATGCTCTAACTCATACTGCATAATTTAGGGGGAGAAAACTGACTACACCTCGAAAATTCACGAACTGCAAAAGCAAGTAGCAATGGACAAGGAAGAAGCCCAGAAATTACAGGTATTTTTGTTTGATTGGTTAGGAAGGAATTTTTATGTGATTGTGTGTGCATCTAAATCACAAGGTTTGATAACTATATTATATTAAACCCTGCATTTTCTGTTGAATATATTTAATTGTTACAAATTGATAAATAAACTCCACTTTTCCTTACTCTTATCCCAACCCTGTATGTATAATATTTGGTAATACAAGTCTTTTTCCATGCTTCTCAAAAATTCAGGATGATCGGGACAATTTTCTTAGCTTGGCATTGGAGGGATATAAACGATGTTTAGTGATAGGCGACAAGTATGATGTGAGATTGGTATGGATTGCTCTTAGTTTTCTTCATGATTAACAAATTGGGGAATGGATCCTCACATGTTAAAGTTCACCTGACCTTATCATATTAACAAATTTTGATAGGGTTTACCCATTAAATGTCTCTGGAGATTGAAACAAATTTTACATGGCAAGGTCATGTGAAATTTGAACATTTGAGGATCCATTCCCAATATATTCAGGGTTATACACTATGTGGACAATTTTGTATTGCCTGGTAGCACAATTTCTGTTCACAAGTTTAATTGCTTTCAGGTGTTTCGAATTGTTTCCTTGTGGTTCAGCCTTTCTTCACGAAAAGATGTTGTAAATAGCATGCTTAGCACAATCAATGAGGTACATAGTAAAGCATTGGCATTCTATCAGTCTGATTTGTAAGGTTTTTCCCCTTCTATGAGATTGTTTTTGTGCGGTTTGATGTTGACTGCATTTCAATGTGCTTGTAGGTTCAATCTTTCAAATTTATACCTTTAGTATACCAAATTGCCTCTAGAATGGGTAGCTCAAAGGATGGTCAGGGACATCTCAATTTCCAGGTTCTGACTTGAACAACATTATATGCATGAACTTTTTTCATTTATCCTTCCTTATTTAATATAAACATTGATGATGCAGTATGCATTGGTTTCTCTTGTGAAGAAGATGGCCATTGATCACCCATACCATACAATACTTCAAGTAGGTGGTAGCTTTTATCTGCTAGCAGGCAATTGTTTTGCATGCCAATTTGATCCTTTTTTATTTTATTTAAAAAAAAAAATTGTGACTCTACATTGTGGTCAAGGGAAAACATAAACCAAGCTTATTCTGCCAGGTCATATTTTTTTCCAATGTGAAAATTTTTTCTTTTCAATTTATGGATGTACTTAAAGTTGAATGATAGTAATACTTTTCATGTATTTCTGAGTAGTTTGTATAATATTTATATACAACAAAACAGACAATCTCAATCCTAAAGTTTAGGGATTTGAATCAAGCTATTTATGGTAACTAAATCATAAACCAAAATAATAGGCAACTATACAGCTAATATCTCAACATATCTGTTTTAAGCATTGCTTCTAACATTAATTGTCAATGAAATATATGCTCAATATGTTTTCTATTTAGCTTCTAGCTCTGGCAAACGGTGACCGTATCAAGGATAAACAGCGTAGTAGAAGTTCATTTGTGGTTGATATGGACAAAAAGCTTGCAGCAGAAAACCTTCTAAATGAGTTGTCATCATATCATGGAGCTATTATACAACAAGTACCATCACTCTCTATTTTTTTATTTTCTTCTCTGTTAGTTCAAATTATCAATCTATTAACTTCAAACTTTTTGTTTTATGCACATGTAGATGAAACAAATGGTGGAGATTTATATCAAACTTGCTGAGATGGAAACAAAGAGAGAGGTGACACATTTTTATATATTTCATATCCATTTTTTCTTGTCACCGTGAATTTATTTGAAGATTAATTTCTATCATTGGCTTGCCAAGTAATCTGTAACATTTTCATTTTCACCGCCTTCTGATTGAATTATTTATGCAGGATACCAATAAAAAGGTGACACTACCGAGGGACTTACGCAATCTCCCTGTGCTAGAACTTGTAAGTGGCTTGCTAAACTTGTGATGACTAAGCTTTTAGGTTGATGCAAATAATTGAATAGTGGTTTTGGAGACAACTTTTGGGGACTTTCAATGTGAAAAGTTAATAGCTATTTTTCTGCTTAAAATGGTGATATATCCAGTAACATTTTCTAGTATGGGTAACATTCTAATGGTTCTTCTACAACTGATTATGGATGTGTTTTGTCATAAACAGTGCACATTTGAGGTGCATATACAATTATTAAAAATGATATGTAATGTTCACACTAAAGCATGCAATTATCACTTTTTAAAATTTTGATGTGATAATTCTTTATTTATATCATGTTATTGTTGGGATCTTTATTGTCTGTTAACACAAAAGAATCAAAATTCTAATTCTCTTATAAAAAGTATATGGTTAAAACATATATGAAATAGAATAGAAATATTGTGACAATAATTTAGTTGACTTCAATTGTGTTGTAGAAAGCGTATACACCTCATTACCAAAGTATAAACATGTATAAAAAAACGTATGAACATTGAAACATGTATAATATTCTGGAGAATTATTAAAATATATACTAGTTTAACTTTCATTTATCTCAACCGTTAAAACTTCCATTGATTTTTCTTCCACCCCATTCTTGGTGAAACTATTATTTCATACTAATTAATCTCACATTTTCATCATGACTATTTCTTCAATTTCTTAATTTATTCATTTTTCTCCAGTCACCAATTTCAAAGATTTTCTCAGTGGTCTTAGCCTTTCATTGGTTGTTCTCAGTTTTCAAATCTTCATATTGGTTGTTGAAGGCTGACAATAAGAGTATCTTCACCAGCACTGGCTTTTTCAGAGTCTCAACTGTTGAAAATCAATTTTTCTTTTATGTATTTTCTTAATTGCACCTATTTAACATGTATTTTCATTATATTTAATACCAATTTGACGTCTTGTGTATTATTATTTTCATTTTCCCTTCCATGCATTAAATTTTCATCAATCTTTCTTAAATTCAAAGTTTCCAAGTGACACTCTTATATTACTTAGCTCTAATTGAATGTCATGCATTTTCATCATTTATACCTCTTCAGTGCATTAAACTTCTGTTATATGCTCTTTATCATGATTTTCTAACTTAAACTTTTCTAAAGTTTCTCTCAAACTTCTGTTATATACTTTTGGTGTCTTCCTTGTTTAGAACTATTGTTTCCTATGCTTAAACTTTGTGACATTCAGGTACCTGTGGTGACAGCTACCATTTCAATTGATCATAGTTGTCAGTATCATGAAGGCACTTTTCCTTTCTTCAAAGGATTAGCAGATTCAGTTATGTATGTCTCAATCATATATAGCATTCAGAAAGACATTTATTTTACCATGCAATATTCAATGCTTCAATCTACTTTATGTTGATTTGATGTGCAGGATAATGAATGGTATAAATGCTCCAAAAGTGGTTGAATGCTTGGGTTCTGATGGTCGCAGATATCGGCAACTTGCAAAATCTGGAAATGATGACCTAAGACAGGATGCTGTATAATTTCCAACAGTTTATGCTTTCGAATCTTTTTGGCATCTATTGCTGAAGCTGTGTTGAATTATTTATTTTTCCATCTTTAGAAAAAAATATATCCAACGCTAGTATGTGGAAAATATATTTTATAGGCCTACTTTTCTGTTAATTGTAATATAAAATTAAAAGTTTAAATTCATTTTTAATCCCAATGATTTACCTAAATTTTGATTTTGGTCCCTGTGATTTAAATATTTGGTGTTTGGTCCCTAATTTCACAAATTTGGTTTTGATCTCCATCGTTTTCACTCAACTTAGGTTTTGGTCCCTCTAATTTTATTTAGTTCAGGTTTTGGTCCCTTTGGTGTACCAGACATTACTCTGAATGATTTTCTCTTTGAAGGGAAGTGTTTTAACATATTGCTTATAGGAGGGATTATAATCAAATTTTTTAAAATTATAGGGAAAAAAACCAAATTTTAAAGTATAGAGATCAATACCCAAATCAAGGTAAACTATAGGAACCCAAAATCTATTTAAACCCAAATAAATTACCGTCTAAAATTGACAACTTATTCTACATTCTGATTTGGATTATCCTATTTTAGAAAACTGATACCATCCATCTAACTAGCTAGCTGACTGTTGTGGTTGGTCCAAGTTCAACCTTTCAGTATATGTCAGTCATAGCAAAAGAAATGTTAACTCCTTTGATATACAAGGGAACCTGCATGTCTTATGGGATCTTAATATGGCCATGTATGTGTTGTTTACTTTAATGGTTCACCTGCTGAATTCTTGATAGGTAATGGAACAATTCTTTGGTTTAGTTAACACATTCCTGAGAAACCGTCAAGATACATGCAAAAGAAGGCTAGGAATACGGACCTATAAGGTATATCTGCCTTTTCAAGTTCTTGGTCTCTTCTGGTGATTGGCTGGTAAATGTTAACACTGTGATCTACTGAATAAGCTATCAGTAGACATTTTTTGGGTGATTTCTTGGTCTCTCTTATCTTACTTTTTCTCTCTTGATTTGTTTAACAAATTGCTCATCATGAACTTATGTAGTTATTTGCTCTATGCACCTAGCATACTAGTGTTCACGTTATACATGTAATACAACTAATCTTAAATCACTTTTTATGGAGAAAGTTATGGCAGAAAGAGATTAAATTCTTAAAATGGTTGAGAATTGTTACCTTTTTATGAAATAGGTTGTTCCTTTTACTCCAAGTGCCGGTGTTCTTGAATGGGTTAATGGAACTGTTCCTCTTGGTGAATATCTTATAGGAAGGTCAGTAAAGAAGAGATATTTTAATGCACATTTTCATGTTCTGTTCAACTTTGAAGTAATTGGTCCTTATCATGAATCAATTGTCCCAAAAGCTTAAGTTGTTGGGTGAAAGTGCATGAATTGTTTTATATTCCCTCCTCAAGCAACAGCCCTTTGGGGTTGATGCATGGATAATGCACTGTTTACCCTACCTTGTGATAAAATTTGGCATTTATCAACATGGATTTAACTCTAGACCCCATGATGGGAGAGACTGATACTACGTCCTGAGCCTAATATTTCAAAAGCTTAAGTTGTTGGCTGAAAGCACAGGAATGTTTTATTATCTAATTGTTCTCCTTGAACTTCAGCATGAGAAATGGAGGTGCTCATGGTCGCTATGGAATAGGGGATTGGTCATTCCTTAAATGCCGAGATCACTTGACAAATGTAAGTAAATAATATTTCAAGTACTTGTGTCAACATGAGTATCATAAGGAAGCTATTCTTGAATTTGTCCTGAAATGTATTGCTTGTTTCATAGTCTTCTAATGTGATGGCACTATGAATTTATATCCAAAAAGAATTGAAGGGAAAGAAGAAAAAAAAATTGTTAACAATAAAATAAAAAATGTCAAATATTTATAGGGCCTTGCTAAACAGTGCCCTTAGTCTACTTAAAGAATTGATAAATAGTAAGCTTTTTATTGAAAATCATGTTAGAATGTATTTAAAACCAGGGGAGTGAGTGCATTTTTACATTTTCCAACAAAATATTTCTTTTTTTCACTTCTTAACCAGTGCCCTAAGGGAACATGTTAGCATTTTCCATATATATTATCATCTGCTTTTCTATACTGTGAAATTCTGAAATTTTGACTTTCCTTTGAAAGTATACAAAGTTTTTGTGCAGTCTAGTTGCATAAAATAATTACTAATTGACTAATGAGATCATCATCAACATATAGTGAGTGAATTATGCTACAATTCTAGTTTATAATGAAATTGATGAGGCTTTACGTTCTTTAGGTACTTACACAATATTGGATTCACAAAACAAATATTTTTAGGTTCTGTTTGACAACACCTAACATTTGAAATCATTTTAATTTGATCTGATATAGAAATAAAAATTATGTTAAATTAATTTTTAATAAAAGCTTTTGAATTAATTTGGAAATCAATTGATATCTTTCTTACCAACGAAAGGAAAATCTGAAGAATCTATGCCCCAAAGCACCAAGCACCAACAAAATATGGTTCGCAAATGACATAATTCTAATTAGGGAATTAAGGGAAAAGGATAACCCTAAACTTGAATTTTGGACACACTGAAATCAAAGGATTTTCACCTGAGTAGGAGAAAGACAAAGTATATAGTTTGCAATTTTAGCAAGAAACAAGATAAAAATGATTAGGAGGTAAAAATTAGAGATGATATCATGCCACGTTTCTAAATTTAAGTATCAAGAATCAATTTTACATAATGATAAGAAAATTAATGAAGATGTTAAACACAAAATACAAGTTGAGTGACTAAAATGATAAAAAGACATTAGGAGTCATTTATGACCAAAAGTATCTACAAAACTTAAAAGGAAGTTTTATCCAAATGCTACATGACTAGTTATCATCTACAACCTTTTAAGAGACAACAAGAGAAGAAAATAAGAATAGCAAAAATAAGAATGTTAACATGGATGTGTGGCACGTGAGAAAGGACAAGATAAAAAATAATTGTCTACAAAGAGATATTGCAGTGATGCCTATTGAAGAGAAGATGACAGAAAATCAATTAAAGTAATTTGGATATGTACAAAGAAGACCATTTGAGCTACAAATGAGGAGAGTAGATTGCATAGTTTTCATTAGCCTTGTGAAAAGTAGTAGAGAAAGGCCGAAAAGAACTTTGAAGGAAAATATAAAAGAATTCTCATGATAAATAGTATTTCTGAAAAGTTGTTTTTGATCAACCCATGCTGCGAACCTTGCCTAGTAGAATAAGAGTTGTTGTATAAGAACCTCTGAAGTAATTAAACCTAAAAACTAATCTTAAAGAGATAAAAATACAAATGTTAAAGGAAGATGAGATATCCTCTCAAAATTAATGAGCACAAGAAATGAAGTATAGTTAGTTAAACTGAACCTTCAAATTTTTATATATTTGTTAGATAACCTTTAGTGTGATAATCTGTCATGATCTAAGGGAAAACTAGTGGATCAGGCTGGCATACTTACATTAATATATGGAGAGACAGCCGTTTCATAACCCCATTCTTAGTACATATTTGGTTGACATTAATTGTGCAAAATATTTGCTTATTTTCAAAAGCTCTTATAAGAAGTTGACAAAAATAATCAGTTATTATTTTAAAAATAAGCTGAATTTGAAGATGTTTTAGTGCTTATGACATTTTCAATAATGTCAGAATTATAAGGAATACCTCCAGTGAGAATCATTTTCATACGGTTTACAATTGTTTTACTTATTCAACTATTACACTGTGCCTGGAGAAAGTAAATGCAAAAGAAAATATGAAAATACAGATTAACAAAGCATAAATATATAATAAAATTATTTGATGTATATTATACCTTTTATTTTCTGATATATCATCAAATAGTGGTACAACTTGTGATGTTTTCTTGATAGGAAAGGGACAAGCGCAAAGCATTCCAGGAAGTTTGCAAGAATTTCAGGTTTCTTTCGTCTGCTTGTCTTCTAAAGAACAAAAATGCATAATCAACTTTGTAGCTTAATCATATTGTCCTGCAGGCCTGTTATGCATTACTTTTTCTTGGAGAGATTTTTACAGCCGGCTGAGTGGTTTGAAAAAAGACTTGCTTATACCCGAAGTGTTGCTGCTAGTTCTATGGTAAGTGGATTCTACTTTTCCATGCATGCTTATTTTTTTTCAATATTGGATCATCCCAGTTCTTAATATTTTGCTTAAGGTAGTTTCACTTCCTGTCCAAGTAAAATTAAATGCTTAATTCAAAGATTAGTTCAAATTAAATACCTTTCTATTGTGTCTGTTTGAAAGTTCTCTATTTTTCTTTATTCCAACTTTGAAAGCAAAGTCCACTGTATTTTATGTTGTAACCATGTTGGAATGAATACGGCAGACTTCTAAACTAAACCTTCATATTTTGCCCGTCCATGTGATTCAAATCCATGACTAAGTAATATGTATCTTTTCTGTTTCCTTCTAAAATAGCTTTTAATGTTATGTATATTATCTGAAATGCCACCAAAATTTCATCTACATCAATGTATCGCAATCCTCAGTATATTTATTAGTTGATTCATATGCAGGTCGGTTATATTGTTGGCCTAGGAGATCGACATTCAATGAACATTTTAATTGATCAGGCCACTGCAGAGGTTGTTCATATAGATCTTGGTGTTGCTTTTGAACAAGGCTTAATGCTCAAGACCCCAGAAAGAGTATGTCTTTGATAGTCCTCAAGTCATGCACTCATTTCCATACTTCATCTGGATTGTTGATATCATCTGTAACTGCTGGCAGGTTCCATTTAGGCTTACAAGAGACATAATTGATGGAATGGGTGTAACTGGTGTAGAGGGGGTTTTCCGAAGATGTTGCGAAGAAACACTCTCTGTTATGCGGACAAACAAAGAAGCGTTGCTGACAATTGTGGAAGTAAGTATACTTTCCCCAGTTTTTGTACCACGAATTATTTCCATTTCTATATTTTCTTCATAACACGAATGTCCTCTACAGGTTTTTATCCATGATCCTCTTTATAAGTGGGCTTTATCTCCACTGAAAGCATTGCAGCGTCAAAAGGTATTTGAGACCCTCAATGTTATTTTCTTTATTTAATAAATGTCCAGAATCTCGTAGTAGTTTTTGGGGTAAGCCCTGTTTCAGTGACTAGCTGAAATCAGTACTAATCATGAGTTGTGGAAATAAGTATATAACGGGACAGCTAGCCTCTACCAATACCTCTGTAATGACCGTCGATATTCTTTTATCGGTTCTCAATGATGTTGATCCAGTCTGGTTGTAAATCTGTTCGACTTGCATTGCTCCAGTTACTTTCAGTGTGACTTTTCTCCTTTTCTCCACAGGAAATGGATGATGATTTGGATACAACTTGGGAGGAACCTCAAAATGATTACCAAGGAAATAAGGATGCTGCACGTGCACTTCTACGTGTCAAGCAGAAGCTAGATGGGTATGAAGATGGCGAAATGCGAAGCATCCATGGGCAGGTATTTATTTTGTTGACATATCCCTGCCAAATTTCGATTTCAGAATTATGTTGTTTTTCTTTTCCTTTTTCATCTTTATCATATCTTGGCTGATAAAGTGGGTTGCATACTATTCATTTGTTAGTCGCGAGAATGGTAAAATTGGAATTTGGAACATAAGCTTGTCAATATGGGTGGTGTTTGGTGGAAGGATTTAGCCTGTCTTACAAATTGCATCCATCGTCCTAGAAAATAAAGTTCTTCAATTACCAACAATTTAAATACCAACTGGCAAATTGTACTGTGACTTGAAGATGAAATGAAATTTAAATTTACATTTACATTTTCAAAATATCGCATGAAAAATATAATTGTGGTACTTCATTTGCAGGTGCAACAACTCATCCAAGATGCAATTGATCCAGAGCGATTGTGCCAAATGTTTCCTGGTTGGGGAGCTTGGTTATAATTAGCACCCTTTTTCGTTGTACTTCTCGACACTGAATGATCTTGTATAGGCGCCGTGTATCTTCTTCATTGGTCTTTTCTTCCGCGAATTGTATGGCTTTATCACTAATTTTGAATTTACTAATTTTTTGTGGGTGCGTTTTATGATCTTATCGATCTTTGTGAGGACGGAATTTGGTTAGAGAGGGAAGTTGTTATGGGAATGAATAATCAGAAGTCTTAGAGATGGGAAGAGTGTTTGAAAGTGAATGTGAGGTAGCGGGATTTGAATTTGACGTAGCATAAGCCTTAATGGTGCGGCTTCTGGGTTGGATTCGGGGGAACAATGAATTATGTAAGCCCGTAAACAACAATGAAGCAAAAAATTACTCGTTTTCAATCCAAGACGTTGTCATTCTTCACAACATTAAAAAAAAAATTGGGCAAAATTATAAAAGGGGACAAGTAGATGTGTTGTTTAAAGATAAACTTCTCTCAAAAGATGTACGTGTTTTCATAATTTTGCAACTATTTAATCATTGATTTTAGTAATAGAATTAATGGTGTATTTGAAAAAGACATAAATATTTTTTAATATCTTAGTATAATCTAGATTATTTAATATTTCTTCAAGTTAAAGAGTATTGTAACAAATTCTTTGATAAATTTTACGGTGTTCTGAAAAATAAAAAAGTATATTATGCTTTTGTATGTGTAACAATAATCATCATTGATTAATGATTTTAATAATAGAATTAGTGGTATATTTAAAAAAAATATAAATATCTTTTAATATCTTAGTATAAATATCTTACTATTTTTTTATTGTTATAATATTAATGTTTGGTTGTGGATAAAGGCACTGAGACAGAGATATGAAATTATGCGTATTATGTTTAATTAATGTCTTACTTGAAAGACAAAGATATAAAAGATACTATAAAAGATGTAATATACTATATTTTGTTTTCACTTCCAAATATTATATACAAACATTAGCATTTCTATTTTCTATTGTTTTGGTGTTTCTGTCTTTGGTGTATAGGGAAAGTATTTAAATACTACCTAAAGGTCTCGTATTCTAGAGAATCTTCCTAATTAAATACTAATATTGCAGCTTAGTCCGAAGCATCATGCAAGTCCTTCTGTCTACGCTCACTCGTCAAAATCCTCTCCCCTTCCTCCACTCCACATGATTAATCAAACAACCCAAAAAATCCAAAAAAATGAAGAATATATTAAAAGCATTCAAATCCTTACCTTAGAGGACATTGAAGCTCCAATAAGTGATTCGGATGCACATGGCTTCGCATTATTCTTCCTTCTGTTTCCCTTATTCTTGGGCATCATTAGATCAAAACCCCTCTCCCTCGATTTTGTCTCTTGTGGTTAGGCCAATTAACAAAATTGAGTCAGTATAGTAAAACTTGCTTAATTATATTACTTCTTATTCCTATTATTTATAAGAAATAAATATCCAATTTATTAAGACTAATAAAAAGTATTTATATATCATAAAAAAAAAATTTCAAAAATATCCTTATTGTTAATTAGTTAAATTGGTGTGTTATATATTAAATAAATGAATGCATTCACTTTTATTATAAATACTACACCCTAAACCCTATATCATAAATAAAGGTATAAATAGCTAACCACAAAATTGAGTCAGTATAGTAAAACTTGCTTAATTATATTACTTCTTATTCCTATTATTTATAAGAAATAAATATCTAATTTATCAAGACTAATAAAAAGTATTTATATATCATAAATTTTTTTTTCAAAAATATCCTTATTGTTAATTAGTTAAATTGGTGTCTAAACCCTATACCATAAATAAAGGTATAAATAGAACTTAACAATTAATGCATTTGAAAAAAAAAGTCTTTGTTTTTCATATTTAGAACTAAAAAAGTTTAGTTGTTTCTTACAAGAGTAAACTCTCATTTTAGTTTTAGTCCTGAAATATGCAACTTGATTAAAATTAAACTTCAAAATTTTGAAATTAATAATCTTCAATTAGTCTTTGTTGAGACGTTAAAATTAAGTAATAGAATAATAATTTGTCACGTTAAGTTACATGTGTTAGTTTATTTTGAACACAAAATAATGTCATTTTTTAAAAAATATTTTAAAAATAAGTTATTTTTGTTCTTAAATTTTAACATTTTCGGTCAAGTTCTTGTTTTGCCTTCTTTCATGATCTCTTTTGGCTGTTACTATAATGATGTTTATTTGTATCTATTTTGTCTTCTTTTTACTGCAATAGCCTCACTTTTCCTTTTTCTCTATAGTTCTTTCTTTCATTCAACTTAATATCTCATTTTTTTCTCTTCTAAATACAACCTAACAAGTTCAAATTCTCATTAACCTAAACATCATCTCTTAAATAAAATAAACGAATATAGAAGTTAGAAGCTAACGTGATACTTTTAATTTTTTTTATGGATTAAAATGTTAAACGCAAACTCTTGAGGACCAAAATGAGAGATTAGTCGTTACGAAAACTTAGAGGATATCACAAGTAACAAATTGGAGTCCCTTGTCTTTCTATCAGAATATTATTATTAAAATAGAGTTTCCTTTCTTTTTTATTATATATTAATTATGAAATATTTTAGAGTTTGAGTTAATATTTTCTATTATGATTATGAGAAACTATACTTATAGTTAAAAACTATTAGGAATCTAATGTTTTAAGTTGTTGTGATATCTATAATTTTAATATAATTTAATATTTTCTTTCTTATTGAGTTTGATCTGTGTTAGCAGTTAGTTATTTTATATATAATGTTAATTAATTGACCATTGACTAAACTGTAGTTAATTAATATTTTAGAAAATTAATCGTAACCATTCACTTTCACGCAATTATTATATCAATAAGTCTATTGGTATTTTATGATTTTATGATTATTAACTTGTATGATCATTAAAAGTAATGTTTTTTAAAAATATTAGTATTATATAATCACTAAGTAATAATAAATTTAAAATAAGTAATTAACAATTAGAAATAAACATAAGTTAGTTATATAGTACACTTTGAGAAACTGTTAACTTTTCACAATGAATTATTAGTAGTGGTTGTCTATATTCTTAAAATTTTACTTTCAAACGATTTTTTAATTGTTTTCTTTATTCATATTTCAATTTATCTCCACTCACCCCTCACCCTTCCCTTTATTATGTAAATAATCAGGTATTTAATAAAAATAGAACTTATTACTATCCTTATGAAGTGATATTTTGTATTTCTTTTATTCGTTTGTTAGTTGTTAATGGTTGCCCATGCTTGAACCCAAAATATTTACATATATTGGAATTGTTCAACCGAGCAATAGGGATAGAAATAGGACAGGTCAAGTCAGACTTTACTATAAACAGGGTCAACCTGTAACATAATTATTAGGCTTGAACCTGATCTGTTACTTGTTAAAGGCTTTATTTTCAGCCTGACCTGACCTATTTAAGTGGCCTAGCCTAACTTGAAGCTTATTAACAAAGTCTGTTAAAAATAATATTTTAATATTAATAAAAATAGAAATATTTTATTATCAAATTAGTTTATATATTTTTTTAATTTTCATCTATGTTATTAATAATTATTAAATAATTATAATAATATTTATATAATTTTATAAATAATTTTTAAAATATTATTTAAGCATCAATTATAAATATTTTATATTAATAAAATTTATATTTATATTTTTCTTGATTTATTTTTTAAAAGATTTAAATATTAAAGATTTTAATTTTATTTTAGGAACATATTTTGTTTGTTTAAAGATATCTTATATTCAACAAATAAAGTTATAGTAAATACATAAAATTGATCACAAAAAATAACATTCACACAATTTGTTGAATCAATTAAAAGAAAATTATTATATTTTAAAAAATAAATAAATTTAAACTTAATGCAAGATATATATAATGATAATAATAATTATTATTAAATTAAAAAATAATTACAAAATATTAAATTTTATTTATTTCATTAATTTGTTATTTTAAATTAACAAATAAACATAAAATTAACTACACTATAATATTAATGTAATATAGAAAATATTACTAATACAATAAGTTAAAACACATATTTATATATCATATATAAATTGATAAATTAACTAATAATTTAATTAAAACATATGTAAGTTACAAAAATATCTATATTATTATATAATTTATTTATAATTATATTATTTGTTACATGGTCTGATTATATATATATATTATAATAATTTTTTATTTTATTTTTTTATAAATTTTTACTTTTAAATAAAATATAATTTACATTTAAGTATTTCTATTTATTATAAATAAAAATATTATAATATAATATATTAATATAATAATTAAATATTAATAATAATAAAATTAAAATATAAAATATATATTAATAAAATATTAATATTTATTTTTAAATTTTAATTCGTTTAGTTTTAACTGTTTTCTATTTTTATTCAAAGACTTAGATATTCTTCAGCTTATTTAAATGTGACAAATGTAATAGTTTATGATTAAATAAATTTATTTTTTAAACATGTGTAATTGTGTATAAATATTTTTAGTTTTGAATATAATATAAAATAATTATTTAAAATTTGACATATTTATATTTAAGTGTGTAGCTGTGTACTATGGACCTGGTATCTAAATTTTTTTATAGGTAATTTAGTCAAAAAAATTTATACCAATAAAAGTAAAACACGTAATAAGATATAAAAAATATATATTATTATACATAATTTATTTAAAATTATATTATTTACTATATGATCCTATTATATATATATATATATATATATTGTATATTGATTTTATTTTATTTTATTTTTCTATCATTTTTTATAAAATTTTATTTTTGAATAAAATATAATTTATATTTAAATAATTTCTATTTATTATAAAGAAAAAGAATTAAACATAATATATTAATATAATAATAACAGAATTAAGAATATAAAAAATATATTATTAAATAATTTTATTATTTAAATATATTTTGACAGCTCTATTTTTAAATTTTATATATATATATATATACAGGTCGGTCTGTCCGACTTGTTTACTTAAACAGACCTTAAAAAGAGTTTAAGCCTTATTTGTTTATTTAAAAAGTCAATAAAGTCAGGTTGTAGGCTCCTGGCAGCCTGACCTGTTTCCATCTCTATCGAATAATTTGTTCACTATGTGAAATCATGTGGCAACTTATAATAATAGGCATTGAGGGGATAATGTTTACCATTAAGAAGGTACGTAAAAAAAATCTTCAATTTGCTTTAACCATTATAAAATGGATAGTAAATCTAAGAGGTAGAAAAAATCACATAATTATATCTTTTTTTGAGTTGGTAAAAAGTTTTCATAATAAATTATATATTTACCAAATTTTTAATGAACAAAAGTGTTTTATGTTATAAAAATCTAGATTACAAGGACTATTTTCTCTTTTAAACAATTTTAAACCAAAAAACTATCTTTATCCTTGAAAATTTTCCATTTCAAAATTTGTAGGCAATTAATGACTTTCTTTTACACACAAATATATGGTTTTGTATAGTAATTTATATTGACAGTAATAATAAAATTAAGGTTACAGCTTGAAAAATTAGTTTTTTTTTTTCTATTTGACACAACTTTTGACATTAAGAAACTAGATTTTTTTTTTTCTCAAAATCTCTCTATTGAAATGTTATCCTTTGAAAAATTGTTACTACTTCCCCTAAACAATCTTATAGTTATTATGCCTATGTTAAACACTTAAAGAAGAGTTGAGCAAAACAAAAAACAGTTAAGAAAAAACAAAAGAATTTTGTTGTGAATAAAATATAAATAAACAAATAAAACTAACTTAAAAAAAGAGAGAGAAAAGAGGGTGGAACAAAGGAGTTTATAGCTTTCAAATCCCTTATTAGAAGTTGTGATAAAAGAACAGAAAATTATAAATAATTATATTATAATGTTAGAGGAGAAAATTATTATTTTGGTCCCCCTATTTTAAAAAAAATATATCATATTTTTTAAATTAAATAAAATATCATATTAACTCCAATGTTAACATAACAATCTTTAGTTAGTTTGATCTTTCTAATTATCTAACTATAATTAGGTGCCACAACAGGCATGTTAACTTAACGCATTAAGTATCATTTAGACATGATATGTTAGCTAAAATTTTATATTTCTTCTCAAAATCTATCAATAAGAATCCTCAATTTAGAATTTACTAATTTGATTTCCAAAAAATCCTTAATGAGTCAAATTGGTCTAGAAGAATCTTTAATAAGTCAATTTGGTCTCAAAGAATTTTTTATAAGTCAATTTAATCTTAAAGAATCTTTAATCAATCAAGTTAATTTCATTAATTTTAACTTGGATTCATATTATTATTTTTTCTCCTTCTTTATTTCAAAATCACAGTTTAAAGTCATTTACTACCACTAAATAAAGTGACTTAGACAAAATTTATTATTAAAATTGTTGGCACTAAACCACCAAATTTCATTATTGTTAGCATTATTAAAGCCGTCAAAAAGGGATCAATAGGCTATTATAAGGATTTATTTTTACATTTTAGGCTTAAATTAATTTTGACCTTTTCATACTCGACCTATCTAAACCTTTTTTCCGTATTGAGTTCAAGTTAATATAATTTATTTAAGTGTAAAATATTGATTTAAGTAAGATTGAACTTATATATTAAGGTTCAAATAGATGACAAACTTTTTTTTATCCCGATCCACTATAAGTCAAATAGTCCTTCTTATTAGCTTTATCCTCCATAGACACTATCTAAAATTATTAGTGGAGGATGTCGACGGTGGAAATAACACTAGATTTTAATGACAACTTTAATGATAGATTTAGGTGAATCACTGTAGTTCAATTTGGGTAAACTTTTACAAAACTTTTTATAAAAAATAAATAAAATTTTTCTTATAAATTAAGAATAATTTATATTTTTTTATTTTTTTTTGAAAAGTTTTAAAAAATTCTCTCATTTATCTTTTTTAAAATTTAATGAAATAAATTGTGACTAATTTATGAAAGAAATTTTATTATTTTTTATATATATTTTTTCATATATAATGGCTTCTATTCAAATTTACTAAAACTAAGCTTATGTTAGTGGCATTAGATAATTCTGATATAAAAGATAGGAGTTTAGGATTAATAGTAATTAACTTGATTGATAAAGATTTTTTTAAAATTAATTTGATTAATTAGAAATTTTTTAGAAACCAATTTCATAAATTTTGAGGATAATTATAGAATTCTAGTCATACCATACTAAAATGTCATTATTAAATGTCACATATCACATTCAAATTTCAAATGATACTTACCATATTAAGTCAACAAACTTGTTAAAATAATAAATAAAAAGGTAACAGTAGAAACTAAATTAATTGATAATAATCATTATTAAAGGTTAATATGACTTTTTATTTAGCTTAAGAATTATTTTAGACAAAAAAATATTATCAAAAGATATAATGCAAGGTCTTAACTTTATTAGACACAAGTCATTCAATGGAAGTACGTCGCTCTATCAGAGTATATTTGATTTCTAGTACTCCATTAAATAACACTTGATTAATCACATTGTATCATATGCATAAACTTACAATTTATAATAAAAATAATAATATGTAATATGATGTAAATTATCGGAATCGAATAATTCATTATTTAAAAATTACTCGTGTAACATGCCTTAAGAATAAAACCATAATTTCAAATTGGTAAAAAGAAGGTTATATACTAAGGCATAAGATATATTAAGATCCAAAAAATACACATTTTTTCTCATTTACAGTGAACTTTCGCCTTAGGCTTTGTTTGATGATCATAGATCTTGGAATCGTATAATACTAAAACTGAATTTCTTTTATTTTTTTTCTCAAGTAAAATTGAATTCTCACAATATATTGTTTTATTTAAAAATGTATTAGAATTTAATTGTGGGTGTATGATTTAAGATTGTAAAAAATAATGAAATTAAGCATAAGTAACTTGTAAGTTTTAACAATTTAAACTTATAAAATATATCTTTAAATTTATTGCTAATATATTAATGTAAAATTTTATTATCTAATAAAATGAGATTTTACTTCTTTAAAAGAATTAATTTTTTCAAGTCAAACATATATTTTCTTACATTGTCACTGTTAATTAATTTGATCTTTACTATTCAATAACTCAAATATAATATTATCAATCAATTCAATCTTTAAAATTAAAAAATTTATTTATTTTTATAAAATTTATTTTGTGAACATTTTAAGTTTCAAAATGAAGATTTATCAACGTATTACTTGACACAACATTAAAAATAAAATTATCTTTTAATGATTGTCATCAAAAGTAAAAATATATTTTTATTATATTATTTATTCTTATTTATCTTTTCTTTCTAAATTTCTTTTTATTTTATCTATTTATGTAAAAATTTAAAACAATATGAATTTTTATTTTTCATTGAAACATTTTTATCCATATAAAGTATTTATACTATTAGAGTAGCGCAAGAGTTAAAAAAACACTAATAAAAAATAAATTGAAAAACTAACAATTAATTACAATAAAATAATCAAAATTTTCATCTATATAACTTTTCTCTCTGGACAAAAAAAGAATGGAGGTATAGTTAAAATTAAACTAATCCAGTGATAATTAATAAATTTTTTACTTAAATTTTGAAAAAAGATAAAATAATATTTTACTTAATTTTCTCAACCATCAAATATTCAAATTCTTAAAACAAAAGAAGATAGGTACTGTTTCAGGACAACCCACTTAAGCTCAACACCTCTAGGCTAACTTCACCTTCCTTCTATACTGGACATAATTCATGGTGCATAGCCCAAAGATTATTGTACATGTGCATTCAATACTTCATAGGTAGGTTTGCTTGCTTTTCATGACAGTGCATCATCCGTATCTATATTCTATATCTATTATATAACAATAATCACTTTATAAGACATGTGATGCACTATTTACTATTATTTATCATGTACAAGTTTTGCACATGATAAATTTCATTAATTATGTACTTTTAATTAATTTTTTAATAATTAATTACTTCAATATTATAAATGATTTGGTCAGGATTATCTCACTGGAAATAGAGAGATTATGGAAAAGAAAATTAATAAATAAATAAATAAATAAAAAAGAAATTAAAATTGTTAATTTATAAAAAATTAATTAAAAATACTTAATTAATGAGACTTATCCTATGCAATTCTATAAAAATTAATTATTATCTAGTGTTAATTTGTATAGAATGTTGATTATATGTGCACCATCTTTTTTCTCCTTTAACCCCGTGTACGGGTTTCTATAATAACATTCATTGAATTTAGTTAGTTGAACCTCCTGTTATTGGACTTAATAGATATATAACAAATTAATATTAATTAAAAAATTAAAATATTTATATACTCTTAATAAATGTCACTGGGACGCTTGTAAGAAGACTCACTGAAAAAAATGAATACTGGTTGCAAGTAGTGGTAAAGAATTGTACACGCCAACGGTGTGATGCCTAGCTAAGCTTTCTTGGGATCCAAATCAAGAAGCCTCAAAACCAAGGTTGGTTAAAATTACAGGTCCACCCCCACGGGTCGTAACAACATGCATGACACTTGAAAAGGACACAAATGCAAAACTGAGGGTCTAAATAGTACATCCAAAAATCATAAATGGAACTCAAACTTTTCAATTTCCAAACTAAATCATCAGACAACAGGTTTGTCTCCAAAACAAGCAGCGCCAGCCACCCTCTTCACTCTATGCACCGCCCATGGCAAACTATTTTTATCTTCTTATTTCTTTACCTCTCATTATATCCTATTCTTTTCCATCTTTATATTACAAACACCACCCATACATTCTACTACACTGTTACCATGGAACTAACTTTCCCTCAACATGAAGGCTATGCCAGCAACGAAGATTCCACTGTTTCTGATTGCGAGAGTGCTGTTTCCCCCACCCAAGTGCTGCGTCAAAATAATCTTTTCATTAGACTTGAAGAAGGCGACGTGCTTCATGATCTCATTAAAAGAAGGTTCCTTCGTGGACTGGGCTTGCTCGGCCCCAAAACAGAGCTTGTAGCCGTTCACCGAAATGCATGTTCCACCGTAGTTTCGCAAGCGCGCCTTCAATCGTTTCAGGTTTACTCAAGGGCGGTGGCAAAGCTCCGCCATGGGGATGCCAATGTCAAGTATGCTTGGTACGGAACTCGCGGAGAGAAGGAGATCAGCGACGTCGTTTCACACGGTTTTAGTCACGCACATGGTCAAAAACTTGTTCTCAGTCCAGATGACTCTCCTCTCCAAAGGTATTTTAATGTGTCAGTTCAATATTAATATTTTATCAAAAAATATTTATCATAGAAAATTTGAGGTTAACAAACAAAATCTTTTTTTTTTCTATAGACAAAATCATTTTAATTTCGGGAGTTTGCTTTTCCAATGTTGCGATCGGTTTTTATTAGTTTTAAGGAATTTGTGTGTGTTTTTACAGTGCGAAAAGTTGTGTTGTTGGGAAAGACGGTTTGAGGCACGCGTTATTGTGCCGCGTTATTCTGGGGAGGCAAGAGCTTGTGAACCCTGGCAGTGGCACACAGCAATGTTGTCCGAGTTCGGAGGAGTACGATTCTGGGGTGGATAGTTATACAGCTCCTAGCAAGTACATAATTTGGAGTAACAGAATGAACACTCATGTCTTGCCTGCATATGTTATTAGCTTCAGGGTTCCTTCTTTCAAAGGTGTGCATTTTGTAATTAAACGTTTTTGTCTTTTTATTATTTTACTATGGTGTTCTTCCTTGAATTTAATTACTAAATAATTAAGAGTATTTTTTTTATAATTTCATATATTAATTTTCAATTAAAAAAATATTTATTAACTCTTTGATGAATGAGAGTTAATTAGAAGCATGTTTATTTTGTAGGGATTGAGAATAGTGAAGAAGAACCTTTGAGACCGACTTCGCCTTGGATGCCATTCCCGACTCTGATTTCGGTGCTTTCCAAGTTTTTGCCTGCACATGATGTTGCAATGATCTCAAAGTCCTACAAAGATAAAAAAGTAAGTTCTTCTGAATTGCATCTGGGTTTGAGAAATGAGAGTATTGTCTTTTTTTTCTCATTGTTGATGTCACTTTTTCTGCTTTTGGCAGGAAAGAAAGATTTCACGACGTGAACTGATACAAAGAGTGAGACAAATAGCGGGAGATAAGTTGCTGGCTTCAGTCATCAAGACTTACAGAAACAAGGTATATAACTTGTCTTTCTCATCACTTTCACCTCTCTTAGTAAACACTTAATTTGTATTTGCTGCACTTATGCTTGGAAAACAAAGTGACTTGGTTCAAACTAGTATCAATTTTCTTTTCTTCAAATTGCTCAATTGATTGTGTACATTAGAATTCTTATTTGGCTATTTTGACCTATTTAAGGAACTATTATTAATCATTTTCGATTGTGCTTCTTTGTGTCTGGTTATTTTAGAATTAATGGGGTAATTCTTTTGTTTAAACCTTATTAGAATTAGTTTGAGTTGTTAAACATGATTGTCAAAGGAAGAGTATGTGAAGAAGAAACTAATATTATTTTACCTGCGCCCCAACCTCAGGGAGGTGTTATGATTAAAAATTTGGAACAGTTGTAGTCTAGATTTGATTCCGTTGATTAAGATGTCGTGTGTACAATAACAATTGTAGTTTATTAACCGATGTTAATAGACTTTCTTTTAATCATAATCAACTGAATCAAATCTAGAGAAAGCCCTTTTTTATAACAAATTGGTATATTATCCACAATCTCCAGCAGCAAAAAGGCACTTTGTTTTTTCTGTTTATTGTAGTCTAACTTGGTAAATTTGTTCTTTCAGAGAAAATCAAGCTTTCAGCAAACAATTTCAAGGAATGGTTTAGGGGCGCGGATAGAGTGATTCCCACATGTTAGTTCTATTAGTTGATAGCAAGAAGAGTTCATTACTTGAGTTGACACAACAGAAGCACTTAATTTCATAACCAAACTTGCAAGGAGATACAGAAACTGCTTTAGAAGAAGTGTGGCATTTGACACGCTCTTTTTTTCTTTTTCGTCTTTTTTCTGACACTGATGTAGCATGGGAAGACGGAAATTCTTTTTCTTTCTGTTGCTAGTTGGAATGATGTTTTCATTGATCAGATACAATGCACTGTGTCAAACTGTAAATATCAATTTTGTTGTGCTTCTTTTTGTTTTGGAATATATATTATTTGTACTTTTGTAAAAATAATTTATGTTAAAATATGTTTGAAAATTTATAACAATTTAATAAATTATTTTGTGAATTTAAAAAAATATAAAAGTAACTTAACAAATTAAATAATATATTAAAAAATAATTTTTTTTGAAAAAATCCCCAAACATTGTGTAGTTTTATTCTTATCTTTTTTTTTATTTAGGTTGGGTATATATATATATATATAATTTAGTTTTTATTTTTTTTATTTTTGTTGGGTCAACCATTCACGTAAAGCGGATTGCAAGGTGCCGTGGAGGAACGGGATCATTCCTGTGGGTTCCTTCCCCTTTTTCTTTTCTTTGTTGCAGACAGTGGTTTCTTAGTGTGCATGGTCTTATTGTCTGGTCTTGTCTAGAGACAGCGGTTTTCTTCCCTCTGTTTGGCCCACCAAAAAAAATTGGAATGCTAAATAGAGTTACAAAAGGTGTATTACCAGAGAAGTGATTAGTCATTTAATTAAGGAAATTGCTGAAAATTAACAAATAATAATAATAATATTAATAATGCAAAACTCAAGGAACAATTGTATACCTCTTTACTAATAATTCCAGTCAAATACTGACTTATGTTTTTGTTTATTAATATATTATTTAAACTGTTTGTAATAAAATATATAGTAGTTTTGTATAATTCATGCCGAAATTTTATCTACAATTTAACACTACTTTTTAATGAATAACAATTATAAAATTAATTATTAATTGATTGAAGTAATCAACCAATCAATTACATGTAGTGAGATGTTTTGGATTTGTTGCATTTCTATCCGTTGAAGTTTTGTTTCGACAGGATCAAGAGATGAAATGTTATTAAAAAACAAAAAGAGAGAGAAATTTTGAGTACGTATTATATCCGTGCAACAAATGAAATTTTAAAGTCTCAAACTTTGAACCAGTAAAACTAATTCATAATTTTTAAGATTTATTTTCTAGTTTAATTTGGTGGATTGCTTTAGCTTTGCTGTATAATAATATTTTATGAAATGTGAGATTAACTAACTGTTAATTTAAAGGATCTTATTAAGTAATTATTTTTATAAAATTTTATAAACAATAATATTAATAGTTACTTCATCATATAATTTTATTTTAATAAAAAAAAATATTTTTAATATATAAATAAATATCAAATTTTAGTTAAAATTTCAATAAATATGCAAATTATGTCAAATTTAACATATATAATTATGAAAATAATATAAGATGATTCAATATCTTTTAATTGATTAATATTGCATTATATAAAAAAATTATACAAAAATAAGTGTGTAAGTTTGATACTTAATATCAATTTATCATAAATCTCTCTCTCTCTCTCTATATATATATATATTAATTAATTAAGATTCAAATATGTAGTTTAATTAAAAAAATAATTTTTTTAAATAAATAAAAATGAGATATCAAATAATAAGATATAAAACTTATATATTTAAACTAAAAATAATTATTTATTGTTAAAGATCAATTGAAAACTGATAAATATAATTATAAAAATATTAAAAAGTTTATATATGACAGACTTTTATTATCAATAAAAAATTTAAATATATCTAATATTTTTCAGATATAAAAGAATTAATTAACAGAAAAAAGACTATAAGAATCAATTAGTTCTTATACATTTTTTATTGTTACATTTTGACCCCTTCCATAATTAGTAGATGTTATAACCACAAAAACTAAGATATAACAAAACGCTTACATAAGAACTAATTTATAAATATACAAATTAAATGCATATTTTACTCTTAAAATTTATGTCTCTAGTTATTGATATGTACAATTTATGTATTAATTTTTAAAATATATTTTTATTTAAATCATACATAATATTGAATTTATATTAAATGTGTGAATTTTGAAGCTAAAATATAAATAATTTAAAGATTGAAATGAAGAGAATGAAGCTTAGAAAATTTTTGGAGTCTAAAATGAAAAGAAAAGTGTTACGTAGTAAAGTCCACAACTTGCCTCTATCAAGGAGATCACTTGTATTCTTATATATATATATATATATATATATATATATATATTAAAGCAACCCTTAACACAATTAAGTTGCATCGGAGGATACATTTGTTTTTGCAGTACTAAAACACTTATTAAAATAGGTTGAATTTTTCTTCTAAATGCCCAAAATAAAATTATTAAAGACTTATTTATAAAAATTTTAAAAAAAAGACCTTTTGAGTTTAGACTTTTAGGGACTCTAGGACATTTAGACCTTAGATTCTTTAGAGCTTGTATATTGACAGAAAGTATCCCAAGACACTAAAATTCCACACCAAAGAAGAAGCCACTTTTAAAAAGTGAAAGTGGAAAATTTTCAAGGTAGAACCTTAAAAAGGATACTTTTAAGGTATGCTTGGGAGTTGAGTTTAAGAGAGAAAAAGAGGGGTTAAGGAGTTTAATTGTTGTTTGAGAGTTAATTAATTTGGAGGGAAAGGGTTAGGAGATTTTTCTAAACTTTCTAAAACTCTCATAATCATAATTTTGTGAGTTCTTTCATTTTGGGGGAGTGAGTTTTTAGTCTATTAGAATATTTTTCTACATATTAGGGTTTAGGGTGATATTTTTCAAAAAATTTATAAAAATAGAAATATAATTTTTAAAAATATATTTTTAGAGTGACAATTTCAAAATATATTAATTTTTAGAAGAAGAAAAAATTTATTGTTGTATTTTTTGAAAAATAAAAAATATAAATAAAATGTATAAAAGATAATAATCTCATTTATATAATTAACCCCCTGTCACCCCTCCCTCTTCATATTTAACATCCAAACAAGGGAGAGATTTAACCTCCTTCTTCTTCTCTTCCCCTCTCCTCCTTCTCCCTTCAAACTCTTCCTCTTTCTCCTCCTCCAAACTTCCAAATAAAGCCTTAAGACCTATAAGAACAATGTAATCATAAGATTAGAAATTATAATTTATTCTCTAATTTTTTTATTGTTCTTGTTCATTTTATTATATTTAGTTTTTTTATTTATTTATAATTCAAACACAAGTGAGTAATCTAGCATTTAGGAGTAGCTTCAATTAGAATTGATAATAATATAATATATATTTTATTATCTTTCTTAATTTTAATTTTTTTAATTAAATTCTTAGTACTCTTAATATTTACTTACATTATTTTAGATGTTAAGAGAAAGATTTAAATATGAATGTTATCACTGAAAATTTTAAGATTAAACTTAAGATTTTAAACTATAAAAGTAAGTTAAGTTTCTTGAAGAACTACATTCCATCATAGAACTTAATATATTTAATTAGATATAATTACCATAAAAGTAAGAGTTAATTTAATAAAATATATTATTATATTTTAAAAAAATTATAATCACCTTAAAATTATTTGTAGTGAAACTAATTTCTAAAAATTTATTAAAATTTAAATCCATTTATCTTTAATTTATATATTTTTTCATAATTTTATACTTTTTTTAATTAATTTTTGCATTTAAATATTTAAATTATAATTATTTAATATTTAATACCACAATTCATATATATATATATATATATATATATATATATATGATAATATTACTTTGCAATAACTATTTACATTGAAATAAAGAAAAGTACTCATAATGATTGTCACATCATGGAACATATGTTCATTCGTGCTACATGATCTTTAAAATTCTTTGGTGGCATTCTTTTAGTCAAAGGATCGACAATCATCAACTCAGTGCTAACATGCTCAATGACCATTTTTTTTCCTTAACATGTTCTTTTATGGCTAAATATTTGATGTTGATGTGTTTACTTCGACTTCCACTTTTGTTGTTATTAGCCATAAATACTGCAGTAGAGTTGTCACATTACACCTTCAATGGCCTAGATACAGAGTTCATAACTCTAAGCCCAGATATAAAACTCTTCAACCATATACTATGTGAGGTAGCCTTAAAACAAGAAACGAACTCAACCTCCATAGTGGAAGTAGCAATCAAGGTATGTTTCACACTGCTCCAAGACACAGCTCCACAAGCTAGCATAAAAATGTAACTAGATGTAGATTTTTTGGTATTAATGCAGCCAGCAAAGTCTGAGTCAAAGTAGCCAGTATCAATCCGTCTGTATATAAGCATGTAATCATTTGTTCCTTGAAGATATCTCATTACTTTCTTGCAGCTTTCTAATGGTCAACACCTAGATTACTTTGATATCTTCCTAAAACTCCAACCGCAAATGCAATGTTAGGTCTAGTGCAAACTTGAGCATACATAAGACTTTTAACAGTTGAAGCATATGGAATATTTTTCATGTGTTCCCACTCAAGGTCATTTTTGACTCAATTCAAGCTTATCACCCTTCACAATGGGAGTTACACTTGGTGACAATCTTTCATGTTAAACCTCTGTAAAACCTTATTAATATAGGTCTCTTGAGACAAACTCAAAATGCCTCGAGATCTTTTTCTATGGATCTTAATGCCTATGACATAAGATGTCTCACTCATATCTTTCATATCAAAGTTCTTTGAGAGAAATTGTTTCACTTCATATAACATACACTTATCATTAGTCGCAAGCAAAATATCATTCACGTATAAAACAAGGAAACAAATCTTACTCCCACTAACCTTCAAGTATATACATTGATCCATGATGTTTTCTTCAAAACCAAATTAATATATGACTTCAT